TTAGATTCGTTCCAGCCTGATGAGAAGCTTAAGAAGAAGAAGAAATTGTCCTATGTGAGAAGGCGTAGAGATGTGTATAAGACTCTTGGACATGGTACAGAAGCCGAGTCTGCAGCTATTCTAGCATTTGGGAGCCTCTTCACAGCTCCATACAAAGGCTCAGAACTGTATATCGATATATATAAATCTCCAAAGATAAAACCTTTGGTTGAGAAGGTCGATTTCCTTCCTTTTGTTCGAGAGATAATGAGGGCGGGCAAGAAATTTGCCTCAGAAACCATAAAGGCACCGTTTCTTTGTGCTCAGCTTAGATTACTAGATGGACAGTTCAAGAATCATCGGGAGAGCACGTTTATGGGTTTATACCAGAAGTTGGAATCCTTGAGGGTAAAGAATCCTGGTCTAATTAATGTGTTTGTAATGACAGACCTTCCTGAAAGTAACTGGAATGGAACTTACTTGGGTGATTTGTCTAAGAACTCTACAAATTTCAAGCTTCACTTTATAGGGGAACAAGATGAATTCTTAGTGCGAACAGAGCATGAGCTTTCTTCCGCGGGTCACGGCCAGAAATTTGGGTCTATTCCGATGAGTCTGGATAATATAAAAAAGATGCAGAACCATTGTTCTCCTCATGGAGGATCCAATGTGCAGCTTTACATAGAGGAAGCTGTTTGCAGCTGTGCGTCATTGGGTTTTGTTGGTACTGCAGGGTCTACAATAGCTGATAGTGTAGAGATGATGAGGAAATACAATGCGTGTAGTAGTAGTTGAACAGTTGAACTCAGACTGCATTTCTTTGATTCTTGTTTCCAGATTGGATTCATCTACTGGATGAGTCGGTCTTTGTATAGAGATGGGTAGAGATAGATCTGTAATCTGTCTCCATTTGAGGTACTGGTGATGAAAACAGGCTTTTGGATTGTTTTGTGTTGTTAAGTTATTTGGGAAACCATCTAAGTTTCTTATTAATAGAATAAAGCTACTTGGTTCCTTTCTGGTAATTCCCACAACGAACGGCTCGGGCCTGAGATCGAAGACAACAATGGAAGAGTTGTTGCTTGGTGATAAGTGTCTGACTCTAAAGGCTTTGTGAGTTTTGTAGATGTCCCCTTGATAAGATTTGTAATTGGTGTACCAATGTCTTTAAACCGGATTTGAATAAAGAAGTTTCGTACCAAATAAATACAGTGGAAGTGGTTTGGTTGAGAAGAAATCTAATTATATTAAACCGGATTGAAAAATTACGTCGATGTGAATTTTGTGACCAATGAGATCTCTCCACGTTAGTAGATTCCACGTTGTAGCTTTGATAGTGTAAGGCCGATTTAAGCGAATTTTATCTGTCGTTTTGTTGGGTTCTCGTCGGTGACATCCACCGCGAACATTTCGACCGGAGTTTTGAGGAAATTGGATCTGCGATCTGATCGTTTCGCATAGACGCGAAACGTTTTCGAATCCAATTGGTGTGGAGTGGTTGCGTTGAATTTTGGATCCGGAGGTTTTGTTCGAAGATCTTTCTGCGGTTATCACCGCCATGGCTGCTCCGTTTTTCTCTACTCCATTTCAGCCTTATGTCTATCAGGTTGTCTTCTATCTTCATTCACTTCTCTCCTCGTAGATTCGTATTTTTGTCTGTCACTCTCGAGAAGGCTAGTGTACAAATAGACTTCTTAGCGAGTAATTTTAGGATCCTTTCTCATGTAGGTGTTTGAGTATTGTGATGTGTACTTACACCTAACTCAGTTTTCATGAATACGTTTTGTGATAATGCTAATAAGCTATTTCCTTGGTTAGAATTTGATCTCTTGAATCTGTATGTAAGAGTATAATCTCACAAGTGGTTATGTGATGATGCAGAGTCAAGAAGATACGATCACACCTTTCCAAATTTTGGGTGGTGAAGCACAGGTTGTTCAGGTAAGTCCACATTTTTTTTTAGTCTGTCAAGTTTGTGTTTATGTGACATATCCACAAGTTTTTTTTAACCATTAGATTGTTTTTTTTTGACAGATAATGTTAAAACCACAGGAGAAGGTCATTGCTAAGCCTGGTAATTTCCATATTATGATTGCTCATTTAGTTTTGCAAGATCGGTTGGGTTGGATTGTATATGTTAACTGATAAGATATGGTTCTTTTAGGTTCAATGTGCTACATGTCTGGCTCCATTGAGATGGATAATACTTATACCCCTGAACAAGAAGTTGGAGTTGTACAATGGATTTTAGGAAAGAGTGTTAGCAGTATTGTTCTTCGCAACACCGGGCAGAACGATGGATTTGTTGGTATCGCTGCACCTTCTTTGGCAAGGATTCTCCCAGTTAGTGATTCATACTTGCCATGATTTTCTTCCATATTATTAATTATTATGGTTAATATGACTTCATATGTGTTTTGTTGACCTTCGGTTTATTTCTTTCTGTGAAGCTTGATTTGGCAATGTTTGGTGGGGACATCTTATGCCAGGTAGAGCTGATGATCTATAACCGTCAATTTTTAGATGCTTAGACTCAGCTTTTTCCTCCCCGTTCAATGATGTGACCTTTTCTTCTTGTTGTGTAGCCAGATGCATTTCTCTGTTCTGTCCATGATGTGAAGGTCGTAAACTCTGTTTACCAGAGACATCGAGCAAGAAACATTGCTGCAGCTGGGGCTGAGGTAATGAAAACAATACATTGCATTGGCTTTTGACACAGTTCATTCAAAACTTAGAGTTATACCTTTTCTAGTTACTTCTTGTAGTTGCTGCTATGTGAAAAATTATATATATGTCTGGCTTTAACTCAGAGAGTCGTTGTTGCAGGGGTTTCTGAGACAAAGGCTATCTGGTCAGGGTCTTGCTTTTATTATCGCTGGTGGCTCTGGTATGTAACTAAGGTTTATCTCAACATGCTGTTCTTTCAGTTTAGGCCCTTTTAAACTAATCAGACTCCATTTGCTTCATAAGTTGTACAGAAAAACCTGGAGGTGGGAGAAGTTCTCACCATTGACGTTTCTTGCATTGCCGCTCTCACTCCCTCGATCAACTTCCAAATCAAATACAATGCTGCACCTGTAAGACGGGCAGTCTTTGGGGTATGTTACGTTTCTTCCTTATCCATTACAAACAAAATGTATCAAAGATTGTTCCTATTGTCAAACTTACAAATCTTTTATGTTTTATCAATAAAAAGGGTGATAACGTAGTAACAGCGACTCTAACGGGACCAGGCATCGTGTTCATCCAAAGTTTACCGTTCCATCGACTCTCGCAGCGAATTGCAAGGTTAAGAATCGAAATCTCCTCTTGCGTATAAATAACTTTGGTTTCTTGTATAAGAAGAACAAATCAAAACTAGACTCACCAAGGGTTTTTGCTTGCAGGTCGGTGACGTCCCCAAATATGAGAGAAAATCCAAGATTATTAGTTCAAATAGGATTATTCATATTTCTTGCATACGTTGTAATTGTGTCCTCTTTAATCCTTACTGAAATGTGAAAAGTAGAGAGGTTTCTTTTGTCCCGTCGCTGCAAAACATGCACTCACTTTTGTCTGTTTTATTCTCTTTTGTTATATACAGAGGTTTAACACCAATATCACAACATTAAAATTTTTAGGGAGGATGTTGCATGAGATTGGATATACACACTAGAAGAGATTTTTAGACATTTATTTATCTTTTTTTTCTTCGCAAAATTGAATTACATTTCGAAACGACACTCATGACTAAGTTCCATTTAACGAACTGCAGGGTGTCAGAACGTGTGACGTGGCGGGTTGCTTATTTGATCGAATATAGGTATTGTCAATGTGTCATGAAGTTAAACTTGGTATCCACATCCTTTCAAGGTTGTTCTACATGTGTTTGGTTCGTGCTATTGCCTTGGCAGTATCTCTCTGAAGTGACCATTGGTTTTGTTGACTAACCATTATTAACCGTTCTCAGATTCATGTTGGGATGTTTATTGTGAATAGATACTTGAAAATTGAAATCATTCATATAGTCGAAATAACCTTTGAGCTCCCCAAAACTTTCATCATCTTCCACAAGATTAACTTTGCTAGAGCACAATATCTTAATCTTATAACTTCAGCAGAGTTCAAAAATTTCTTCAAATGTCGTAAAATGATTTCATGACAAATTTGATTTTTTGTCACTAATATATTCACGTATGAATCATTGATTTTTTGGTGTGTGTTTACTAATTAGTGTTCCCGTGAAAAATAGAGTTGTAGAACCTTTGTCATAAAACTATCTTAATTTAAACTTTTGCCATGAAAAAGCTCATTTGACAATTAGTTTATTCAACTTTCTGAAGATGAAGAGGTATCAAGAGTTTAAGTACTCACGAAGTTTCAAACATCTTACATGAAAACAAATAAATGCCCCAATTTAACTTTTGGTATCAACCTAAAATTCTTTTGTAAATTTATGTTGTTAAATCTGACGTGCCCAAAAAAGGATGCTTATGTGTCAAACTTTGGTGACACAACCCTCTCTAACGAGTCCCAATGTAACATTTGAAATGCATCTCAAACGATGTAACAATGTGAAGTGCTTAACCGTATATAGAGTTGCAACAAATCCACTATTCAAAATAAAAACCACAATGATTATAAAATAGTACATATCTTTACCTAGGTTATAACAAATCCACTATTCAAAATTATACATCAGCAAAACAAACAAAATTGTAGATTAAATAGACGATTAATCCACGATACTTATGAATGTGCATTTGTATGCATATAAACAAAATTTCAATTTTAAAATCATATAATAATCATTATGATACCAGTATCAGACTAATTCATACTCCAGTTCTACAAATATTTTAACATATACTAACTTCGGAATATCACAAATTACAAATTATAATTCATACTCCAGTTCTACATATAATTTAAAATCAAATATCACAAATTATTTCAAAAACAATGATCCGGCTAGTATTTGATTATATAAGAAGTCATACAAAAGAGCAACATTAATCGTTCTAAATAAAAACAGAAGATGGAGAAATAAAATCCATTTATATAACAAAAGCATTCGATTACATATGACTTTTTCTTAAACTCAACGCAACAAAGCAGATTATTTAAACATCTTCCATCTCTGAGTCAGAAGGCATTCTCGTCATAGTATCAGGCCATGGCTTCGTCTCTGTGAAGATGATGAAGGGCGTTTCAGTGATTTACGCACACATTTGAATCTTCATTCTTCGAATCAAGCTCGCGCTTTCTCTCCTTTTGATCGCTTGGAATGGCGGAAATGCTCATCACCGGCGTCGGAAGGTGCCACCGAAGGAGATCGCTTGTACCTTGATGGCTTCCTCTTGAAATGTCTGTCTTCATCATCACTTGAATCGTATTCTACCATCTCTCTTTCTCTTCGACTGTGACGACGACCCGACGAAACGGCGGCGACTGAGCTCTCTGGAGGCGCTGGAGAAGACTTTGATGTCTTTCGTTGTTTGCCAGAAGATTCCTCCTCTGGAAAGCTTATCCGAGTGAATACGTTAGACTTATGGTTATCATCGATCTCTGCAATTGGTTCCGATGATGGCTTTTCGGATCTCTTACGGTGCTTGCGATCTGCATCTCTGTGGCGGTCACGGCGGCGGTCGGAATCCAAGTCTTGGTGACGGTCATGGTGACGATCACTCTCAGATTTCCTGCTGGATGATCGTGTCGGAGATTTGAGCCTCCGAGATGACTGACGCTCCGGTGATAATCTCTCCGATCGCCTGCGACGGTCATAATCCGACGAAAACGGTGGCGGAGGTCCTTGTCTCTGTTTATTCAAGAACAAGGCCATTATTGGTAAAATAATTGAAAGAAAATTTGAGTCTTGAGCCCAATAAGAGATACATTGGGCCCAACCCATTTTTTGTACTTTATCGTAATTAGCTTATTAATTAAACACAACAAAGAAAAGAGCAAGCAAACAGTAAAATAAATATAAAATATATGTTTATTAAAAAAAAATTGAAACCTGTTACAAACGTGTTTTTAAAAAATGTAATTTAAAATATGTCCTGATTTAATATGATTTTGATATCAGAATTTAACTTTTATTTCATAAATAAATAGATCAAATATCTACATATTAATAAATAACAAAAATTTAATATTGTCAAAAAGTTTTTAACATAAAATAAGAAAAATAATATTGTATAAGCTCGGCAATAATGCCAAACTAATAATATTGGTCTGTTTGGGACCACAACTCATGTAAAAAACACTTCCTACAACTCTCTACTTAACCCATTTTCCCTCCTACGAAAATTTCGATCTTGATGAGGCCAAAAATTATGGGATAGTTTTTACTTGTGGAAATAACTTTCAATTCATTTATGCATTCTATAGAGCAAGTCAACACATTTTATGACATTAATTCAATTTCTCCATCTACCTCATCCTAATCTTAAATGTCTCTCCTTTGAGTTTTAGCCCTAACCAAATTAGCATAAAGCAGACAGACGCCTACTTAGTAATTGTGGAATCAACCCAATTTTTTTTTAACGTAAAAAGATATGCAGAGAGCGAGAAATATAGAAATATAAAGAGAGAAAGAGGGTGTTGAGAAAACGTCATCTCTTGCAAGCCGAGAGAGAGAGCGAGAGAGAACTGAGACAACAAAATGATACATACAGATTTTGGTTTCATGGGTGAGGAAGATGCTGCCGAGTTGTTCATTATTCTGCTCTTTTCACCGACATTCCCTCTGTACCACACAATAAACAAACAACTAGTTAACATGCTGTAGACATATATAAGCCTGAAATTAGTGAATGCACAGACAGTGCTTTACCCTTCTGACCGTCTCGCGTTGTCACGCTTTCTTTTCATCTCAGCTTTCTTGGCTTCAAATTCTTCTCTCCCCATTATAGGATGCTGGAGATTCATACGATTCCCCATCTCCGCAAGGTCCCTGCTCAAGTCACATGTAGTTATAATGAAGAAATAAAATCACTAACTATTTATGAACTGAGAAAGCAAGTCTCAGCTTCTCAGTACCTATAAGGTGGTGGTATATTCGGGAACCCGAAGCCCTGTGCAGCGAAAGGATCTGGATGCATCACACCGCCAAACGCCATGTCCATGGGGCCTAATCCATAGCCAACAAAAGGAGGCATCGCACCAGGAAAAGGGCCTGGAAACCCATTGAAACCATGATGAAAGCCATTGAACCCAGGTTGAACACCATTGAACCCATGTTGGACGCCGTTGAAGCCGGGTTGCAAACCATTGAAGTACTGATTACCGGGACCTTGACCCATGGGCATCATATAGTCAGGGCCTGCTAGATCTGGCAAAGGACCACGAAGACGAACAATATGTTAAGCCTCTCTATATAGTTAACATAGACTAGGAAGAAAGAGCATGAGTAGTCCACAGCAAAATAATAAAAAGCTACCGGTTCCAGTCATCCGAGGTTTCTTCTTCTTCCTTTTTCCTGGTGAAGAGCAAAAGTATACATTATTACTTTACTGATGATACTAATCGCCAAACATCAATGTACATTGTATAATGTGCAAAAGGTGATGCTTTCTCCTCTTTTATGTGTGATAAATGCAAAAGTTTCTCGTGCTAATGGGAAAATAGCCAGTGATTACCTTGCTCCCCAGAAGCAACCTGCTGCGGCATTTCTTCCTTGGGGGCCTGCGTATTCAGTTGTGAAACTGCTGCTTCCTTGCCATTTGAGGATCCTTGAATGTTTTCAGATGCATCAACTGGCTTTTCCACTTTAACTATTTCTGCAGACGCCCGCGGAGTACTTGTGATCTCCGGTATTTCTATTGACGGCTTTAGAGTTGAAATCTCATTGTTGTTACTAGGAGCTGGTTTCTTTTCGCTTCCAGATGCAGCAGATGTAGTAGGAGATAGAACCTTGGGAGGTGGACACCGTGCAGACTCCATATCTAGATTGAATACTCATTAGTTTACCAATGATGGTACAAACAAATATAAAGACTGCGAATGAGAGAATGAAATACCTAGGACTTGACACATGCTGCCAGCGTTCTCAGCACTACTGTTACCAGACTCCAAGATACGGTTTATAGTATCCCTTAGGGTCTTGTTTGGTAGCAGATCATCAGCTAGGACATCAGTTGCTGTACAAGCACACATTGACTTTGCAATGATGTGATCTCTAATACCTGAATTGTAGATAATGATTACAGAAAAAAGGCGTTAGTGGAACAGCAAAAGGAATCAGATGCATTGGCAATTTGACAAGAGAACTTACACTTGTCACAGTAGCTCTTGAGACAGCATTTGCTTGCCAGTGCAGCATCTCTCATCACTTCTTTGCACAATGGGCATTTTAATTCCGGAGGAAATTCCCCGACTGATCGTGTTGTTGATGTCAATCCCTCCATTTCCTTCTCAAACGCATACCTAAATTTGTCAAATTGACATATGTGATCAACATTATGACTAATTATGTGAAGAGGTACTAACAAACAACTCGTCATGTTAATTTAGCGACAACGTACTCGTTTGGTTTTAAAACTGCTACTGCGCCACTTGGCAAAGAGTAAGAGCCATTTGGGGTCGCCATCAGCATTGACTTGGGGATACCAGTAGGTGGTTTAACTCTCTTAACATCAAAATTAGGATTACCGTTTGTGGAGCAGTGTTGAATAAAATGTCCTGAGACAGAAAAAAGATGCACAGAAAGAGATGCTCAGAACACAGTTTATTCTCGGTTATAACCGTACACACTCGAGACGATATTAAACCAAATTAAAAAAAAAATATATATATATATATATATATAGAGATTCTCTAAGTCTGTCATACCAGAAACATTGCACCGATGGCAAACATAGCCTGGTGGCGGCGTTTTCCTTTCCATTCCTGGTCAAACAAATACAATCAGTCTCTGTATATTACATTTCAATGAAAGAGCGAACAAAATATTTGGATAATAATTGACAAAACATCCCAGTCTCGGAACAAAATATCTGAGGGGATTGAAGCATATAAGTCAATATATAATTACCAAAACCGCGGCCACCCATCCTTCCAGCCATACCCCTCCCATAACCTCTGCCCGGGCCAAAACCATCCGCACCTTGCCTGTAACATGAAAGAAAAATAAGAATGTTATGCAAAATGTTTATCAAGATCTTATTCCGCATGCTCATGTCCATCAGTTCAAGAAGACTACTTACTGCTGCCAGTCCAGTGCTGGAGTGTCAATTAATGCCTTTATTTTGGTTTCTTCATCTACTTTATCATCGGCTGGTGCAGGATCATGACATAGGTTATTAGAATGGACGGTTGGGGCATCAGGAATTGAATACAAATCATTCCCAAACTCATCCCATTCATCTTCAACCTATAACGTAGAGTAAGGTGTAAATTAATATTTGTGTAGAACAATTCAATACCAATAGAAGAAACTGAGAAAATTTGCCATAATCAACTCACAGCAGATGCATCAGCAGTAATAAAATTGTTCATAACAGCCTGAATATTTTCCACTTTATCCTCGACTCTCGGCCTGCAAAATGTAGTTATTTACATCATTACACCTGAGGGTCCGGTATTACTTAACAAAACTCGTAATGAAATGCCCAGCTTAGAGTGAAAGAAAAAGGGCCACAAAGATTGAACAAAACAGTTGAGAAATTAAAGATCTCAGAAATTACTCTTCTCTGGTAATAATTCTGATGCGAGGGCGTCCAGGTACCCGGCGAATTAGAACAGATGTATTTTTTGGTATTAACATTGCTTCATCCAGATATTCTGAAATTGCAAAAGAAGAAAAATATATGAAGGCCACATATTGCTACTAAATATCAACAGAGAATTGTAGTTAAGTGTTTCAACGTTACTCTTTCTAATGATTAACACCACAAACCAATCAAGAACACTCTAATCTCAGAAGTAATAACATTTAACGCATAAGATTATACAGTACATTTTCAAATCCATTTTACTGAAGCAGTTAGATACTAAACAATCCATGGCCAGATTAACATTACTAAATGTGATTACTTCGATAAGTGAATAAAGAAGAAAGCCACATGAATATTTATCACAATCAGACCAGAATCCAACCCTAGTTAACAACAAAACACATGGAACAATATCTTCTAGGTGCATAAGCATAAGGAGAAGGAAGACAAACCTTCATTAGTTTGGGCATTAGAGATGACAATGTCAAGGTCTTTACCACTTCCCAAATGCTTAGTTTCGTAAATTTTTTCTTTGAGAAAACCAACTGTTATAAAAGGACCATCCATGGAGATGGTATCATAATCCCTCGCACTCTTAAACTTGTAATAAATTGCCATTCGATTTAATCTGATAATGAATAAAAATACAATATATGTATTACTAATTTAATAAAACACACAAGAATCTACTCTTTTGAAATCCTCAATCCAGGCCAAAAAAATGGAGGCCAGAAATTTGATTTCCAAATAAAAACAAAAAGTAACTACAAATATGATTCTTTACTTCTCTGATTCGCCTTCAACAGATTCAACACACGAAACCTCTCACGCGCTTCAAGACGATATAGAATATCCCACAAGCTCAGGAACGAGAACGTCCGTGTTGAATTGAATCCAATAGATCGCAGGGACAATGCTGAGATATCTCCAAATCTCCGAAAGGATCTTCACGTGAACCGCGACAAGTAAATTGAATCACTGGCTTCAATTCAGAAGATCCTGAAACTCTCCAAGCACCGAATCGAGGATATAGAATCGAAAACCACTGTATCCCTAATGATTCACGGTGAAATTGCAGACGATCTCGAGAGAAAATTAGAGAATCTTCGTATATCAAGGAGAAACCGATGGATATCGCACGAACACGAACTCTAGGGTTTGGACAGAGAACTGTCGTATCCAAAAGACTCTTCCTCTAATCCTCTCTTAAAGAATAAGAGCCTAAACGTAATGTTCTTATGGGCCCTACAGTAGTTCATTTAGGCCCAATACGTAAAAAGGCCCAATAAGGTTTTTCTCAATCTGATGGAAACCCTAGCTCCCATGGAGACATCTATTTAAAGCAGAAACCTAATTGGAAGAAAGAAGTGACTGCGACGCCGGAAAAACGCAATGGGTATGTTTCTCACTATTATATCTCTCTGATGCTGTTTCTGTATTGTTCATTTGATTTTGGTTGTGTAGTTTGTGTAAGAAGTGTGAATTAAGAAGGAAGAAATGTGATTTTTGATGATAGGTGCGTACAAGTACGTGTCGGAGCTATGGAGGAAGAAGCAATCGGATGTGATGAGGTTTCTGCAGAGGGTTAGGTGTTGGGAGTATCGCCAGCAGCCTTCCATTGTTCGTCTTGTTCGTCCCACTCGTCCCGACAAAGCTCGTCGTCTCGGCTACAAGGCCAAGCAGGTCTTTTTCTTCTTCTCTTCATTTTGTTTATTTTAATAGTTTTAGGTAATGTTGAATCTAGCCCCGTTACTAAATTGCTGGTTAAGCGGTGTCTTGATGCGTAGTCATTTATGTCTGCGCTTTATGATAGAATACTTCCTGAACCCAGCTACATAGATTCATTCTTCTGACTGAACAGCTCTTTATCTTTTGTGGACTCTGTTCCTGTCTAAGATTGATACATTTTTGAAGCCTTTGATCATAAAATGTACTATGTTTGATTAGTGATTCACTGTCTTTGTTGCTGACTTCTCTTGATTATCTGTATTAGGGATTTGTTGTCTACCGTGTTCGTGTCAGACGTGGTGGTCGCAAGAGGCCTGTTCCCAAGGGTATTGTGTATGGTAAACCCACCAACCAGGGAGTGACACAGCTCAAATTCCAGCGCAGTAAGAGATCTGTTGCTGAGGAACGTGCTGGTCGCAAATTGGGTGGCCTTAGGGTCGTTAACTCCTACTGGCTCAATGAGGTATGCATCACTGTCTTAGTCGTTATTGTAGTTACTATCCATCATAGAATGCTAGGTGGCAAATGAACTTGACTCATGTACGTTCAGACATTGGCATGTGTATATCTAAATCTTCCTATAAATGTATAATGAAATGGCATGTGTATATAGACCTGTACATCTAAATCATCCTATAGATTTGTAATGGAATGGATTCGGATGATTAATGGTTGTGTTTTCTCTGTTTCTTAGGACTCTACCTACAAGTACTACGAGATTATCCTAGTAGACCCTGCACACAATGCTGTCCGAAATGATCCAAGGATCAACTGGATCTGCAACCCGGTGCACAAGCACAGAGAACTCAGAGGGCTCACCTCCGAAGGAAAGAAGAATCGTGGTCTTCGTGGAAAGGGTCACAACAACCACAAGAACAGACCTTCCCGCAGGGCAACCTGGAAGAAGAACAACAGTCTCTCTCTCCGCCGTTACCGGTGATCAGTTTTATGTTTTTTTTCTCTCCAAGTGGTATATCTTCTGTGTGGATTTGTGTTTCGGAATTCTGGAATTACATTGGGATGGAAGACTTTCACATTCAAGAGTTTGTTTCAAGTTTTGAGTTCTTAAAAACTTTGATTCTGACCATAAAGTTAAGTTTCTTAGTTAATTTTGATGACGATTTTGTTTTACTTTATATCAAGAGTATAGATTTGCTCCTACTCCTACCTTTAACTTCTGAATGCCAATAAACTGATTTGTGAAACCTTTTAAAAAATCAACTATGATATTGAAATTAAAAACGTTAATGTATCCAAGGTGTTCTATTTAGAGCCTTTCTTCAACGAAGCTGTCCTTCAGATTTTGGAGAGCTTGACGGATTGAGTCTTCTGTCTGTCTAGAGTATTTCAAGCATATCAACCTTTGAGCGACTCGATAGATCCTATGTATTTCGTGGTGCTTCCCACAATTTAGCTCTATTCTTTTATTTTCCTGCCCAACATTAGATCATGAACATGTTAACAAAAGAGCTTAACAATACTTTTTATGCTAGCCTATTTAGTAAGTTTTGGGTAATACCTTGTCTGTGATCCTTGTGGTTATGGTCCTAGCTGTATCGATCACTGTAGTAGGCAGACCCGCCACTTCGGCTAATAGAAGGCCATAGTGTGGAACATGTAGGGTTCCATCTCGCAGTTGAAACTGATCAGAAAAATGTAACATTCAGCAGCAGTAGCTAAAATCTCGAAACTCATTAGAGGGAGGCAGACAAAACCTTGAAGTCTAAGCGGTTGTCTCTGATGTCTACATAAAAGTGAAGAACCTTGACATTTGGGTAGATGGTTGCTAACTCAGCGAGACTGTCCATATGGGTTGCAAATACTGTGTACCTAGAAGTTTAAAGCCACAAAAAGCACATTTGCATTTACTTATTCAATACCTTTCCACAGTGGGAAAAACTCAGTGAAATGCTTACGCTTTGAGTGATAAAAGATACTCGCAGCAGCTCCATGCCATTGCTAACCCGTCTGAGGAAGAAGTCGCCCTCCCGAGTTCATCCATGACTATCAAACTCCTACAGTTTGAGGCGTTTATAGGGTATGAAACTGAGGGGGAGGTTTGTTTGTATCAATTGCTTTTACAAAGCCTACCTGTTGGTGACATTCTGCATTATGAAAGCTGTCTCTCGCATCTCCGTCATAAACTGTGACATTGAAAAGTAAGGAATGAGAATTGTGATATCCCTTCTCCATTTGTAAATTGCTATCCTTGTGTTCATAACTGTTGGGATTCATCAATAGGACAAATCCTTGAAAATGATCCTATTGAAAATGATCATCTACCAGTATGGGATAATCTCTGAGCGAGAATTTAAAGGTTTACCGTGCTTGAATTTGACTCAAGGTTATCCATTGTCCCCATTCTTGTAAATATGCGGTCAACCACCCTTATAGTTGCAAAGCGAGCTGGGACATAGCAGCCAATCTGAGCAAGAATGACTACTAGACACACCTGTTGGAGATATGTGCTCTTTCCGCTCCTTGAGATATGGAATACAAATTCAAACATGAGTCGATGAGGATTTGCTGTAAAATTGATCAGCAGTAGAGGAAGTAAAGCAAGAGTTCCCTACATGTTTGGACCCATAACTACCAACATGTTGGTTGCTTCTGACATGAAGATACTATTAGACTGCAAAAGAGAAAATTTGTGAGTTAAACAAGCGTGCACAGGGCTTATAATAAAAACAAAGGATACAAGAATGTTGGTGAAGAGAGCATAAACTGCAGAACACATAAACATGTTCTTCTTTAAATTTCTTGGATGCTAATGTTAGTGAGAATTAGAATATCAGATACTTGTCTTCAAGCTTTGCCACCAAGATGATTTCTCAGAATAAATTGAGGGATGATAGTATCATGAGAAATAGCACTAAAAAACTTACAACAAAGTCGTTGTGTATGCTTTCTAGGATGGGATGCCTTCCAGCGTCAATTGCCAGTGGGCCACTATCTGCCAGACAATATATAGACAAGTAAATTCCACAAAAAACGTTGATCAATCATTTCACTTAAGTGTTCAAGAATTCTTTAGAGCTAAGGAATATGAGAGGATGCGATGGTAAGTGTTTGAGGAATGATAGTGAGAGAGTCAGCTACCTGTTAGTTCAGGTCTAGAGTATCGATCCACTGGCTTTGTGGATATTGTATGAGCAAATGAATTAACAATCATATCTAGGAGACATAAGACTTCTGCTAGGAGTGTGAGGGCAGAAATATCTTCCCTTATAGCATCCATTAGTGCTGCATACATACGAAAAACATTTCGCATAATAGGAATAAACAAAACAAGCATGGATTATAATGAATCGTGTTATTATATATAGTGTAGAGCAATGTGAAATTATCAACCTTCCAAGCATGTTTCCGTTCGAATGAAACACTCTCCAGCAGCAGACTTATTCCTGACATTCAACTGCACAGCAGATCAAGGTACATTGTGTCTAGGTTCCTGAAATCATGAATATAGCTCCTACTTGTGCTAGATTTGAGGGCTCATTCTTCTCAAATCAAAAAGATCCAAGGTGTTTCAAGTCCTTGCTGAATTAAAACCTTGGTAAGGAAATTTTGTTCATTTAATATCATTTGTAGCAAACATCAAACTTTGTATAGATAGCTGTAACATAATCCTGAACTGGACCACTTCATGAACTGATAAAAATGATTAAGCACCAAGAGAATCACACAAGGAAACGAAGCATCTGAAATTGTTATAGTTCAACTTACAGAAGCTAGTTCCAGACTCGAACAATGAATGTTTTTCCCATGTTTTACAACCTGAATTACATGCCACGTACAAGAAAAATAAAATCAGGAAAACCATATATATAGAGAGAACATTAAGTTTCAAATGGAAGTACGTTTTTTACCTGAGTGAATTTGTTTGGAAGTTTTCCCTGAACTTCCTTCTGAGGAATTCTGAAAAAGAAGCCCTGCCTGTTGTTGAAAGGGAGTTTCAGATTTGGCAAGTTGAATTCTTCACGATACTTACTCGCCAGATTATGTATTGCTGTCAGTGTTTTCAAGATTTCAGATTAGCAAACCAAATTTGTAAAAGGGAAAAGCAGTGATAATACAAAATGAAGCATATTCTTGGTTCACCTTCACTAGTATCACAGAAGGTTCTTCTTGCAATATCCAAAAATCCATCAATTCCAGCTTTTAAAGCAAAACACTGCTGTGTGCGGGCAACAAACGGAACCCGTGCATGGAGGACATCATCATCAATAACTTCCCCGATTCTGAAACAAAAAGATTCAAAACTCTAATTACTAGAAACCTTATAGGATAAACGAAGTTCATAGCTCCTATCTACTAGCCAGACCCACTAATGGCATACTTTTTTCTGATAGAAGCATATCTATCATTTTCACACACAGACTTGTAAACATTGGCAAGGAGAAAACACTTTGCGTCCTTCAGAACCTGCATTTTTTTTACATAGGATAGGGCGCAACTAAGGTTAGAGGTAAGGTCATAGACATAATTGCTACATCTACCAAAAAAACTAATAACAAAATGAGAAAGAAAAACACCTTTGCAAGTAGAGGCAAAGCATCCAATGCAGTCTTAAGTAAGATAATGCTTGAAATCATGTTTTGGCTCCTTCTGGTATTTTCAAAACCTATGACCGCTTCTGTGACTTTCTTTGGCTTGAAGCAGAAATGACAAAGAACTCGATCTGATAGTTGTGGATGATTGTCAGGAATCTCTTGAGATGATGTGATTAAGAGAAGAACCAAGCTCAATATATTGGATGCAACGAGAAAGATTCCCGATCTTCCCACTTTTCTCTTGATTACTTACCAGTCTCTTTTGGAAATTTACGTAAAACCTGTGAAAGCCCAAAGAATAGTTGTTCATTGCTCATCAACTCATCCTGAAATTACATTAAGGGGAAACTATGATTAATGCATCATCATACATTGAAAAATTCCGGTAGCTACACAATGGATCAAGCTCTGTAAATCAACATATTTAACACAAAACGGAAACTGGATGATATGCTTTAAGAAGTTCCTTAGAAAATATAATACCCTAATCTTAACTATACTAACCAGGCAGTCCAGGCGAGTGTTAATGGTTTCAATATCTTTCAGAGGCTGCAACAAATTTGCACGAAGAAGCCTAGTCCTGACCAACATATCATGCATGAAATAAAATGACTAGTGAGTTAATGAAACAATGAAATATGCCGACATGCCAAAATAAAATATTTGTCACAAGAGCCAAGATGTCTTCAATAGTAAATTCAACTAAAAAATATGCGTTTCTAGATACCCGCCAACTGTTTTTGTTGTCTTGAACATCTGGAACAAACTCCTCTTTTTGTTGCTAGTGCCCAAAAGTGCGTTGTGGAATGGATCAATGATTTCCAGATTCTCAACACTACCATCAAATCAAGGAAACAATGAAACAACGATTTACAGTTTTGATGCTAAAATTCTATATAATTTAATAGGCAAACATGAACAGTATCAAGGTAATCGTACCTAGTTGCATCGATATTCATGTGATCAAACGATCCATTAAAAGTTACCTAGACATAGGCATCACAATCCACAAAAAATGCTATTAGTACCCTTGAGAAGAAGAAACAGATAAATACCCAAAAAGAGAAAGAAACAATGACTCATTTTGCAAGAAATTGTAAAACTACTGCGTATAAAACTTTTATAACCAAGTAATTGAGAATTGTAAATAACCAAACACATACAGTCAGTGAGTGGTTGGTGACTATCACACCCTTTTCCGCCTCTATCCTGCTCATGAGTCATGACACAACACACCAAAACTCAGTATTTCAAAAACACCAAAATGATAATGTAATGAGGCAAAATGTTCAAGATTAGACACCATTTGATTGTAGCAGCAGCAGCAGCCAATGAGAGATAATGTTGCTTATAGTAAGTGTCTAAACCAAGCGCCAAAGGTTCTTCTGCAGCCAAGTTTTGTATTAGCACAGCACCCTGAAACATATAACCAAAAATGCATATCGATTTAGAAACACATGACTACAAGGATCAATGGATGATTGTACTATAAGAAGTTCCTGTATCAACCTTAGTGTCATCGAAACAACCACGGGCAAACACAACCTGCAAGAAGGGAATTAACAGTAACAGTCAATTAATTCTGCTATAGCTAAAGACATATGCATTCATGTCCCCAATTTGTACAGAAATATAACCATGGTGCAGAAAATTTCACCTTCCTAACGGTGCTATAACATCTATCCACCAGTTCTGATACCCCAACCATGCCATCAGCTGCCAATTTATTGGGAGGAACAATTATCACAGAAGGATCATAGAAACGCAACAGCGTCTTCGTGTTTTGGTATGAGCTACTGGTCTCTATATACTGAGATAGATGCAGTGAAGCCGATCTTAGGTCAAAAGCAGCCATTCCAACCTATTTCAGAGAAATCCAAAATCGAATCCAACATCACCATAGATATATCACGCGAACAACAAGATTCTGAAGCTATGACATGGATCCCAGAAATCGCCGTTGCATAATCGAGACCCAAAGAGAACACAAATGACAAATCAGATCATAATCCTGCCAAATCCGAGCAACGGAGAAGCCGTACGTACCTCTTTGGCTCTGTTCTCAATTAGGCCGGCGACGAAACTCGATCTCTCTCCTCCGTCGTCTTCCATTTTCGCTCCACAGATCAGAATTTGAAAATTGAGCGAAAGGTACAGAGTTCTCCGAAAATGAAGGCAAAAGCGCGCCACTGTGAATTTTATCAATCGGTTTGCACTCACCAAGCCGATTCTGCTTTCGTAAACCGGCTTAAATTAGACTGCTGGCGGAATATTTCCGGTTCAACTTTGTTGATTTATGAAAACCAACCAACATCAAATCAAATACATTTGCTAGATTTCCGTTTTAATTCAATTTTCAATCGAATACATTTGTATATTTTTTCAATGGAATAAGTTTTTGTCAAAATCTTTAAAAGAAAAGAAAAGAATTACCAAATTTAAATTTGGTTTGGTTCGGTTATTTTGGTTCAACAGAGTTTGAATCTGTTGGTGTATCCGGATTGTAGAGAAATAGAGGGGCCAGTTTGATCCAGTTGCCATTGCCAAGCAGGACAAATAAGTTGTTGCTATTTCAATTTAAACCTCTACTAAGTACTAACAAAGAAAAGATTTCTTGGCTTATCTTATAACAGTTGATGATCACTCTCCTTCTTACAATAAACAGTGTTGTATGGCAAACATATGAACAGCAATAATACCAGATTAACAAAGGTTCTATTTTAGTTTCTTTACCTATCTGCCAGTCACAGATCACAAGACCTCGTCAATGGTTACATAGCGGCGCTCTTGAATGGAGAGCTGTGCAGCAACTCCCATGGCAACAGCCATCAATCCGTCTTCCAAATCAATAGCTGCTCTTCCTTCACCTCTGATTGCTGATAAGAAGGTGAGGTGTTCCACGTAACTTGACCCGTGATGTAACCCTTCATATCTGAATAAACCAACATCGTGTGATGTGAGACTATGATACATTGTTAAGAGTGCAAGACAATATATAGATGAGTAAAGCTTACTTTATTCTTTCATCTTCAGCTTTTATTGTTTGAACGTGTTCTCTTCCTCCAACACGACTGCCAGATCGAACTATACCCTCTGGAACAAGTGCCTCCCCCTGCAACATGCTTGCCAAGTCAATTGAAAAGAAAGCAGAGGAACATATTGACCAAACTCAAAACTCATGGATCATATGAACAACTCCAAAGAAATAGTGTGATAACACTTTATGCTAATCTTCCATCTACATGCTTGCATGTAGATATGCCATGTGATTTGGGAATAAATGGAAAGTATGTCGAATGATTCAGAGAATTCAATACAAAAGAAAGAACAACCAGCCAGCTCTGTTTTTTCATTTCACACCAAGAGCATAAATAAGCGCACACACACACACACAAAAAGGGACCATAATATTTCAAAGGTACTCACCTTTCCAATGTCACCAGTAACAGAAATTTCTTGCTCGTTTTTGCTTCCCTCAGCAAACATGCAAAGGTCGAGCATCCCACGACATCCATTGTCAAACTCAATTATAACATATGCGTTATCAATTATATCAGGCACCTATATCAAAAAGAAACATCTAGTATGAAACTCACAATACGTTGATTGACTGTAAAATGGGATTAATATGTACCTTTCCATCATAAATTTCATCCTTGTGGTTCACATCCATGCCTCCAGAAGCCATCACACATACAGGATTTGCACCGGCAAAGAGCCTCATTAGATCAAAGAAGTGGCAGCATTTCTCTACTAGAGTCCCTCCAGTGTTCACATTGAATCTATTCCAGTTGTTCACCTAGTGATGTGTTCTCTCAGAAATCATATGAATGTGAAGCATAAACACTACACATAGTCCATCTTGTTTATGCTTTACCTTAACCAAGAAAGGGAATCTATGTTCTCGGATTGCTACCATCTTGACATTACCAAAATCTCTGCCTTTTACTTTTTCTATTAACTTAGCTACCGGCGGCATGTATCTGTACTCCAATCCAACTTGCACCACCATGTCTGACCTTTTCTTTGCAGCCTCCAGGACCTGATTTCAGGCAAAGTAGATGAATTGATCAATCATAGTCAGCAAAATTTGTTACCAAACAAAAAAGAGAAAAAAGACCTGTTTGCAATCTGCAATTGTGGTGCATAAAGGCTTCTCAACAAGAACATGATGTGGTTTCGGATAATTGATAATGTCCATAAGAATCTGATGATGAGTCATATTTGGAGAAGACACAACAATCACGTCACACAGCTCACTCTTTAGCAACTCTTCGTGTCCTGAGAAAACCTTAATCACAACAATGTAAAAGAAATCTCAAATCCCTGAGTTTACCAACGCCTAAGTTCTTCCACAATCAAAGTATGAAAAGAATTTATCAAGTACAAAGACTAGGAATCAAACAATCATGCACAAGAACATTATATAGAAACACTGCCCAAGTTTCCGCTCTAAGTAAGTCCTAAGTTTGATTATAAATCTCTATGATTGTTCCGGGAAATTCAAAATACCTTAAGCTCCCATCCAAAAGATTGAGCGAGTTCAATGGCCAGAAGCTGTGAAGGAGGGTGAGGATCGGCGATGCAAACGACAGCGAGGCCTTGGTCTCGGAGATGGTGAAGATTGATGAGATGTTCTCTTCCCATCATACCAATCCCTACGATTCCGTACTTGGTAAACGCTGAGTCCATAGCATCCGCCATTAAAGAACGTCTGAGCTCTCTCTCTCTCTGACTCTCTTTATCCCTTATTGGTTTGGGCTAAACGACGACGATGGGACCTATCTCAAATATTGTACGTCGATGTAAAACTTTTTTGAGTAAATGATATTTTTACTTTTTAGGATGAGGCCGATTTGGAGAGGACACAAATCTATGAGGAGTCGTATTTTATGAAATAGTACCGAACATATGTGGGAAAGAAACATGATACTTTTTTGGTCCTTTTATCTTTTTGTGGTGTACTGAAACTTGAAGCTTTAGGAGGATATGGCTGTGCTCAAAGATATATTAATGAATCGAGGATATGGCTGCTCAAAGATTTTTTTTTTGAAAATTGGGTAAAGTGACCAGAAAATGGTCTATAATTTAGGATATGACCATTCATTAAGCAATGCCCATTTGATAATAAATATGATGAAATAAATCTTTTTACTTTATTTTTGTTGAAAAGAGTATGAAGAATGAAGAATAATATTTCAACTTGAGCAAATGTACTTGAAAAAACTATTGTAGAACTAGAGTAACCTACAGAGTAAGAGACAAATATAGTTGAAAATATTAGAACAATTGCATTACAAAAATTGATATTATATGTATACAAATAAGAATTTTATCAAAAAGAAAATCCTTCTAAATTTTTAAAATATAATAATTTTTTAATACGATGAAGTAAACAGTGAAAGTCACTCTAGTTTTGAGTTATGCTCTAAAATTTCAGGATGATATGTGAGAACAGACAACACAGAATCTAACGATAAAAAGGTGAGAATGTTTATAACAATGGATGATGAGTCGGATTCAAAAGAGTGCGACAAGAAATAGCGGCAATGATACGAAGAGTCTCCACCACCTCATGTCTCTCCGCCACAGCTTTTAGATCATTTACGAAATGGTCTTTTAATTCCTCTCAATTTCTCGGCGAGTCTCTCGATTCCTCTGTCTCACCTCTTCTCATCCCCGGCGTCCACGTCTTCCATTGTCCGGTACGTATATGAATCCAATAATCATTCATGTTTTCTCATAAATTTCTCTATTGGTTCCTAACTAATTGAATCCAATTTCTCTTTTTGAAGTTTAGGATGTGGTTGGGATTGTAGCTAAACTATCAGATTGTATTGCTGCTAAAGGAGGAAACATTCTTGGTTACGATGTTTTTGTTCCTGAGAACAAGAACGTCTTCTACTCTAGAAGGTAAAGTTTCCAATTTTCCATTTGAAAAATCTAACCTTTGATGCTACTTCAATAGATTCTTTCTGAATCAATGTCTTTTAAAGTGAATACTATCAACTCTAGTTAAAAGGTTTCTATTTTTGGGTTTAGTTGTGATGAAAAGGTAATTTCTTTGGGCAGTGAGTTTATATTTGATCCAGTAAAATGGCCAAGGAGCCAGATGGATAAAGATTTTCAAACTATTGCACAAAAGTTTAGTGCTATGAGCTCAGTAGTACGAGTGCCCTCTTTAGACCCCAAATACAAGATAGCTCTTCTACTGTCGAAACAGGTAAATTTTATGTCATAAAGAAGATCCTTTTATTCTGTGTCTTCTTTTTCCTGAAGTTGTGTGATTCTTTTGTCTTGTAGGATCATTGTCTGGTTGAAATGTTACATAAATGGCAGGATGGAAAACTTCCCGTCGATATAACATGTGTGATAAGGTTTACCTTTAACTCTTCTCAACGGATTGAATGGATATATTAGTTATGCATGTATGACTAGTGATTCCGGAATATTTTGTGTATCCAGTAATCATGAAAGAGCTCCAAACACTCATATTATGCGGTTTCTCCAGAGGCATGGCATCTCTTATCATTATTTGTCAACTACCGATCAGAATAAAATAGAAGAGGAGATTTTTGAATTGGTTAAGGATACCGATTTTCTAGTTCTCGCTAGATACATGCAGGTATATCAGCTTTTAAGTTCCATCCTAGGCTCGTTTTCTTTGTCCTGAATAGTCTCATTACACTTTGTTTGCTTCTTCTCTAGTTTAACACCAAAATGAATCAAATTTTCTCCTCAGACTGTTCTTGCTTTGAGCTTATGCTTCTTTGCAGGAACAGCTTTATTAACAAAAGATATTTCTTAGCATTAGTTATTATATTGATGGATGATGTTGACTGGAACAGTTTCCTTTGACAGCTACTATCTGGTAACTTCTTGAAAGGTTATGGAAAAGATGTAATCAACATCCATCATGGCCTCTTGCCATCATTCAAGGGACGAAATCCCGTGAAACAGGTTTCTGAGTTCTTTGATGGCTCTACCTCGCATGAGTTGTGTTATTTATATCTAGCTCCTCCTTATCTATCATTTTTTGTCCCTGTCGCTTACTGTTCAAGATTCTATTGGTAGGCATTTGATGCAGGTGTGAAACTAATTGGTGCAACAACTCACTTTGTTACAGAGGAACTTGATTCAGGTCCTATCATTGAACAAATGGTGATTCATCTCCCTACTAGTTTATTTGTTTGAGTGTTGCATTGTTCTTAAGAAGCGTCTCAATTTGATTTTTACAGGTTGAGAGAGTTTCCCACCGAGACAATTTGAGGAGCTTTGTCCAGAAATCAGAGGACCTTGAGAAAAAGTGTCTCATGAAAGCTATAAAATCTTACTGCGAACTGCGAGTATTGCCTTACGGGACACAAAAGACTGTCGTATTCTAATACAGTCTACATGAAAATCTCTGGCATGTCTCTCACCTGATTCTTCATATGAACTTCTCTCACTCATGCAAACATATACATACCACTTCTCTACAAATTTTTGATTCTTCATAGCTTACAAGTCAATGTTTTGGCTTTGCAAATCATAAACTGAATCATTGGAAATAAAAAGTTCAATTGAGATTCATCATTCTTCTGATGTCTTTCTGTACAAAGAAATGTTCCTAACACTTGTTTGTGATCATTTGAACAACCTGCTGTGTTTTATCCAAAAGTCTACTGAGGTTACAGAGACTGACATTGTACATTGCCAGGTTTTACAAATACCTCACAACAGCAAAAATGTGGATATTATATATGTGTATATAATCAAATATATACAGGATCCTGTATCATGTGTGACCGGTGAGACTCAGAGATCCCAGCGAGCATTTGGCAGCTTCAAAGCAGTTTACTTGGCGGAGAAGAGACTGAACCCCATCAACCCATCTCTGCTTGTGAATCTTGTTCTTGCACTTGAACTCCAAAAGACCTTGTCCGGTTTTCAGACCGAAGTAGACTTCTTCTGAATTTTCCCTCTCTTTCCTGTAAGGCCAAGCTGATTTCTCATCGCAGACTCCATAGACAACACCTTCAGAAAGGAACAACAAGTTCAGAATGTCGTCTTGCAGGTAATTTATCTAAACTGAAAGATTAGTAAATGCTTACATTTGATCTTCTTGGAGAATGCCCCTCCAACATGTTTGCTTTTGAGCTTGATCATTACCTGCAAAATCATAAGTAGCATAATAAGCATTGGTTCAGAAGTGAACTGAGATGTGTTGTGTGTTACGGATACTAATCAACTCTGCTGTACCTGAGACTTCTTGTTGATATAGACGCAGACACGCTTAGTTCGCTGCACTCCTGCAAGTTATAGCACAAGGAAGAAGAGTTAAGCTCTCTGTCTTATCTCAGACCCAGTGAACTAGACTTGGTGATAGAAAATATTACCATTTCGGGCACATTGCATCAGTTCGCCTTCAAATGGAAGATTTGGTTCTTCCAATCTAAACTGAAAATTTGCATGCCAATGAGAATCAGAGAAGCTTCTCTCAAAAGGGGTAATAGCTGCATTTTTCCTTGCTTCCTTTGGCTGCCTCGCCTTCAGAGCCGCTTCTCCTCTCAAAGCTAGTGGCAGTTAAACAAAGTCAGATCAACTGCATATCAACGAAACCGAAAATGCCTTGTGAAGCTGCAACAAAGCCTTACCAGTTGCAGCAGCAGCTGTTAGAGTCATGAGATCACCGGGGCTGTGGATATCCACAGAAGATCTAACCGTGGAAGTAACACGTGCACGGTCAGCACCGGCTCGCTCAGCCATCTCAACACAGTGTGAGGCCAACAGTTCAGTGGCTGAGGCTAAAGCCAGTGCCATCTTGGAGCCTGACCCTTTGCAACTGCTTGCAGATGTTACAGAGGCTAAGCCTGCAGCCAGAGCCGCTATAGAGACAGCAGAATGCACGTGGGCGTTCTCAACACGGACCTTGTCTTTCTTCTTGAGATTGATGGTAGTGCTGCTGCTGCTGTGTTCCTTGTGGTGGTGAAACCATTTGGATAATGTCCCTGCTCTACGTGTGCCAACAGAGTTCATGATCTTCCCAGCCTAAAATCAAAATCCCATTAGTTTTAAAGTATGAAAAGAGTCCACAATGTTTTGTCCGTTCCAATTTCTAAGAACTACAACTATGTTGGGAACTGGTGCAATGGTTATATACCATTGAAAAGTCTTTGACTTTTAAGGCTCACCATAATTCTGAGAACTAGTTGGAAAAAAGGGATAAAAAGGGTCGTACCACGAGTGGATCTGCAGCAGCATCAGGGAACAAAACAGGAGGACTGTTCTGGCCAACACAAAACTGTTCTTCTTGTTGTCTATGTTTAAGAGCAAGTGCTTTGGAGATTTCAGAAGTAGAGAGACTCCAGGATCTAGACAGAAACTCCATTGGCTCTTTTGGTGTCTGAGGCTGAGGAATCGATGAGAAAAGCTCTTCAGCTCTGAGAACTCCATCTTCCAACTCTTCCTCCATATTCTCTGATCCAAACAACGAAGAAGAAGAAGTATCTTTCCAATCTGAATAAAACCCACTTTCCATTTTCTCCTAAAAATGAATCTTCCGATGGAAAATGAAGTTTTCTCGTATATGGAAAGATGACGTGGGATCACAAGAGAGTATTTATTATCCTGGTGGAACAAGAGTTATGTTCTGAACAAAACCATGTGACCAAAACAGAGAACCAGCTCTGAGTTTCAAAAATTAAAACTTGAAAAAATGAACTGTAAAACTGAGAAAAAATATATAAAGAAAATGATTAAAAAGGTATAAACTTTTGAAGATGAAAAGGATGATGTTGACTCAGGTGGAAGAGAAGAGGAAGAGCATAAACCAAACTATACAATTAGAGAATCTTTTTTTTCTTTTTCTATGAAAAAGAGAATTATTCAAACCACAAGTCCCAAAAGTACGTGCAGACTAATCAATAATATAGATTACAATAAAAATCTGGATGAGTGTTTAATTACCGTAAGAGTCTTGGAGAGATTTTAAGAACTCGTCTCCATGTTCTTCTTATATATAAGTGCGGATAAAGAGAGGATAATATTATGGTTAAGAACATTGTCCATGAATTCAGGTAATATCTTAATCTGGTGGGACGGTTTGTGAAACCACAAAGAGGCGACAAATGCATTGGTTTGAGAGCATTTTGTCTTTTGAGCGGATGGCTCTCACACGATTCATTCCCCCACAACCGACCAGCTTCCTTCAAATAATAAACCATACGTAAAAGAAAACACTTTGTTTTTCTATAATTCTATTTATGTACTCTATCGTTTGAGTTGGTTTTACGGATTAACAGTTTTTTAAATGTCTTTCTAGCATTACTATTTATCACTTAAGTTGAGTACTCGAACGGTTGTTTAAACAATAGTGTCTCCAGCCAGTTAGACCAATTTGTGTATTAATTAGCTTGAGTTTAGGAATTTTGATTGGATTCTAATGGGCCTAATATAGGCCTTGGACAGAGAAATATTGGCCCTTTCATAAATTATGTTTGAGCAATTTGGAATATTTTGAAACTGTTTTTTTTGTCAACCTTTCAACTTTCAAGGATATATAATTGAAAGATTCCACAAAACATACATATATTTTTAACTATCATAATTCAAAAATTAGGAGTAATTATGTCAAAACAAAATATTGGATTACATAATTTTGATAAAAAATACTTGTTCACTTGTTGAATTATTATTGTGAACAAGTATTAATTGGACAGTCAACCGGTAGTTTTAAACTTTTTATCCATTAATTTCCGAATATAACATGAGTTTACTAAAAATACTTTTGGGATTAACACATGCAAGAAAGTAAAAAGGCAGATATAAATAGCTACTGATCAATGATCACATGAAAAAGAGATTCTGAAAATATACAATTCTTATTTTTAACCAACACAAAGTACAACTTTGATCTTTTTCTCCACATTCAATCATTTATTTTCGGAAGAAACTTGGACCAAACATTTTCACACAACAAAAAGCAAGCCAAACAAATTAAAATCGCATAGGATTGATCAAGGGTAGCTTTCTGTGGTGGGAGCCGGAGCGTAGGATCCGATGAAGACGTCACCGTAGATGAGTCCGGCAAGTGCACCACCGACTAGTGGACCCACCCAGTAGATCCATATCTGAGAGAAGTCACCGCTGACAACAGCTGGTCCAAATGACCTAGCCGGGTTCATCGAACCGCCACTGAATGGACCGGCGGCGAGGATGTTGGCGCCAACGATGAAACCGATAGCAATTGGAGCGATGGTTCCAAGTGATCCTTTCTTTGGATCAGCCGCTGTGGCGTAGACTGTGTACACCAGAGCAAAGGTCACCACAATCTCCATCACTACTCCTTCAATAGCTCCTAAACCGGCTGCTACTCCATGAGTCGGTACGCTCTACATAACCGGAAATTAAACACATTCTCGGTTAATCCATATACCTTTTAAATCAAACCGGGTCTTTAGACCGCCATAACATTTTTTAATCACGGTCGTTTGGACAAAACATTCACAATCAGAAATAACACATGACTTAAATAATTAGTATTGAATGAATTACGAATGTTTTTGTGTACCTCGCCATTGGTCACGAAGACGAGGAGGAGACAAGCGACGATGGAGCCAAGGCATTGAGCAATCCAGTAGAAGAAACCGGTTATTACTGTGATGTTGCCACCGACTGCGAGGCCGAGTGTCACAGCGGGGTTAAGGTGTCCACCGGAGATGTTGGCGGCTATGGAAACACCAACAAAAAGGGCAAAGGCGTGAGCCACTGCGACAGCGACAAGACCAGCCGGGTCCAAGGCTGCATCGGATGTGAGCTTGGCAAAAGCAAGAGCAGAACCAACGCCAGCAAACACAAAGAGAAGAGTTGCGATAAATTCAGACAAGTAAGCCTTAAGAGATGCTACACTAAAGGAGTCACCCAAACTTCCAAACTCAATCTTCACCATTTTGATTCGACAAGATAACTCTGTTTTTTCGACTTTGGTTGATTACAAGTTATGTTTATTTCTGTGTGGTTTTGGACATGTTAATGCTTGACTTTATATATAGCAACGAGGTAAGGAAGTTGTTGGTCCCACTCTACGTGGCCTGTCACAATTGGATGCCGCCCAAACCGCCAATTATTTAGACTATTCAATTTGTTTTTGAATTTTGAGGGTTAGTGACATCGAAGATGATTAAAGACAACTAATTGGTATAATGCTATGAAAATGATGGATAAGGTATTTCATAATATGTGAAGATAAGAGTGTTCTGTTGTCATGTTAATATCCTGCATTTAAATTAATGTTGTCTCACACCAATTATGATAGATGGTCGTCTATTTTTTTTTCTTTTGTTACAATTTGTATTTTATTAGTTTGGGAGGTGCTAAAAACCTATAATATTAATAAGGATTAGGAGTTAAATCAAATACCATCGTTGCTTTGTTTGGAGTTGGTGACTTGGTGTGTTAGATATAGGCCGTGTTCAAAAAATCGCTAGGCGCTAGTCGGGCGGTGAGGGTGCGCCTAGCGCCTAGGAAGAAAATCGGGGATTACACGGGGATTAATCGGGGATTAGTTTTAGGGCTATTTAATATTTTAAAAACATATTAATCCATTATAATTAAGAAATTTATATAATATTGTTTTTAAAATTGTATTAAACACATGAAAACAAGATTTTAATTTCAAATTTATGATTTTTATACAAATTACGAACATAAGTAGGACGTTTTGAATTTTAGATGAAAAAAAAAAAGTAAAAAAAAAAAAAAAAAAAAAAAAAATTGGGCTAGGCGCCGTCTAGGCGGGCTAGGCGGCCGCCTAGGCGGTCCAGGCGGACAAAAAATCGGATCTCCGATTTTTCTCACCGATTTGGACAAAATCGCCGCGGTGCTCCTCCGATCAGCGCCTAGGCGGCCGATTTTTAGAACAAGGGATATAGGTATTGGCATAAAATAAAGTGATCAAAATTTTTGCAGACAGGATGGTTGTTTATATTACTTTTCCCGCCCCTGAATCTTAAAGTAATATTTTTATTTTAGCATAAGGTTTATGGATAAATTTTTTTTAATTAACCTGAAATTTGCAATATAACAACGAAGTGGAATGCTCTTTCCATGATTAAACCGATGCCTGACACATGTTTTTACACCCACTACTACTTAAACTATTCCATCTAAATACTTTTTTTACGAACTGAACCTAAATAATTGACAGAGAAACCATATTTGTATATGATTTAAATATACTTCTTTTTTTTCTAAATCTAGATAAGCACATTTGAATTTGAACTGAAAAAAAAAAATGATCTGAAACTGAATTGAAATCCAGAGCTGAGTCTTAAACGATAACGCGGCCACTTACATTTATGGGCCCAAGCCCATATAAATAACCCAATGTTCCATTTGATCTGATGGTCCAAACACACAAAAGCCTCTATCTATAATCTATGTAGTTAGTGAGTGACATGTCTCTTCTCTAATTTTATCCGTAAGACACTTTCCATTGCGTTTAGCCAGCCAATCAACTTCATTATTCCACTAACCAGTCAGTAGTCAATAGTCATTTCAACAATAAATCTTTTTAACTTTTACCACAGTCACGTCAACCAAAAGATATTTTCTTTTACCTCTTGCGGTCATTAAAATTTTTATTTTCTTTTAACGGAACTTTAGCCAATAAATTGCCCTAAATTTTAACGTACGTTTTAATTTAAAAGTAAAAAACCTTTCGTGTGTTTTGTTTAAATTCAATATTAGCCACAGGATCCAGAAAATTCAACACGTGTCACTCTGGATTTAGCCGCATCAGCATCCATTTTTTTTTTCTCTACAAATGTTATTTATTTATTTAATTTGGACTTTACTTTAAACCAGACTCATTTCATTTGCCGAGGAAAGCGAATATAATTTATCGGGCCATTTCTCTCTCAATCTGCTTCACTCGCCAAACATCGTTTCTTCGCCGGAACCCTAGGTCACCTCCGTCAGTTTGAATTTTCCGGTGAGTTTAACTTCTTCACCAGCGTTTCAATTTATCATTTTAAGCGAGTTTACTCTGTTAGGTTTTCGTGTGCCCTTGGATTTTGAAAAGGAAGAAATTTTATAATTGACGCGTATGGTTTTGTTTGGTGGAGCAGTAGTAGATGAACGTGCGATTAGGGAACAGCTGAGGTCTGACGGCCAGGTTTTTTGTCACCGAATGGAGGGAGGTAGCGTCTCCATACACTCTTGTCTCGGTACTTTTCGTTTCCTACTGTTTACTCCACTCGACATGAAAATGACCAGAGTCGTTTTTTTTTTTTTATGTTTCACGGTGTTGGTATACTTTTGTTTCGTAATTTGATTGATATGTCTCTTATTTCAGGAATAAACCCATGGATTATGATGACAATGACTTTCAAAACCAGAATCTCCATTTAGCTGGTGAAGCCAACAATAAATTTCCACCAGTTTTACAGCCTTATGCTCTTCCAAAGTTTGATTTTGATGATACACTCAACACGCATCTGAGGTTTGACAGTTTAGGTGAAAGTGAGGCTTTTCTTGGTATTGAGGGTAACGAAGATAATAACTGGATTGAGGATTTCTCTCGTGGAAGTAGTGGTATAGTGTTTAGTTCAGGTGCAACGGAGTCCTGTGCCATTTCAAGGCACAATAATGTTTGGTCTGAGGCTACTTCGACAGAATCTGTTGAAATGCTTTTGAATTCAGTTGGACAGGACGAAGTTATTGTAAGAGAGGATACTATCAAGAAATCTGACAAGTCTGATGAACTAGGTTGCACAATGGAACCAATGGAGCCTGGTCAGACATCCCATGAAATAAGTCTTTCCAAAGAGGAAACGGTAAACGTACAACCCAACCCATCTGTGGATGATACTCCAGGAGAGTCCTCTGTAGTCAAGACAGATGATGGACAGGAGCAGGTTCTGGTAAAAGACGACTCACCAACCACTGTAGAAGAGGCATCTGTGGAGGAAAAGAATGCCATCTTGACTTCAAATACCGCGACGGTAGAGGCTGTCGATACTGCTGGTCTTGATAAAATAGGACCTGAGTCAACTGATAATCTTCTTCACCAAACGGAAGAGAAAGCCAATATAGAATCAAGGATGGAAGATGATTGTAGCGATAGAACTGTACCGACTGTGATTACTTGTAGTGGTGAGTTGAATAATCAGAGCACTTTGCTTCCAGAGACTTCCAATGATGAAAATGTTATCAGTGACCACATTCAAAGTAGTTATAACCGCAGTGATATAACTATAGATGCACAGTCAGTTTTGGTTGAGGCTCATTCTGATAGCCATATAGAATCAGCTTCCGAAGCTGAAAATGTGGAAGCTGAAAATATTGGCGATACTGCAGAGCCTGATTTGAAGGAGATAGAGCTATCTGATGTCACAGTACTAGAAAGAGGGGACCAAGCTCTCCCTACTCTTGAGGTAGGTGGACAAGATGTTTCAGGGACTCAATGCCAAGATCTCCTTGTCAGCACTGTTCATACTAGGGGAGGTATTGAAGCATCTTTGGAACTTGTTGGGGAATTGACAACTAAAACAAACAGTGTTTCCGTTGAGAAGCCTGAGTCGCTTAGTCATCAACATATGGAACTTATTACAAGCGTACATGAGTCTACTTTTCAGATGGAGACTGAGACACATACGCAGATACATGTAGTTGAAACTTCAGAAAGTGTTTATATTTCACCTATGGACTCAGTTGAAGCTACAAAAGGTGGTGTGTCTAAGAAGAGTGACAGTGAAGGTAGTGCTCCCACTTCTAATCTCGAGCAAAGAATGGAACTGCCTGTCAATGCCAACGATAGAGATCAGGATGTCAAGAACTCTCCAATTTTGTCTGAAAGTGTTGTGTCCGAGTCTGTTGGCTATGTTTCAGGAGGCCCTGCTTCCAAGCTGGCGGAGCCAAAATCTCAATCTGACACCATCCCAACAGACAAGTCAGGTAATCATATTTTCTAATCCTTTTAATAATCATATTTTCTAATCCTTTTAATATACTCTATCTTCATATTTGCCTTCTCGTTCTCTCAGTAGCCCTTGTGTTGCATATTTTTTCTTCGTTTGGGGTTAACTTCCTACTGCAAATGGTATATATTACTTGTTTACAACCCCCTAAATGTCTTCCACAGGGACTATGATTGACTATTCTCTTAACCGTGAAGAATTACAACCTTTAAATCCAAAAGATTTACATATGGTAAAGACATCCTCTGATGCAAGTGACCAAGGCAGTTTCTCTAAAACCGAGAAGATATCATTTGGTGAACCTGAAAATGTTCAAACCGTTCCACCTGTGGATGCAAGTAGTTCGGGGAGTCAGATGGACAAACAAGCTAGGAAGATTGCTGAAGATACTCAGCAAAGTACACACTTTGTTGAAGGCTGTCCTGGCTCTGAAGGGTCAAAGGATGCAGCTGATGCTGATGCTGATGCTGATACTGGTGCTACTGGACAAGTTTTGCTGCAGCAGTCTGAGGAAACAATTTTAGAAGAAACTCTAGTAACAGAAGTTGTAAATGCTCCTGGTAACGTTTTCCTATTTTCGGCCATAGTAATTGTACTAGCTTGTTTCTTTGTATATTGCCGTTCCATGTAGACCGAACCCGATTTGTTTACCTTTCGATGGGTTGATTTATGTTGTAGCAATCTTTTTTTCTTTTGTTTTTTCCTCCGCAGAGACTCAGTTAGTTCTGGACAAGGATAACAAAAGTGAAAAGCCTAGTACTAGCTCCTTCGCTAATCTTGGGAGTGAAGCTGGAAAAGATGACCGGGAAGAGGATCATTCTGCTGCATCCGGAGGGATTATGTCAGCTGGGACTCCTGTTTCACACCCCAAAGGTGAGTCTGTATGATCTTCGTAGCATCAAGAAACTTCCCTTTCTTGCAGTTTCTTCTGATTTCCTTAGAATGGTTTACAAGGAAGATACAGATTAGGTGTATCATGTATGAATACCGACAAAGTATACACTCTGTGTATTATTTAAGTAAAAAGGCTCTTTTATTAAAGAATTCAGCTGGAAAATTCCTGACTAAGTTGAACAGATCTTGATCTTGGAACAACTTTTTTTTTCTATATCCGTGCAATTAATTTCATGCATTCATCGAAAATATGTACTTGTCCTTGGGATATTTCAGGTGATGCAATCGTACTAGGACACTCCTATGCTTCTACAGTTTCTGAGCCTTCTGCAAAGTCTCATGTAACTGCAACAGAAGACGCTGCTACTAATTTGAAGACTCCTCTTGATTCTTTCCCCACTGTTAAGACTTCCGAACTTCAACTTAAAAAGACTGAGACAAACAGTTTCAAAAAGCCAGAAGATCAGAATATTTCGAGTTTTATGTCTGCTGGATCTTCGGTCTTGAATAATGAGACCCTCAGCAGTGAGATGAACTTAACTCCCGATCAGCTGAAAGTAGGGGAAATTTCCAAAGCTGTAAATTTTTCACAAGCTACACTGGTCTCTCCGGTACTCTCAATTTATATCTTGAACATATTTTCATCAGTGTTCAAGGCGAATTCTGTCGCATTAGTGTGTGTTTGTCCTTACGTAGCATTGTTTTTTGTTTATTCAGATTGTGGTGGGATCTCCTTCAACATCTAGCGTAGAGAAAACAGCTGCAAAGTCTTCCAAAACAAAATCTGAGCGGAAACCCAGGCGAACATCTAAATCTGTAGGAAAAGAGACTTCTAGAAAAGGAACTAGTGTAAAAGGGGCTACACCTTTTCAACAGTTTCAAAGTGGAGGCAAAACAAATGCTTTTAATCAAAGTTTGGCTTGTCCTATTCAGATCACACAATCTACTGAGAAACAGCAAAGTCTTCAGAGCCCTGCTCTAAAAGCTTTTGGGACCCTTTCAACCCCCACGGCAAGTCTACCGGATTTGAACTCTGCTGCTCTCTCAAGTATTCTGCGTCGACCTTTCACAGACTTGCAACAAGTGCAACTACGTGCACAAATTTTCGTATATGGGGCTCTGATGTAAGCTCTTTCTTAGTCTTTATATGTTCTCATGTCTTGTTGAGTTAGTGAGATTTGAGAGCATCTCATTTGGAGTTCTTGCACATCTTATTCTCTTGCAAAATTTTGATGGTTATGTTTTTTTTTTCTGATACAGCCAAGGAACAGCACCCGATGAAGCTTATATGATATCTGCATTTGGTGGTCCAGGTAATACTGTTATTCTTTAATCTATTGTGTTATTCACGACCCATGTTTGAGACAAGTGTATTCACTCTGCATTTCTTTAGATGGTGGGAAGGGCAGCTGGGAGAAAGCATGGCGTTCTTGTGTTGTAAGGGCTCAGAAATCGTTTGTTGCTACTCCTGAAACGCCATTGCAATCACGTGCAGGTTTCTACATTGATTTATTATGCATTTCAAACTCTTATGGTCTGCTTAGTTTTACCTCTCACCGCTGCTGATCTAAATACCCAAAATTGCATTTCCAGGGAAGACAGAGACTCCATCAGCAGGTCACACCAATAGCAAAGAGAGTTCAGTGACAAACCCCATGATTCCACTCTCATCACCTTTATGGAGTTTATCAACTTCCCTTGATACTTTACAATCAAGTAGCATTCAGAGAGGTTCAACTGCTACTCACCAGCCATTGCTTTCTTCATCGCATGCTCACCAAACTCCACCAACTGCGAATATTGTTGGACATAATACCCCTTGGATGTCGCCTCTCCCTTTCCGTAATTCTTGGCTTGCTTCTCAGCAAACCAGTGGATTTGATGTTGGTTCTCGTTTCCCTGTCTATCCGATCACCGAACCTGTAAAATTGACTCCCATGAAAGAATCGTCCTTGACTTCTGGCGCAAAGCATGTTCAGAGTGGAACTTCTGGCAATGTTTTCAAAGTGACATCATCACTTGAGCCAACGAGTACAGTTGTAGCACCTGCTCAACATTCCACCGGGACAAAATCTAGGAAACGGAAGAAGATGCCAGTCTCTGTGGAGTCTGGTCCAAACATTTTGAATTCGTTAAAGCAGACAGAGTTATCTGCCTCACCTCTTGTTTCTATATCGACGCCAGTGCCTATTACACCTACTCCGGCTAATCTGGGTTCTAATGCTGGCACCCTGCCCAATGTTGTTTCTATCACTGCAGTCCCTATGGACCTGGTATCTACGTTCCCCGGGAAGAAAATCAAATCATCGTTGCCATCTCCAATTTTTGGTGGTAACCTTGTACCTGAAGTAAAGCAGAGATCTGTCTTGTCAGAGGATACTATGGATAAACTTATGGAGGCTAAGATGCATGCAGAGGATGCATCTGCTCTTGCTACTGCAGCTGTTAGTCACAGCGAATATGTATGGAAGCGGATAGAGCAACAAAGTCATGCTGGCCTCCAGCCAGAAACTCAAGACAGATTAGCTTCGGCTGCTGTTGCTATAGCTGCTGCTGCTGCGGTGGCAAAAGCTGCAGCTGCTGCCGCCAATGTTGCAGCTAATGCTGCATTGCAGGCCAAATTAATGGTTGAAGAAGCATCCCTTCTAAATACTTTTGATCAGGGACTCCCAAAGTCAAATGATAATATATTATTACCAGGCCAGGGTACCCCTGCTTCTATCTTGAAGGGTGAAGGTGCAGTGGGGAGCTCCAGTTCGGTTCTTATTGCTGCGAGAGAGGCATCTAAGAAGAGGATTGAAGCTGCCACAGCGGCCACCAAGCGTGCTGAAAATATGGACTCCATTGTAAAAGCAGCTGAATTGGCATCCGATGCAGTTTCACAAGCTGGAATACTTGTGTCAATGGGTCATCCTCCGTCGCTCAATAAGCTGGTGGAGGCGGGTCCAAGTAATTATTGGAGACAGGCTCAAGGATCTCATGAAGTGCAGCCCTGTACGGTTGTTTTAGAAAAAGAACCTGTGGGTATTAGTGAGGGAACTATTGTTAGTCCCAGAACTGTGCAGACTGAGTTGGGTGGCTCTCTGAAAAAGGCAGATGGTGTGTCTGGTCCAGTTTCTGCCACTGGAAAGAAAAAGGGACAAAAGGGTGATACAGGTGCAGACTTGGCTAAAAACAATGATGTGGTTTTGGAACCAGAAGTTGGGTCAAAAATTTCGATTGACACCCAAACTGAAAGTCAACAGAGTATGAAAGCAACGAATAATGAGGACATCAAGGAGGGTTCTAATGTAGAGGTTTGTGCTACATTTGTATATTTACACCGTCTATAACTAACTGCTCGTGGTTGATTGTGTTCTTTCGTTAACGGAGATAAAATTTCCTTTGAAGGTTTTCAAGGAAGAACCTGGATTAAGAACCGCATGGTACTCTGCCAATGTATTGAGCTTAGAGGAAGATAAAGCTTACGTGTTGTTCAATGACCTTTCTGTAGAACAAGGTTTGTGTGTTTACCACGATCTTTTTCTTTAAACCTTAATTATCATCAACAGATCTTTAACTTCACAAATTCTTTCAAGTATTAGGGTAAATATGTAATCCTATGTAATCACTCACTTTCCATTATTATATTATATGCATGTAAAAAAATATTTTGAAAGGATGCAGCCTGAGTAATGAAGCTCCTACGAAGAGGCTCCATTGCTTTATTAATTGATTTGTTGATCCTTTGATATTATCTTTTATGAGGAACAGATAAGCTAAAGGAGTGGGTAGCCCTCAAAGGCGAAGGTGATCAGGCCCCTAAAATAAGAACTGCTCGTTCTGTTACCGCCATGCCATATGAAGGAACAAGGAAGAGACGTAGAGCTGCTCTTGGGGATCATGTTTGGAAAATTGGGGACAGGGTAGACTCGTGGGTGCATGACAGGTAGTCACCGTCTCTGTAACCAGCTGTTTTAATGCTTTGCTCTAACAGGGATCAGACCAAAACATAAATTCTGTAAATCGATTCAAATCTTTCGTTCTGTGAAATCCTTCTTCATTCAACGAAGTTTGGAAACTTGATCTATATCTGTTTTATTTTCCTTCAGTTGGTTGGAGGGTGTTATCACAGAGAAGAACAAGAAAGATGAAAATACAGTGACTGTGCATTTTCCTGGTGCGTAAGCCTGATGAAGATATCTCATTTTTGTGCTCTAAACTGCTTGTCTGTGATACACTGTGCTCAAAACATTCTTTTTTCTATAAAAAAAAATCTGCAGCGCAAGGAGACACTTTGACGATCAAAGCTTGGAATCTTCGTCCTTCTCTTGTGTGGAAAGATGGAAAGTGGATTGAATGTTCTAGTTCAGGAGAAAACATCAGCTCGTCACATGAGGTATTTTGACCCTTTTATGGATCTAGAGGGTTCTCTTTTGGATGCTTTAGCTAATTTGCAAGACTCAAAATTTTGAATTGCAGGGTGATACGCCAAAGGAAAAGCGTCCTAGATTAGGAACTCCTGCTCTTGTGGCTGAAGTAAAAGACACGAGTATGAAGATTGTTGATGATACAAACTTAGAGAAACTGCCTCAGACTGGTGTTCTTGACCTTGGTGTTTCAGAGAATACATTTAACATTGGAAAGAGTACCAGAGAGGAGAACAAACCCGATCCACTCCGAATGAAGAGAACCGGTTTGCAAAAGCAAGGATCAAAAGTGATTTTTGGTGTCCCTAAACCTGGAAAGAAAAGGAAGTTCATGGACGTGAGCAAACACTATGTTTCAGAGGCGAGCACCAAAACTCAGGAACGGAAGGAACCAGTTAAGCCTGTGAAATCAGTTGTGCCTCAAAATTCTGGAATAGGTAGCTGGAGAGTGCCTTCTAAAACTATCACCAGAGAGAAACAGACAACAATATCTAAGCCCAAGACTTTCAAACCTGCACCCAAGCCCAAAGAGAAACCGGGTGCTGCGGCTAGAACAATTCCCCGCAAGGACTTGCGTAATACAACAGCCTCAGATATGGAATCTGATGATGCCGCTGATGCGAGTGCAGAAAACAAAGGTCCTGCATCTGGTGTTCCATTTAAGGGAACAGTGGAAGAGCAAACCACATCATCCTCCCATGATACAGGTTCCAAGAATAGTTCCTCCTTGAGCACTAATAAAGGGAAAGTGGCTCCTACTGCAGGAAGGTTAGCCAAAATCGAAGAGGATAAGGCATTGGCTGAAAATTCTTCAAAAACATCAGAGGGAATGGAGCCACGGAGATCAATCCGCAGGATCCAGCCAACTTCTAGAGTAAGTATATGGGAGATTTACATTTATGTGTGGAAGTTTGCATAATGTCCCCTGATTTCTGGTCATGACCGATTCATTTAAAACGTGTATCTGTGTTATTCTGCAGCTACTTGAAGGTCTGCAAACGTCGATGATGACCTCGAAGATTCCTTCGGTATCACACAGCAGAAGTCACCAAAGTCAAAGCAAAAAGTAGCAGTAGAGGTGATGCTTTGTTATAAAAAGTGTTCAAAAGTGGAATAACTTGGAGGTAAACCAATATTTAGCTGAGACTGTTGATGATGTTGTTGGCAGGCAAGTGATGGAACAGAAGAAGCAAGTGCACATAAACCCAAGTGGAGGAAACAAAAGAAGCAGTGTCGGCTGCTATTAGGTTGTTTTTAATTTTAGTTTTATGCTTCTAAAAGAAACCAAACTTGTTTGTTGGTTGGGAGAGACTAAAAAAAAAGTAGGGGAAGAGAAGAAGAAAGATGATGTTGTTATCGTAGGTGTGAATTATTTGCTTTTGATTATTTAGTCTCAGTCAAATGTTCTCTCTCTCTTTCTCTCTATCTCTCATGACTCGGTGTGTCTAGAGATAAGAAGAAGTTGTACATGTAGTTTGATTGTTCCCAATTATCATCTCTCTAACTCCATTTGTTCTCTCAATCATCCTATGATAATTTCAGGTCCGTTTCTCTTGTACTGCATGTATTATGCAAGAAATGGTCGAATGAGCTTGCATATTAATCCCACAATAATCACGTAACAATACTTTGGATTATTCAACATGATGATGTTGAATTGTTGCACATTCCCAAAAGTGTTTTGTTGAATTGTTGCACATTATCCGATAAAAACCCAAAAGGAGAGAGATAATTGTTTTTGCCTAAACGTCTAAAACCTCGTAAAAACCCTTTCTTTCGATCACATCGTCGTGTTTCGCCTTCTCTGATAATAATGGCTTCTGCTTGTCGTAAGCTCTTTAACAGAGCTTCCGTCTCTTCCCTCAAATCCGCCCTCAGATCAACCACCGGATCTACGCCGGCTGCGTCATCAGCCGGATTTCGTCTTCCTTCTCAACCCTCTCGCCATTTCTCCTTCTCCAGGTCTGCATCTGTGCATCTGTTTACTAATACCAATTTCATCGCCTCTTTTTCTGAAATTTCCAATGTTTCGACCTCTTTAGGTGTCCGTCGGAGCTGGGATGTGTGCAGTCGCTGTTACCGCTGCACAGCACGGTGGCGGCGGCGAGGCTGACGTCGTGTCTAAGCACAACCTCAAGGAGTAGCCGAGCTCTCTCTCAGGGTACACTCTGCTGCACCTCTCCCGATCTCTAATGCTTTTCTCTTTACTTTTCTTGTGAGTTCACTCTTTTTGCTTTCCTCCTTTTGCATTTAGTCTCCTTCTTTGTTTTAAACTTGGCTCTTTTCTGCTTGCTTTTGATTTATGGCTATAGTAGTTACTTAAATTGAAGCCAAAACCCTCCAATGTGCATTAGTAGCTGATCCAAGTATATATAGATCTTAGGAGCTGATTGATTGCTGCTATGAAACTCTGTATCTGTTTGGTACCTTTGCGTGGAATCTTTGATAGGCCTTATGACATTTCTGGCTTGAGACTAGTTTATTTGGTTAAGTGGAAACTAGAGTACTCCTCAAGTCTTTGTTTGTCCCCTGCATTAGTTACATAGTGTGGCTCAGTGTTGTAAGATTATCTTTGGGTCTTAACAAGTAGGAGACAACTATGTTGGGTGAGTGACACATTTTCTGGAGGAATGTAATAGTTTTGAGGTTTAGTGTCTAACTATGAGTACTTGGTTGATGCAGGCACATAATTTCACCATTACAATGTGGACCCTTGCATCTTTATCAAGTAGGAACCTTTTTTTTCTTAGCTCTAATAGTTGAAACGAAATCAGAGAAATTAGCGATTGGGTAACTAATGTGGGGTAAAACACTGAAAACATGTACAACTTTATTTGGAAATTTAGTAAACATAATGTCAAGTTGCATAACAGCTGCTCATTGTATTTCCTGCTTTTGTTTTTTTTTTACGTGAATGCCGGTTTCTGCAAGTTAGTTTGTGCTTTGTGTATAAGAGTGTCACACAGTAACGTAGTAATCTGCAAAATGCTCTTTGTCCAGATGGAGTCGATGGCACGTGAGATGTGTTTGCAGTTTGTTTTAAAGGTGGGTTCTGTGAACAATGATCCCTGAAAAGTTAGATTTGGGAGAAGTTATTTTAGATGAGATTTTATTGTCTAGTTTAAAGGTAGCATTGCTTTGTTATTATAGTAGATTCATTAAGCCATTTGCATCCATCTTTTGTTTCTTCACCTCAATCAGTGCCCTAATCTAATCGTGGTGATCGTTTATGTTTCGTTGTTCTAGAGCTTGGCCTTTCAGTTCCAAGGTGACTCAAAAACCGTCATGAAGGTTAACTATGGAATGATGGAAGGGGCAGGATCTCAAAGAGTTGTTTCTTTTCTTCCCTTTGTCAAACTTCGAGAAAAGAAGTGTCTGTCATTCTTTTTGTGACAAATAAGTATCATTGATTACAAATCTCATGTACTTTGATTTATGATGAGAAAAACATTATATACAAAATGTTTTGTAAGAAGTAAAATTTATTTTGTTACTAATATTATGCAGATTACTATTTTGTTACAATTTCACACAGTATAATACATACATCATTATCTTTTCAAACTAAACATCTCCACACTTAACTATGAACCAATATTAATTCAATCTATTTAAATATCCTCTATCAGTATAATTTGAAGTTAACTTATTTACATAAGTTAACGTAATGAAGTACATATAAAAGTAAAATATCAATCTACATGAAACAAAATAAAAACCTAAAAAGTCAATTTTTGTGAAAGGGAGAGAGTGTTGCATATAAATATATTTCTGAATATGAATCAAATAATTATTTCTTTTGAGGTTTTCGTTTATGTCAAATGAATAATAATGGCACATAAGAGTACAAGAATTTGGAGCAAATGAAACTTTGGAGCAATGGGGGAGTCTGAGTATCAGAATTCAGCAGAGGCAGGTGTGCGCGGGAAAGGAATAACGTCTCTGATATTATCAATTCCGGTGACAAATTGGACCAGCCTCTCAAACCCTAGTCCAAATCCTGCATGAGGAACTACACACACACACACAATAACAAAGGCACTTCCTTCATCAGCCTCCCAAAGTTTCTATCATCTGATACAAAGAAGAAGAAAAAGAAGAAGAAAGAGACCTGAACCATAGCGGCGAAGGTCGAGGTACCACCAGTAGCTCTCTTTGTTGAGTTTCAACTCATCAAGCCTCGCTTCCAACACCTCAAGCCTTTCCTCTCTTTGGCTTCCACCTATCAGCTCTCCTATCTTTTCAGACCCAAACCCATCATCATCATTCACTATCAACAACTTCTTATCATCAACAGGATTTTGTTTTATCTTAATCTTACCCGAGGCACGAGCATATCCATTGCTGCCACTGTCTTCCCATCATCGTTCTCTCGCATATAGAATGCTTTTATCTCCTTCGGATAGTCTCTTATTATCACAGGGCGACCCCCAAATGCCTCTTCTGTTATGTACCTTTCATGCTCACTCTGCAGATCCAACCCCCACTTCACCTACAACATGCAGCTCTATCAGACAAACAACATTTGACGTTTCTACTCAAGCGACCATGAAATAATTTCAATTTAAAGAACCTCCTACCCCAATGAAATGAAAATAGAATCACAGTTACTTACACAGAAAATACCAAAACACACAAACAGGTGGACTAGTAGCTCAGAGGTCAAAAACAGTACAACGTTTAGAAAAAGGAATGCCTATTTAAGTTTCCAATTCCAAAATTTCCAGTTCAATCTATTCCATAGGAGAAAGTAAAGTCTTTTTTTTTTACCGGAAAATCAAATTTTCTGTTTGCTTTCAGAAGAACTTCAATGGCGTCTGTGTAACCCAGCTGTAGAAACTCTTTCTCAGCTACGTCCTTCACAAGACAAATTGTAAACCAATGAAAATTTCAGCCGGTGCAAACTGCATAAAATTCTTTTTCTGATCAGAGTGAGAATCGGAGGACATACGCTCAAGCGACGAATAATTCCTTTCTCAATCCATGTATCAAAAAACTCCATGTCTTCCTTGCAATTGTCAAGAACGTATTTTACCTATCAGAATATCAAGAGATAAACTACAATCAAATTAACTCTAGATGACATTACCAAAATTGACAAGCTAATATATAGTTTGAAGGAATATAAAGTGAAAGAGTAACATACTACGTACTGGAGGTAGGCAGTGGCACAGGCCATGTCATCATCCAGGTCGGCAAAAGCAAGTTCTGGTTCAATCATCTTATATGGTAGAAAGAGAGGTCCTCAGAAAATTACACTTAGGTAAGAAAAATTCAATTGTGAGTTTGGCTGGAGGATTTAATAATGCTGACCCAGAATTCGGCTAAGTGCCTTGACGTGTTGGAATTCTCAGCTCGAAATGTAGGACCAAATGTGTATACCTGTAATGTCATACAGATGAGGAATTCAGACACTTGCTAACCATAAAAAAATCTATCTTACAATCACTCGAGTAGTCAACTTTACATCTGAGAGAGCGGTCGCATAAGTTTCTCCATTGAGCTGCCCAGAGACGGTTAAGAATGCTGGTTTCCCAAAGAAGTCCTGAGGAGTGATACAGCCATCTTCGTTACAGTTGCAAGTTCATATTCTACCATTCTTAAGATACAAAAAGTATGAAGCTGGAACGCACCTGAGACCAATCGATCAACCCTCCCTTTGTTTTCGGAATTGCATCAATGGAAGTATCGGTGTTCTCATGGGAGCTGGGAATCTAAAAATTGAAGTATAGATTAGTTGTTATGTTACTTTTTCTTCCATGTAGAGTTCAGAGTTGTAGTTCTTGGCGAAAATAAACAAGCTGTTAATGGGTTATTACAGAATATTGAGATGTAGAGAGCTAAGGTCCTTACAAGTGTAGTGACACAGAACTGTTCTCCAGCTCCTTCACAATCCGACGCTGTGATAATTGGGCTTGCCACCCAGACAAATCCACTTTCTTGAAAGAACTTGTGTGTAGCATATGCGAGAGTATTCCTAACTCTGGCCACCTGAAACAAGATATTTTGCATATTTAAGAATATAGAATTTGGTGATAATCACAAGGCAGTAAGTTCACAGTCAAGTATCACTAAAGTGAAGCCTAAATGGTGAGCCGTAGAAGCAGCTTTCAACATACACAATAAACAAACAACAGTTTCTAATAAGAGATATGTTTGTGTGTGAGATAATACATCAAATTGCCAAGAAGGTAACAAGAGTCGTCTGTAGTGTGGAATTTCAGGACAGTATGAAAGGTAAATGAAACAGGAAAGTTACCGCTCCAAAAGTATTGGTTCTTGGACGTAAATGAGCCTTGGTTCTCAAGAATTCCCGGCTGACCCTTTTCTTCTGGATCGGATAGGAAGAGTCACACTTTCCAACCTAGGATAAAGTGACGAAATGCAAAGAAACATACTTTCAATCTCAAGGAACTAAAAAAGTTGAGCGTCCAAAGTAGAAGAAGCGAAGACGTACCACAATGATTTTCTCAACCTTAAGTTCCACCTTTTGCTTTGTTCCCTGGCTAGCCACAATAGTACCTTGTACAGATACGGATGCTCCAGTCAAGATCGAACCAGATTCTACCTATTATTCCCACCCAAAGGGAATTTGGCAAACAAAAGGTTTATGTATAAATTCAAGTAGTTAAGGCTCCTAAGTCCTAATCATTGATCTCAGGTCACAGTGATTAACCTGATCATACCCCTCTGCATCCGAATTCATCACACATTGCAAATTCGATAAGCATGAACCATCATTTATCTTCAAACAACAACAACAAAAATAAAAATCATAACTTTGTCAGCAATCAATCAAGAGACTGATAAAGATAAAGAAAATTTGAGAATTACCTCAATGAACGTGACACTGCTTTGAGACCTAAGTGTACGGACCCAACCCATAATGTTAAGGCTCTGCCCAACGCGACCGAGCCCTTCGTCTGCTCCTCCTTTCACTTCTGCTATCTTCAACTTCTTCCTGAATTCTCCAACTTTACTTCCAAATCGCTTCTCGTAACTCTCAACTTTCTTTCCCTCTCCAGAACCGAGAGATTCGGAAACAGCTGAGCAAAAACATCTTCGGCGAGAATTGGCCGGAAAAGCATCAATAAGCGGGAGAACTCGGTGGCGTAGAGGGCGGAAGAGAGAATAAGAAGGATTAGAAATGGAGAAGAATGATAAGAAGCGGAGAGTAGAGTATGGAGTTAGACGGAGAGACGTCGCCGGCAGAAACGCGGCCGCCATTGTAGTCGATTTTTTTTCACTGTTTGAGATTGCGCGAACCCAACCCACACTCTCTTCATATGGAACATTCGCCCGACCCGGTTTAGTATAACCCGCCCCGTAAACTCTTAGCTAAATAAGCCCATTTAGAGTCCAAAGGCCCACCACGTACAAATGTTTGTAATTTTATGAATCCTATTAATGAACTTTACTGTTTTTGGGTTGAGAAGTGAAAACAATCACATGAAATCTGTTGATCTATATGCCCACAATATCACACCATCAATACGGTAGTGAGAATTAAACTTATGTAGACCATGTTTTCAAGAAACTGTGTGAAATGAATTATTCGGTAAGAAGCAAAGACCTTGAAATCAATTTAACGAAGCGACTAATTCAACAAGTAATCGATACTTGAAAATGTATTAAGAAAGCATATTTTATGTTTCTTTTATTCAATTGTATCCAAGAGTTTCTAAACATTTTAAAGTTTGAGAGTCGAGAGCATAAGTCATCACCAAACAATGTGTCTTTTAGTAATTGTCGTGTGTCAAACTCGAGCATATATACGTGTATGGAGACATAAGTATATTACATAGATTATTTTACACAAGATGTGGACTATATTAAAAAAATCGGGCCGAGTAGGTCTATGGCGCCAGTTTCAGGTACTGGTCCGAAAGGGCGTGCGTTCAAAACCCACTCTTGACAAATATTTTTGTCTTTCTTTTTTTTCTTGTGGATTTTTCATTTTTTTTATCAAATCGTATTAATGTTGATGACACTAAAGAGAAGGTTAAACCAAAAAAAAATAAAAATTAAGAAAGATTTTATACTCATGTAACTTAGATTAATTGAAGTGTTGAGGTTGAAGCGGAGGAGGGTCACACAAAAATGAACAGAGGCTTGAGAGGTTCAAGCACTCGGATGCATTGACTAATGTCAACAATCTTTAGTTGACAGGTGGAAGCTAAGTTAATGGGACCCACATCCACATGGAGGCAGTTGAGATATTGACCAAAAGTACACTACTAAAACTCTAAAAACACAACCCCAACCACTTGGCATCGGATCTCTCACAGACCGGTGCGGTTGCTCACCTGCATTCACTTCTCATTGTCCTTTCGTTTTGTTATTATACACATCTATCTAATCTATCAATGGTTCCATATACTATTAGTGTAAGTAAAAGACAATACAATAAAACCAAACAAAGTAAGCTCTAAATATCAATAATTTTACTTACTTTTAGGTTGAAGATGCTACCAAATATTAGTTGTGATATACACATAGAGAGAGAGAGAGTGTGAAGTTGGTAGATACAAAGGCAGGCGAGACAGGTGTGAACCGGTTGTTGTTGACCCTTAAGTACCATTATAATTAACCCATTAATTATATCCTCTGTAAACAAGTTTTGTTCCTCATTATTTTTACCTAAATAACTGTGATCAAGTCAACGAGCATTATTGTTGCATTTCTTGTGTAATGAGCCATTGTTTTTAATGTTGTATAGATCACACACTTATGCAGCTAATGCTAATAAATAAAACATTTCTTCACACTAGAACCCAAAAAAAAAAACAGCAAATAGATATTAGCAAGCTAAGCATAACATAAAAGAAAAGAGAAAAGTTATGATCTCTATTAGACAGCTTAACCAACAAAGCTAACCCCACTTTCCTCTTCATATTTAATCTCACTTTTTCTCCTTCTTCTTTCTTCAACTATCTCCTTCTCTTACATCTGAGTCTTTTTTTCTTACTAACCCTCTCATCTATGGTGTCAATGATGAAGTTCTTGAATCAAATCCTCTGTCTATCTCTTGTCCTTTCCATATCCATGACTACTCTTTCCTTTGCTCAGACATGTTCAAACTACAAGTTCTCAAGCAACAATGTCTTTGACTCCTGCAACGACCTTCCTTATCTTGATTCTTTCCTCCATTATACTTACGAGTCTTCTACCGGGAGCCTACACATCGCTTATCGCCACACTAAGCTCACCTCTGGCAAATGGGTTGCTTGGGCCGTGAACCCAACGTCTACGGGAATGGTGGGAGCTCAAGCCATCGTGGCTTATCCACAATCAGACGGCATTGTCAGGGTTTACACTTCTCCCATCAGAAGCTACCAGACGAGTCTACAAGAGGGTGATCTGAGTTTCAACGTCTCTGCTTTGTCTGCAACTTACCAGAACAATGAGATTGTTGTGTTGGCAAGTCTGAAGCTTTCACAGGATCTTGGGAATGGTGGAACCATTAACACAGTGTGGCAAGATGGGTCAATGTCTGGGAACAGTCTTCTGCCTCATCCAACTTCTGGCAACAATGTTCGATCCCTGTCCACTCTCAATCTGGTCTCTGGTGTTTCAGCAGCTGCTGGAGGAGCTGGAGGAAGTTCCAAGCTTCGCAAACGCAACGTGAGTTGATTCTTCTGTGGACACATCTCTTTCCCTAATTTTTTATTTGGCAACAGAGAATAATGATTGGTTTTGGTAAAAATGGTGGGTAGATACATGGAATATTGAATGGTGTGAGCTGGGGAATCATGATGCCAATAGGGGCAATCATTGCTCGATACTTGAGAGTAGCCAAATCAGCAGACCCTGCTTGGTTCTACATTCACGTTTTCTGCCAGGCTTCTGCTTACATCATCGGTGTTGCCGGATGGGCCACAGGTCTCAAACTCGGTGGCGACTCACCAGGAATTCAGTACAGCACCCACCGTGCTATCGGGATCACTCTCTTCTCTCTAGCGACAGTTCAGGTACATTACACACTTCACATCAAAAGGAAAACCAGTAAAATATATAGCTTTCTAAACCGGTTAATCGCTTGTCTTGCAAACATCAGGTGTTTGCAATGTTTCTGAGGCCAAAACCAGAGCACAAGCATAGGCTCTACTGGAACATTTACCACCACACGATCGGCTACACGATAATCATCCTAGGGGTGGTTAACGTTTTCAAAGGGCTAGGCATATTGAGCCCCAAGAAGCAGTGGAAAAATGCTTACATTGGTATCATTGTTGCTCTCGCCATTGTGGCCACTCTACTCGAAGCCTTCACTTGGTATGTAGTCATTAAGAGAAGGAAACTGGAGGCAAAGACGGCTCAGCATGGAGCATCCAACGGGGCTCGGTCACAGTATGCTTAAGATTAGCAATAGACTTGCTTCTTTTTCTCTTTGTGCATAGAGAGAGTGTTATTATTTCTGCTTATCTATCCATTTTCAATAGGTTTATTGTCGGGTTCCCACATGCATTTATGATTTTTTACATTCAGGATGTAGTAATTATAATGCCATTTTATTTGATCGACACTAAAGGAGTGTACATGTGAATTCATATGATCTAAAAAATCCAGACCAGTCAATTAGTCGCTGAGAGAGAGAAAGAGAGACAGTACCTAATAAATAACAACAATCTTTGATGGTCCAAAAATGTCTTTCAAAGATTAAACAGAAAGCATGAGCTTCTGTGTATATGTGCATGCTCAAGCAAGCTCTCGCAGCTTAAGGTTTGCAATCTCTCTCACAACTTGAGCTTTGTCTGCTTCAAACCTCTCGTCCTCTGCCACAAAACAGATATGAATCATAATTATAAGAAATTAGTTTTATGGTGAGAATCAGATCCATTCTCTGGTGATACAAGAGCCTCATAAAACAAGTCCCATACCTTTGTCCGGCTTGATATCAGCCAACAATCTCAGAAGCTTGTTTCTGTTTGCCACCAGAATGTTGGCGATGTCTGAAGGCTTGTTTTGGTTCGCTACAAACAGCTGTACAGAAAAAACAATATCAGTGATTCAGTGAACTTTGTGTCATCAAAAATCGGACTATAATCACATAAAGACGGAAATATTTCAAAATCCGAAAATATCCAATTGCCAAAGCGTCCGACTGCTGATTATGTTTGTTTCACTGGGTAAATTTACTCCATGTCTTTAGAGTACAAGAAAGATACCTTGAAAACATGGAAAGCTTCTATCTGAATAGTCTTGCTTGATTCCTGCAAGAGAGTTTTACACCCACAGGTTTCAGTTTATTCCATTATTAACTCTGTCTGGCTCTTAAGAATAAATCATATGGGGTATTGGATAAAACATCATACTCTGAGAAGATTCATCAGAATCCTCAAGTTATCCATCGAGCTCACATACTTCGTCATCACAGCCGAATTTGACCGATCCAACAATATATCGCCCAACAACTGTAAAATTTACACATTACAATCCATCAGAATGCTCTGTCACTGATATCTCTTTCGTGATTAACCATTTGTGATATCATCACTAGTACAAGTTACCCTACCTTAATAGCTTGCCGCCTGGTAATATAATTAGTTGATTCAAGAAGCTTTGAGTTGTAGTCTGCAAAAAACTGTAAATCAAAAGAGCTGAGAGTCATACCAGATTGATTCTGCACTGTCAGAGATGATACAGATACGTTTTCTCTCAAGTAAAATTTTATGATTTGGTACATTTTAAGAGAACTTACCCAGTCTTCATTCTTAATGAGAAACTCAGCAACCGTAGACTTGTGCCTTGTCAGAAGTTCCTGCAAGAAAATAAACACGGAACTGGAGTTATGATGGCGTGTTTTAGAGAAATACTCAGATGGTGATTGTAAGGGAACTCCAAATATGTTGCCAGTGTTCCCGAACCTTAAAAGTTGCAGCAGCATCAGCAGCAATGTCGAAATTGGGAAGCTGTATGTAGTAAAAAAACTTCTTCACGTGCTGTGAGTCCAAAACATATCTGAACCATAGAAAGAGAAGCAATTTTCATTATACTATTCCCGACGAAAAAAACACTAGTAAACTGCTTCTACTATATACAAATCCGGTAGAAAATTGTATCTTTATGGATAAAACATATAGGATGTAATGTCGGTAACCGGAGAAAATTTAAAATTTGCTCACTTTGCAACAATCTGATGGCGGATGCACTCTCTAAACATAGTACCATAGTGTAACGCCATATCAGTGTTTTCGAACCTGAGAGAGATTATAGAAACCCATATGAATGATAAAACAAACTCCCATGATCAAGATCTTAATTCGGAAGCCATCAACGAAATGCTTAATGCAATATTATCATCTCCTAAACTCACCCATCGACTAGAAAGTCCATAAGATCAATGTTGGATTCAAGATAATCAGCAGCAATAAGACGTGAATTGACTTGTTGCCTCTGAAGATTTGCAACAACTTGTGTAGCATCTTTCCTGGCCTAAACAAAAAGACACTTCCTTTATTGAAACTGTTGCATAACAAAAAAAAAAAAAGACAAATCTTTGGATTTGAATCATGAGAGGAGATGTTACCTCCAAGTTCAAATTAGGAAGAGAAGTGAGCAAGCGGCGAAGAGTATCAGCCTTAAAGAACTCCTGAGTCAACTGAGCACAAGCTTCAGAAACAGGCTCAGCCTCACTGTTTCCATAGAGAATTAACTTCAAATCTCGTATGCTCTTACTTAGTTCCACCAGCTACAAGCAATTATCAGAAAATCAAACCTCAGGACTCAATCAATTGAATCAGAATGTTTACATTCAGATCAGAAAGTTTTCAGATTTCAGATTTGAGGGAAGTAAAGGAAAAACCTTTTCCTCGCGTTTGGACTCTCGAAGGTCAGGGAAAGAGTTGGATCGATCGGCATAGAGGAGGAGATCGCGAGTCTGACGAACAATATCAACGGGAGTCCGCGGTTTGGATTTGAAAAGACCTCTCATGTCCGCCGAGTCTCCACCGGAACAACCAGAAGCGGAGGCTAATACTCTTCGGCTGGAATCAGCAGCACCACCTTCTTTTGACGCGCACGATCCTATGGTAGTTGTGTTGTGTGATTCTCTCTAGACCTAAAGCTCTCTCTCTCTCTTAGGGTCTCACTATGCTTTAATCTCTCTTGTTCCCTCGCGTTCTCCGTTTAGAGATTTGAGAAAGAGCGAGATCTCTTTGCTTATTTGGTTTGATTGTCAAACATTTTACTATATGAGTCCTGCCCTGCCACCTCATTCTTTTTAAGTTGGTGGGGTTTCAATGCTCATAGCCTCCTCATAAGTCATAAGTAATGGTCACACCCACACAAAGCTGGTAAGTAACAATTATAAGAAAGATAACCTCATCAAAATAATCTGGAACTTAATGATTTTAGGAACTTTTCTAAAAAAAATCTATTTATTTCTCGACGTATTAATGTTTGTGCGGATTACCTTGCAACAGACGCAATAACACGAGAAAAGAGCATTTTCGCGCCAAAATCATCGTCGATACTCATGATGTTAGATTGTTAGGAACTTTAAAACGTCTTTCCCTTTCTTTTTCTATCATCATATTTCTCTACATATTAATGTTTGTACCGATTGCCTTGTAATAGACGCAATAACACGAAAATTGCAACAAAAGTCTTCGTCGGATTTCATGATGTTAGATTATTAGGAACTTTAGAACCTCTTTTCATTTCTTTTTCTATCATCATATTTCTCGACGTATTAATATTTGTGTCGATTGCCTTGTAATGGACGCAATAACACGAAAAAGGCATTTTCGCGCCAAAAGTCATCATCGGAATTCATGATGTTAGATTATTAGGAACTTAAAACCATCTTTCTATTTTTCTTATTTTCATCCTATTTCTCGATATATTAATGTTTGTGCCGATTGCCTTTCAATAGGCGCAATAACACGTAAAAAGAGCATTTTCGCGCCAAAATCCTCTTTGGTTCTTAGGTGATATTAGGAACTTAAACCTCTTTCTATTTCTTTTTCTATTCAGCATGTCTCTCATATTTTTGTTTGTTATAAAATTTTATAACTATAATTTTATAACTTTGAACAAAGAGATTTTCTTTTAACATTCAACAAACAATGTTAGGAAATATAGATGTTGTGGATAGAATGTTCTCTCTACCGATCTCTTTGAAGGTAAATTCTATCCACAACATCTATAATATTTATTATCAAGTTCTCTACGATCATCAGGGCCAGCCCAAAATTATTTGAGATTCGACAACAAAAATAACATAAAATATGCGGCCTTTTAATAACAAAACAAAGATATAGATTTTTTTGTTCGAGTCTCTTTTTGTCTGTCTGGGTCAAAATGTCTTATGGGCATATCGCATATGCCCTGGTGGCTGGATCTGTTAACCTTTGTGATATTCCTTTTAGGCTGTTAAAATACATAAACTGTGAAGAAAAGTAAGAGTTATGCATCAAAATCGATGAGGATTTAAGTTTTAAAAGTTGTCCTGCGATTTTTCACTTTTGCATTTTCACTAGTACGTACATCACTACAGTATGTTATTTGTAGCCAAAAATGATTATTATCAAAAATCGACCCAAATCCAAATCGAAAACTAAGCCGAACAAATCTAAATTTGCACAAAATGAATGGTCTTAATTTGTATAAAACTAGTAAACCAGAATACGAATCAAAGCAAACCGGATCCCACACCTCTAGTACCAATTGCACCACATGATATTAATAAGATGAGAGAAGTTACAAACTTTTGCTGACTTTAGTATATCCAGAGTTTGTTAAACCAATAGATACTAAACTTTCAGACACGATCAGAGAGACAATGGAGAATTTGGGTTGAATCTAGGAAGGCCAATCTTGGTTCCAAGAGACTGAACATCAGCCTGAACTTGAGCTTCAAACTCTGAGTAAGTGAATGGCTTATAGTTTGATGACTTTACCACACAATCTCTCTTTGGAAACACAAAATAACACACTGAGTATCTCTCTGTCTTCCTATTCTTCTTCTTCACTCTATGTGTCACAAAACTATAGTTATAAAATTGAAGCATATAGATGTGGTGGATTTTCAAAGTCCCAATTGGCTCTGCTGCTCCAATATAGTCTTTGCCGACTTCTGCAGCTTCTCAGACTCTTCATCAGTCATATGAACATTGGTCACAGCAACCACACCATTGCGTCCAAGCAAAGCCGGGAGACTGAGGAAGACATCACCGCCATCAACACCATAAAAGCCACGAGCAAGGACTGTAACCGGGTGGATCTTGCGCTGGTCACGGAGGATAGTGCGAGCCAGATTAGCAACTGAGTAGCCAATGGCCCAAGAAGTGTAACCCTTAAGCCCAATGACCTCATAGGCGCTGCCAACTACAGCTTGGTGGATATCCTCAAGGGTTTGTTTCTCGTAAGCTATCTGTTGCTTCTCCAGAAAGCTTAGGACAGGAATGCCTCCAACACTTATGCTCGACCACAATGCCACCGAGCTGTCTCCATGCTCTCCCACGATATATGCCTGTAACAACCAATCAAACAAAACTCCCTTTTACTCTCCAATTGATCTTCTCAACAATACATTATCATCACCTGATCACTCTTTATTTGCAATATTAAACCACTAAAGCATAGATTTTTATCATACTAAACCATAAAAGCCAGCTAATCACTCCTTAATCGCAGTTTTAACCAAAAAAAGAGAACAGCTTTATCACACAAATCCCTAATTTTGGTTGGAACTGACCTGTACATCTTGAGCATTAACATCGAGATGATCTGCGATTAAGAACCGGAACCGAGAGGAATCGAGATTAGTACCAGATCCAAGAACTCGATTCACCGGAAAACCAGAGAGCTTCCAAGCAACGTAAGTCAAAACATCAACAGGATTAGAAACAATGATCAAGATAGAATCAGGAGAAGCTTTAGCGAGTGGAGGAATGATATGACGGAAGAGAGCGACGTTCCTCTGAAGCAAATTGAGTCTAGACTCGCCTGGATTCTGTCTAGCACCAGCAGTGACGATACAAAGATCAGATCCAGCGGTGACTTCGTAATCAACGGAAGCGGTGATTTTGGTTCGAGGGAGGAAAGCAGCGGCGTGTTGGAGATCGAGCATCTCGCCACGAAGCTTATCAGGTTTGGCGTCAACGAGAGCGATTTCGTCGGCGAGATCTTGAGTGAGGATGGTTTGAGCGATGGCCATTCCGACGTTACCGACTCCGACGACGGAGACTTTGGTACGTCGGTTTGAAGGGAGAGGAGGATCGGAGTTGTGGATCGGTTTGAAAAAGGCGCTGGTTAGATCTAGACCACTTGGACCCAAGTCCTTCAACGATGAAGTCGATGCGTTTTTCTCCATTGCAGAATCAACTTTTAGGGATTTGATTTGATTTGATGATTCTGTTTCTTCTTCTTCTTCTTCTTCTTCTTCTTCGAATTAGGCTGTGACGTTGTGTGACCGTGTGAGTGGGAAGTGTATTTAAAGGGGAAATGACAAACATCTCAGTGCATCACTTTTTTTGGTTTTGACATGTTTGTCCTTTGATTTTAAAATTTTAAAATGTATTATTAAAATTAAATAATTGTTTGACATTTGAACCTTTTGATTTGTACTTTTAATTGACAGATTATTCGATGCGAATTTAAATTAGTTTTTTGGTCGGAAACAGGAAACAGGAAGCAGCACACTGTTTTATCATTTTTTTGTCCCTCAAGATGGTTTTACCACATAGCGATAATAAGAATTGGAAAAAATATTATTTGAACGTCCAATTTATTTCATTTCATCGATTGTTCGACTTAGGATGCAATGAAGTATATAGTGAATTTTTGTTGACTTACCAAATTAACACCCAACAAGATAATGTCATTTTAGTCACGTTTTGAATCGTAAAACGAAACAATTTAACGGGATTTAAATTTCGTTAGCAGAATTTATTATATCGAAACGACGTCGTATTCAATTAGTTTAATAACCCCATATCAATAACAAAATTTTCAAATCGATTACAAAAGAATTTGATTTAGGATTGATATCGATATTTTTTTAAGGTTAGAGATTTTGTAATTATTTATTGACATTTGATCCTTTGATTTGTACTTTAAATTTAAATTAGTTTTTTTTTCTGGTCGGAAACAGGAAGCAATACACTGTTTTATCATTTGTTTTCCCTCAAGATGGTTTTCCCATTTAGCAATAATAAGAAATCCTCAAACTTCAACAATGCTTTAAAAATAATACTCCACGAATCAAAAGCAGCATCTATTGACAACTTGCATTGGTCTAGAGACTTGTTATTGCAAATGTCCGGAAGAAAGATCAATGTTTTGGAAGAGTAGTTTTGCCTTGTCAACAAAGCAAAATTGACGACTTTGTTAGTTTGACTTGTGCATCAACCGACAAAGGAAGCTTATCATTGCTAAACTGGGTTTTAATTATCATGTACAAAAAGGCACTCAACTCTTTAAACTTGGCATCAAGTTTTAATAGTTTGACATCAAAAAGTGTTAGTCGTTTTTGCTTGTCAAGAAAGCTAAGTCAATCAACCGACAAAGAAAGGATATTATTTGCTAGTAATAATTTGGTTTTATCATATACAAAACGTAATTAATTCTTGAAACTTGACAAAATGTGTTATTCTAGATTGAGAATGAGTTCACGGGTGGTACACTGAGACGAAGGATGAGTGAAAGAGATGGATTTACTGGTCCTATAAAACTCTCTCCATTCATCAATCTTTGCCACTTTGTGATGAGACAAAGCAGGCATGCATCTTCTGTCAACGATCTCAAGTATCTTCTCTGTTCTCCCCAAATGCATTGCCGCTTCTCTCACCGACGCTTCCCTCACTTCCACTGCTGTCACCAAACACTTCATTCCAATAACTTGTGCCGTGTTGCAAAAGCATCCTGATACTATATCCGATACCATCCTCTCCACATCTTTCAACAGAGTCTCCTCTGTTTCAATATTTCTTGATTCGTACTTCATCAAAAGAGTTTGGCTGATTCGGTACATTGAGTTTGCTGCTTGAGTCTTGATGGGCCATTGAGAGGGCTTGTGCTTCATGCATAGTATCCGGTTTTTCTCCCATGACTCTGTAAACTCTTTCTTTGCTATATCTACCAGCTCTTTAAAAACTTCTTGTGGTGTTTTGCTTTGTTGCTTGGATAGTTTTCGAAGATCCACGTTGAGCCATTTATGGTAGAGATCAACTCCTAACCAAACTACTTCTGCAGCTTTCCTGCTGTTAGCTAACTCTCCTCCGATGTCTAAGACGTCTTCGAACTTGTTGACATAGACCAATGCTTCGTTTACAGCTTTCACTAACTTCTTCAGTGAGTAAGGCTTGATGTTGGGGAGAGCGACAGCGATGCTCGTCAGTGTTACCAGTGGAAGAGCCCAACTATTAGGTGGCTCTCCAGAGGCCAGAGAAGCGACCTCGTCGCTGTCAAAATCTCGGATCCCTTCAAATCCTTTTGAGAAGAGAGTTGTTGCCTCCAAGAGCTCTATCAAGTTTACAGGTTGTTTCTTACGACCTTTTTGTATCAAGTGGTCTGTGGCCACACGGTTGCTCCGTGCCATGTAGTCCACCATCTCCTCCTCTCCTTCAAGATGCAGAACAAATTGTATCGTTGATGGATTTGAACCCGAGGACTCAGCGTTTGCAACAGAATCACTTTTGTAGGTGAAATAAAAACAACATAGCAAGATTCTACTCAGACAGTAGACCGAAATGAAACGGAAAAACTTGCTAGCCAACACTATACCATACTGTGTTGCAATGCAGATATCAAGCATCAACCGGTTTAAGTCGTGTGAAAGCTTCCTGCTGCGGGGACCATGGAGCATCCAAAAGTTCAAGGGACGTTCTTTCTTCTCAGCTAGACACTCTACCCAATAACTCTCTACTCTCAACTCATCTTTCAAAGATTTCTTTGTTCTAAATGGACACCTCAAGTTCACTGCTTTCAACCATCTGCTCGCTGGAGCAACGGTTCCTATGGCTACTGCAGCTGTTTGGGAGACTAGAACCAAAGTGGTTGACCATTTGTAATCAGAATCTCCATTGCAGAACCCAAGTGACCAGGGTTGAAGAAAGTAAGACCGGACCATGGCTTCAGCCAATGTGATTGCACTCAAGAAACAGAGGAAACCAGAGGTGGTGCAAGTAACAGAGCGAGCCATCACGAACTGAGGGCTAGAAGTGTGAGCCATCATCCAGAATTTCATCAGATCTTCTTTAAGCTTAGGAACCCCTTTTCTTCTCTCTGCATATGAAGGACACTGCTTCAAAGCAAACTCGTATCTCTTCTTGTACTTGAGCTCTAAGAAACGCTTTGTGGCCGGGACTGTGATAGCAGAAAAACTCAAGATCATAAACATTAAAAGCATGAGAACAATGACGAGAGCGTGTTCTTGAGGAAAAACATATATAGCTCCTGTACCCAATTGGATACAGATGTTAACAACATCAGTGATAACTAGAATCCCAAGAGCCATGAGGTTCATGAGGAGATCTTGTGTGACCATGAAACCAAGAGAAGGCATGGAATTAGCCATCACGGTGCAGACGAAGACGCTGCTACTGAGTTTAGCAAGCTGATCTTGGCGACTAGGCATAGAAGTGTTGAGATCCAAGGAGAGTTTGACGCATACAGAGATAAAGGTGAGAGTGGTAGCGTTGAGAGAGAAGAATTTGCAAGGAAACCAGAACTTACGGTGGCGGAAGCCGTGAAGAAGATCGGAAAACATGGCAACTCCACAGATCACTGAAGCTGTAGCAACGTATACACCGATCGATGGCAACGGGTTGCTGAACTCTGTGTCGCTTAGATTGCCATGGGAGTCGCAACCCATCACTAGATTTGTCTCACTCTCTCTCGATTCTTCTATTTCTTTCTCTGTTTCTTCGTCTTCTTCTATGGAGAGAGAGAGCAAAAGAGTCGTGTCTTGATGTTATAAAATTATTGAGAATCGTCAAAGAAGTTTACTAGTTCAGTAGTTCTGTCCAGTGTCCACTCAAAGTCATAAGCTTTGACTTGTCTCAATTTGACTCGTTCAAAAACGACCTGTTGGTTGAGTTCACACACTAACAAGGCTCTTTATTTTTACTTTCGTGTTCGTCTCACGACAACACGATCCTACCCTCATAACAAAGAATCTACAACAGAGTGAGAGTCTACTTTTTTTGTCAACAACTAAAGTGAACAAGTCGAATTACAAGAGGGACAAAATCATCTTGTTTTGTGAACAGTTATAACCTCTCCTACCTTTTCTCACCCTAAAAGCAAGCAAACAAATTAAAATTATCAACCATCTTATTTTGACTAGCGAATTAATTCGTATAAAAATTCTAATAATTTGGAAGCGAAAAGTTGTTTATGGTGAAATACTCAATTTACTTTAAGCCTGTGAAATGGTTATTTTTAAAATCTCTATTCGACTTAATGTATATATATCTCTCACCATGTTATACCACGTAAATGTGGTCAAGAAATTAATTAAGTGAAGACCTTTGCTCTTGCTCGCACTTGGAATTTTCTCCCTACTGCTAGAATTAGAATCATACCATGCCAATGGAGTTAATGCTCGTAATGTAAGTCATTCCACTTCTATTTTCTTTTCTCACTCTCAATATATATCCATTATCTTATCTAGTAACACCTCTTTTCTTTCTTTTCCAACAAGTGGGAAGTTAACACCATTCAAGACCTCATATTTCTTGAACTACGACATTAAATAAAGCCTTTGGTCCCTCTATATTATGAGGTAATGTTATTGCTTCGTTACATATTGGTCTTTATTTGTTTTGCATTGTATATGATGATTCACAGAAGTGACTTTACATAAATTTTAGAGTGTGTGCAATTTTTATGATTTTATGGAATTTAAAACGACAAAGGTAACAAATTAAAACTAACTTGGAAAACATGATAGAGGTGTGAAGTGGTAAAGAAAAATAAATAGGAAAAAAGTGGGCAAGACCAGGAAGCTACCATAAGACTAAGATGTACTCGTTAGTGGTAAGCTTTGTGAGTGAAGTTGAGGTGGGGTGGAGAAGATGTTTGTCCGGCAAGTGGGACAAGAGGAGTGGGAGGAGGAGAGCCACTTCTGGATGCAATGAACGTGGAATCCATGTTTGCATCTCTCCAACACGCGTAAGGTGTCACCGTCTTGGAATTCAGACAAACAAATGATGCACTCTGCTTCATTGCCTGCTAGGTTTAGGCTCGGGGAGTAGACAAGTGTCTGGGGAGCGTCCGGATGGGTGGCCTCAAGGTCCGGGTCGGGCTTAGGGTCATGTTGGAGGACTGGACGGAGGCAACAACGGATGGCAACGTGGAGAGAGAGGACACATATGAAAGAACAGAAAAGGATGATGAGAAGGAGGAACGCGTTGGCAGCAAAGTCATTGGAATGAGAGTAAGGCTTCCAGCTGCAACTCTGAGAGGTACATGTAGACGTAAGTTCGGGTTGGGGATCAGATGATAGCAGCAGCCGCATTGGAACTCAGACAAGTTCCCAAAAAACCTTTCATGTCTTGTTGTGTTTATAGAGAAAGAACAAAAGAGAGCATTAAAGAGAAGATGACACAAACCAAATGGTGGCTAAATTTGGTCTTACTTGTGAGGAAGGAGACGTGGATGGGTCGAGAGAAAGGGACCACTTGAGTTATGAAGATGGATTGGTGGTGAACAGATACATCTGTCCATTTCCCATATTTGTAGACCAGATTCTTCATGATAATGCTTTCCCCTCCTGCCAAGGCAACTCTACAGTTTCCTTTTTCTTCAAGTTTTAAATGCTCATTTAGTTTCTATCTTATCCTAAACAATTGTCTTTGACGATATTGTGAGTTAAAGATTTGAACTTCTCATACACATACTAGTCCAGTTACGTGTTCTATTCACATTATAACTCTTATTAACTAAGTCCTTATTATTACACCTACCTAATAACATCTTAAGTCATTATTTCTATCTTAGCAAGAGGCAATAGTAGGTGAGCTACATAAACGCAGCGTTTCATGTATGTAAGTGCTTACTGTTTATTAGACTTTGGTTCTATATTTTTTTTTGGTAAGCGACTTTGGTTCTATATAGACTAACGCCAACTTCATTCATTTCATCTTTTCCTCGATGCCCCAAATCGACTTCTTTCTATCTACTGCCCACAAAAATACAAAATGTTCTTAGATTAACCCCAAAAAAGGAACATGAAAGTCTTCACTATGTATCTCTCATTTCACAGTAAAAAAAATAATAATCTAAATTAGAACGAAACTACACAAAAAGTAAAGAAAGCTCAAAGTTGAAAAGTAAACTATGGGACTCAAAGAAATTGTTCTCTAAAACTCGACTCAATCCACAACCATCTCATCTCCGTAATGAATATGTGCATTTCATTAGAAATCCATCACATTGGTTCTTTTTTTCTAGAGCAAATGATTAAATATCTCATTAGAGAGATTAATTATTTGAATAACCAGAACAAGTGAATAACAAACAAAATTCAAATAAACACACAAAAAAGCCGTTAACCTTTTATAAGCCCATAATTGGGGCCCAATATAGACACAAAAAGTCCATTTGAGACAGAGACAAGGATACGAAATTTGAAAAGAAGAGAGTGGGACATTGGAAATAGGAAAAACCAAATTCCCTCTGCTTCTTCTTCTTCCTCATTTTCAAATTCACAGATCCTATCCTCTCTGCAACTTCAATACCATTTCTTCGAACCTTCCATCAATAATGGCATCTCGCTACAATTCCTACGATTCTAGATCATCGGTAACCTCCTCGATTCACTCAGATCGATCTTCCTCTGCCGAATTCAAATCGAACAAGCCAATTTCATCCAAAGCCATTGTCAGATCCAAATCTTCCTACTTAACCAAAACAACGAAATCCATCAAGCCTGATAGTAATCCCGGAAACCTTACTAGTATGATGAAGAAGCTAATGGAGATGAAGAAATCTAATTCCAAGAGCAAGAGGGTCGAGCTTGTGATTCCCGAGGAACTGAAGAAAATTGATACTGTGAGAGGAGGAAAGAGTACATTGGGAACATTGCAGAGGAAGCTATTCGGGAAGGAAAAGGTGAAGGCATTGACAGAGGTTAAGAGTAACACTAGGACATTGTCTTTGGTTCTTAGAAGCGAGAGGGAGCTTCTTAGCATGAACAAGGACCAGGAGGTTGAAATTGCTGAGCTTAAGTTGCAGCTTGAAGATAAGAACAGAGAAGTAAATTCTTCCTTCCTCTCTTTAAACCTTGGTTTAGTCATTTTAGGGTTTTGGAATGTGTCCTGTGTTAGATTCATGAAGAGATTAGCTGGGTTTAATATAGAATCAGCTATTTGTAATCAAATTAAGCTGTTTTTTGTAGGTGGAGAAGTTGAAGGATCTGTGTCTGAAGCAAAGGGAGGAGATAAAGTCACTGAAGAGTGCAGTTCTGTTTCCGGATGCGATGAACAGCCAAATCAGCCAAATGCAGGAGCTGAACCAGGCGAGGCAGATCATCCCTAACCTTCAAAAGCAGGTCATTTCACTCAATGGCCAGCTCCAATGCATTGCTCAAGACCTTGCTGAGGTAATTTTGTTTCTTTTTTACTCTCTTGAATTAGTGTATAGCATGTAGCCTATGGGGGGGACTTAGGGGGACTTAGAATCTGAGTATATTTAGTCAGGGCATTGCTGTAGCAACAGTCCAATATAGCTCTGAGTATATTTAAAAAAAAGAATCTGAGATCACTCTTTCTTATCAGGTGAAGGCGAACAAGTACTTGTCAGAAAGCTGTTATTGGCAAGCACAGACTTCTTCCTATGATTCATTGGTAAGTAAATAGGATCCAAAGTAGGAACTTTGAAGAATCTGAGTTTGGAACCAACAAGGGTCTTAATAGAATTGAATGCGTAATAGGAATTCAGCTCAGGCAGCCCTGATGGATTGGCTCTAGAAGATCTTAATCCATGTCTAACCCCTTATACCAAGAAGAAGCCTAAGGTACTTGCTTGTTAGCCTTGAGGACAAAGCTCAGGTTGGTTGTCATTGGCTCACAAAATAGAACTCAATAGAGTTGATCTACAATATATCGTGCAGGAGTTTGAGAGGATTGATTCAGCAGAAGAGAGCTTATCAGGGAGAAGCACTATAACAACAACAGGAGGTAAAGTCAAATCGAGTTCGAAAAGTGTAAAGATGTCAAGGAGCTCAGAGGGAAAGGCAGGGCAGAGATCAGAGGAGAGCAAAGGATGGTATAGGGGTGGGAGGATGTTTTAAGGTAAAGAAAAGAAAATGCCTCATAAGGTAAACTTGGTCCATTTTTATTTTTCCACTTGATGTATTATGTGTCTTGCTCTCAACCTCCAGAGAGTAGTATGATTTTGGTAGAACCATCTGGAGCCATGATCCACGATTGAGTTTAATAAGAGAAGTCATTAGTAGTGTAAAATCATCATTAGTAGTCTTGAGTCTAGAGATATTCCCACCGTTTCTTCAAAAGACCTACATGTTTTGGCATTTTCAATATAAGTTGCATACCAGTTCTACCCCTTCTTTATTATTATTGTATTCAACAATTTCGTTAAATTATGTTATAAATGAAAATGGGTAAGCTGGGAGACAAACATTAAATTTACATTAAAAACTGAAAAGCTGTATTTCTATGAAACAGACAAGAATTTGAAACATGTATTTCGTTGAGATATTGCACCAAACTGTATATCAAATTAGCCTCATTTTCCTTTTCTCCCTCTTCTTTACTCCCAATTTTTCTTATTTTTCTCATGCTCAATGTCTCCCTCATTTGTGTCTCTGTTTCCTCCACAGTCCACACTGACCACACATATCTTTATTTGTTTCTCATCAATTTTGACATCCAATTTTGATTCTCAAATAAACATCCAACACCCAAAATTTCATCATGAAGATGTGGCTTTACATTTATGTATGGAGGTTCAAGTGATGAATTAAACATCTATTTTACAATATATGTCTCTCAAATGAAACTCTAAATTACAATTTAACACGATATAGATCTCGTTAAATAAAAATAATCTTTTCCAATATATCTTAGTTATTGAATCTTATTAACAATTGAAAAGTTTGTTCAAAAAATTAAAAAAAAAACATTAAAACAAAAACTTGTCCATTGCTATTCCGCAAATTAACTCTAATAGACTAATAGTATATGGAAATTAAAGAATCAACTAATGGTGTTTTGTACTAAAGAAGAAAGCAAAGAGAGTAACCGTGTGTGGTGGGGGCTCCATGATTATTAGTATTACGTCTCCTACTCTTACGTAAGCCTTTCCTCTATCTTTCTGAATAATTGTAGCATCACCGAAGTTGCTTGCTTGCTTTATGCCACTAATTTACATTTGTTTTTGGCTTTAGCTCCTCTTTTAGGACCAAAAAAGGGTACTGACAAAGTGAATGAACACAGTACTCCTGTCCACCCAGAAATATTATAAAATTAAATACAATGGGAAATATTCTTCTTAGAAATTTCAAAGTAAGAGTTTTAAAAATTCATAGATAGATAGAGAGAAGGAGGCAATTAATATTCAAGTTTTCCTTTGAGGGAACATTTTACAAACCTCTGAGATTTATTTATCTATATTTGAAGAGATGTTCCTCAAGTTTGTAAGAATTGTGTTTGTACATAAATTAACTCCGAGTAATTAAGTGATAGATAGGAGATGTCATCTCTATAAAGGGGAAGACAATTCCATGCTTTTACATCCTTTTTTACTCTTTTACTTCTTTTGAAAACGCAAAGAAGATAAAAAGAAAAGGTTACTAAAGTATTTGTTTCACTATTTATATAGTTTGTCTCTTCTCTTGTACCAAAACACAAATCTTTTCCATGCAAGTCACAATTTTTGTATCCATTATCGCATCATCTTGTTTCAATATTTAAAACTAAATAATAAATAAATTAAAAGGGAACAAAGACATGTGTCAGATCGTCAGAGGATATTGGGAGGTTCCACGAACGTCCTTAATCTTTGGATTTTTCCCGACGTATGAGATATTATGTGACGCAAACGCGTTTCTCCCTTTTTACGATTTTGCCATCCCACCACCGTACAAATCCCTACGCGCCTCCACGCGTCGCTTCCTCACTGCCGCCTCTACACACGCGCTAGCCGGAATATTTTGTTGGATTACTCACAACCCCATGAATTTTCATATGAACAATATTTATAGCATTTTTTGTTTGGTATCAACAATTAATATTTAAAACATGAGATGTGGAAAAGTCTTCCATTTGAAAATTCGTACGTGACAATTATAATATCTTTGTTTTTGTATGTGGAAATAATTATCATGGATTTGAGGCACAAACTTGCATTTATGGAAACTAAAACTAGATGGATGCACTTTGCACATTATTATCGTTTGTGTCGTCCGTTTCCGTTGCATTTGCGATTTGATCTTTGTGCAAAGATGCTCAAACATGATTGATCTCAGTTTCATCCAATCTTATATCAACAAATATGCATTGAACTTTTTTTACATAAACATTTAACAATAAGTCAACCATTTTGAAACAGAAATCTACAAAATTTGACAATATGGGAAAAATATAAGACAAAATAATTTTAAAATTGACCAAATTAGTCTTAAACATTAATTTCAACGGGACTATTTTGAAACAATGTTTTAAAGCCGAAGTCTTATTAAATAGAAACGAAAAAAATAACTTTGACATTGGGTATATTAATATATATATATACTTATATGCATGCTTGTGGATAAAAAGAAACTATTTTTTCTTAAATGTTACATTTATTTTAGCATGCTCCATGACCATAAGTTTGATACATCATAACATTTATTTTAGTAATTAGTATGCTCCATGACCATAAGTTTGATATATAATGTCATTCTCGTTAATTATAAAGGTTACTAAAGTATTTGTTTCACTATTTATATAGTTTGTCTCTTCTCTTGTACCAAAACACAAATCTTTTCCATGCAAGTCACAATTTTTGTATCCATTATCGCATCATCTTGTTTCAATATTTAAAACTAAATAATAAATAAATTAAAAGGGAACAAAGACATGTGTCAGATCGTCAGAGGATATTGGGAGGTTCCACGAACGTCCTTAATCTTTGGATTTTTCCCGACGTATGAGATATTATGTGACGCAAACGCGTTTCTCCCTTTTTACGATTTTGCCATCCCACCACCGTACAAATCCCTACGCGCCTCCACGCGTCGCTTCCTCACTGCCGCCTCTACACACGCGCTAGCCGGAATATTTTGTTGGATTACTCACAACCCCATGAATTTTCATATGAACAATATTTATAGCATTTTTTGTTTGGTATCAACAATTAATATTTAAAACATGAGATGTGGAAAAGTCTTCCATTTGAAAATTCGTACGTGACAATTATAATATCTTTGTTTTTGTATGTGGAAATAATTATCATGGATTTGAGGCACAAACTTGCATTTATGGAAACTAAAACTAGATGGATGCACTTTGCACATTATTATCGTTTGTGTCGTCCGTTTCCGTTGCATTTGCGATTTGATCTTTGTGCAAAGATGCTCAAACATGATTGATCTCAGTTTCATCCAATCTTATATCAACAAATATGCATTGAACTTTTTTTACATAAACATTTAACAATAAGTCAACCATTTTGAAACAGAAATCTACAAAATTTGACAATATGGGAAAAATATAAGACAAAATAATTTTAAAATTGACCAAATTAGTCTTAAACATTAATTTCAACGGGACTATTTTGAAACAATGTTTTAAAGCCGAAGTCTTATTAAATAGAAACGAAAAAAATAACTTTGACATTGGGTATATTAATATATATATATACTTATATGCATGCTTGTGGATAAAAAGAAACTATTTTTTCTTAAATGTTACATTTATTTTAGCATGCTCCATGACCATAAGTTTGATACATCATAACATTTATTTTAGTAATTAGTATGCTCCATGACCATAAGTTTGATATATAATGTCATTCTCGTTAATTATAAATGTAGTTTGGCTGTTCAAAGCTATAGCCTATGTGTATATAGTTTTATCATCATAAACACTTGGACTGATTACTTAACTCGTAGTGTTAGCTTGATTTTGTTGATGGTTCCTCCATGATTTTCTTTTTTCGGAGTTGATGATTGTTTTTTTTTTTTTTTTTTTTGTGGTCAAAACTTAACAAACGGTTTGGATTTAATTTATGAAGTTAACAAAGAAAGAAAAATTACATGACAATGGAAGCCACGGTCAAAATATTTCTTTTATGGAAGTAAAATTAGAAAGAAAATGATTTCCATATTTTGACTATTTTCTATAAAAAAAACGAAAGGGACAAGAGTAGAAAACACATTACAAAAGTAAATTAGTCTACTCTATGTTTATAATTTTTATGTTCCACACGTTATTTCCCAATCTTCACATTGTAATTACTCTACTTCAGCATTTTATTAATGATAAGCAATTAGGCGTTAACAAGAGTAATTAATGAATGGATATAAACAGTGGTAGTGCAGCTACTGCCGTCCAAAAGTCAATGGTCAGAGTGGCGTTTAAGTAAATAACCGGAATAAATGAGGGCATTTAATTAGCTCCAAGAGAGTCATGACAATTTGCACTTTTATATCTCTATCTCCTTCTTCTTCCTCAAGCTTATTCTTGAGTATGCAACGAAAACTTCTCTTTTGTCCCCTTCTTAACAAAATCTCCCAATCAACAAAATTTCTTCAGCTTCTTCTCCTTTAAAGGTTAGTTTTTTGGTGATCTATGTAGTCCCTTTCTCTCTTAATTTTCTTGTCAAAACGATTAAATTCCATTTGTTTCTTAAATTTGACAATTGGTTCTTCTTTAGCTGTGCTCTTATCTAGGTTCAAGCTTTTGATCATATGGTTTTGGAATCTGAGCTTATATGTGTCTTTTCGATTGTTGGTTTTTTGAAAGGATATGACTTGTTTGATTTGGTTTTGGTGCAAAAGCGATTATTCCCTGTAACCAACATCGATTTGTCTACCTGTCTCTTTGTTTGCCTTGTGTTTATTCAAAAGTACTAAACTTTATGCTGATAAATGTATAAAATCTTGACTTTGAGCATGGGTTTTAAAGCTTTGCAATTTCTTAGTTTAACCTGATTCTGGTAAAAAACCCTGCTTTAGGGTTTGACTCCAACCTTCGAATAGATGTGGTTTCTTCTGTAGAGAGAGATATAGAGAGTGTAAAGCTTCGATTTTTGTGGTGGAAACTTTGAATCGATTATTTCTTTTTCTGGCTATAGAAATCCTAAGGAAGTAGCAAAAAACGATATTTGATTTCTGAAAGATGTCAGATCTGTTTTCTGATAACCCTATGATTGATTGTGAGAGCAGACTTGTCAAAGGTGGTTTTAGTACATTTTTTGTCGCATATGTTTGAGTTTGGTTGGAGAAAAATTCACAACTAGACCTTTTTTTCTTCTATCACAAATCACAGTGTCTGTCTTTAGTTGCTTTATTCTGTTGTAGCTCACTTGTTCTTTTTGGATCCTTTTCATGGAGACAGGTTTTTATTCTCCTTGGTTTGAACAAGTTACACTGTAGATAGTGATTTGGCTAAAGAAGATAGATCAGGGTGTGTGTGTATTGTTGGGTTTTTCCAATGCAAACGTCTCAGAAACATCACAGTGCGGCTGGACTGCACATGCTGTATCCTCAAGTCTACTGTTCGCCTCAGTTTCAAGCGAAAGACAACAAAGACTTCTCTGATATCCCATCCAAAGAAAACTTTTTTACTCTCGAATCCTCCACTGCTTCTGGTAGTCTTACTTCGTATGACTCTCCTTCTGTCAGCATTACATCTGGCCGGAGCCCGTTTTCTCCTCAGGTCTCTCAGTCATGCATCTCAGATCTTCATCCTTCCCCTGACAACGTCTATGGATCACCCTTGAGTGGGGTGTCATCTTTTGCCTATGATGAAGCTGGGGTCAAGAGTAAGATTCGAGAACTTGAGGTCTCGCTGCTGAGTGGTGATACAAAAGTTGAAGAATTCTCTGGTTTCAGCCCCGCTGTTGGAAAGTCGTGGAACTGGGATGAACTCTTGGCTTTGACTCCGCAGTTGGACTTGAAAGAGGTGCTGGTGGAGGCCGCTCGGGCAGTCGCTGATGGGGATTTTGCTACAGCATATGGATTCCTCGATGTCTTGGAACAGATGGTGTCGGTCTCAGGCAGTCCGATCCAACGGCTAGGCACTTACATGGCAGAAGGGCTTAGAGCGAGGCTTGAGGGGTCTGGGAGCAATATATACAAAGCCTTGAAATGCAATGAGCCAACGGGAAGGGAACTGATGTCTTACATGAGTGTTCTCTATGAAATCTGCCCCTACTGGAAATTCGCTTACACAACTGCAAATGCTGCGATCTTGGAAGCAATAGCTGGGGAAACCAGAGTCCACATTATCGATTTTCAGATTGCGCAGGGATCACAATACATGTTTTTGATTCAGGAGCTTGCGAAACGCCCTGGTGGGCCGCCGTTTCTGCGTGTGACGGGTGTGGACGATTCACAGTCCACCTATGCTCGTGGGGGAGGGCTCAGCCTTGTAGGTGAGAGACTCACAAAGTTGGCGCAGTCATGTGGTGTCCCGTTTGAGTTTCACGATGCTGTCATGTCTGGGTGCAAGGTGCAGCGGGAACACCTCGGGGTGGAACCTGGCTTTGCTGTTGTTGTGAACTTCCCGTATGTATTACACCACATGCCTGACGAGAGCGTAAGTGTTGAAAATCACAGAGACAGGCTGCTGCATCTGATCAAGAGCCTCTCCCCAAAACTCGTTACTCTAGTGGAGCAAGAATCAAACACAAACACCTCGCCATTCCTGTCACGGTTTGTGGAGACACTGGATTACTACACAGCGATGTTTGAGTCGATAGATGTAGCGCGGCCACGGGATGATAAGCAGAGGATCAGCGCAGAGCAGCACTGCGTAGCAAGAGACATAGTTAACATGATAGCATGCGAGGAGTCAGAGAGAGTAGAGAGACACGAGGTGCTGGGGAAATGGAGGGTAAGAATGATGATGGCTGGGTTCACGGGCTGGCCAGTCAGCACATCCGCAGCGTTTGCAGCGAGTGAGATGCTGAAAGGTTATGACAAAAACTACAAACTGGGAGGGAATGAAGGAGCGCTATATCTCTTCTGGAAGAGACGACCTATGGCTACATGTTCCACGTGGAAGCCAAACCCAAACCCAAACCAGATTGGGTAAATTATAGTGATGATGGTGACTTGAGTGGATGAAGAGCACAACAAAAACACATCTGTCGCTGTAAATTTTTGAGGATGTGCAATGATGTTTTAAGTTGTAACACAACCTAAGTTATATATGTATACAAACCAAACCTGGTGGTGGTTTTTTCTCTTGTAAATTTTTCATGTTGTTGTGGTTGGGTGCTACTAATGAAATATAACCAAAACATTGATTAGGTCATTCTATGATCTTCTATATACCGGTATAAGTCAACTGGCGTCTGGCGGCTGAACAAAAAGGTTGTGAGAGGTAACAAGATATGAAGACAAAATCTACAGGTCAGATTGGGTTCTGATAAGGCCTTAAAAGGAGCTCACCAACCCACAAAACCATGGATTGAACAAGTACAGGTCATTGCCTTCTCTTATTCTTTACTTTTATAAGGCTCAAGCTTCCTTTATTGCCTTTAATAACAATATACCAATGAGAGTATTTGCACTCAATAACAACTTCAGGAGAGTAAAATTTGTCCCTAACATGTTACTTTTTATGTGTTTAAGAGTTTAGAATTTTGGTTCTATGATTTTAGTTTTTGTTAGGGAATCATTCTTCTTCATGTAAATAAAATATTGACTTTGTCTTATTGCCATTAATTATTATTTTTTGACTTATTGTTATTTACCTAACTTCTCTCCTAAATTTTGTCATTTACCCCAGTTGATTCTATATTATACTTTCTAAGTGTTCTTTGTCTAATTCTCTATCATTGTTTCATCTAATAACCAAACCTTAAGACTTGGAAGCAAAGAAGAGAGAAATCCAAATGATTTGAAAATCCCATTTATTTTTAATAATTCAAAGAGAGATATTGAGTGACTTCCACTAATACAAAGAAAGCTTGGTTTGTGCAATATTTTGCGGTTAAGCTATTAATTGCTGAGGCAACACCTTTTCACACTTTGCTTTCCTTCTTCCAAGTTTTCAACTTTTCTTTCTTACTCTTTCTATTAATCAAACTACAACAAATTCATCTGGATAATTGTTATTTAGAAGTTGATTAAGCTTAGTTTTTATTTCAAGATTATCATAATTGTTATCTGTTGTTGTTACCTACATTCATATAATCTTATCAAAAACGAATAAAGACAAAAGGATACAATATACTAGTTTTTATAGAAAAGAAATAGAAAGAAAGAAAAGGGTTTTCACCAAACGAAATTAGTTCAATCATTTGAATTATCTTTATCCTTATGATTAGTGTCTTTATATCTGTCATATGCTACTTCTCCTTCCAACTTCCTTTGGATTATATTCTCTTCTCTTTATTTTAATTTCCGTTTTAGGTACCTGTTTATTTTTTTATTTTCACACCGTGTCCCTTTAAAATAATATTAACTACACCATTAATGTTGGAACATGAAAAACATGAATGAGGTAATTGATATACTCCATAGTGCATAGAAGATAATTAGTGAAACAGAACAAGTCAATAACTTGTAAGCATTTTAGAATTGAAGATAAAGATAAGGGAGGATGAATATGAATTTGTAAATGGGTAATGAAAGTGAAAGAAGAAGAGGGTTTAGGGTTGGTTACTGTCAAGGGTTTGAAATGGAGACGGTTGCTTGAGAATGAGGAAAAAGAGTTAGTAAGTTTTAACTCTCTCTTTCTCTCTCCCTCTCTCTTTTTCAACGTCAATTTCTTTAAGGAATGGTCTCTCTCTCTCTCTAAATGTGTGTGTGTATATATATTAAACGCCTCTGTTTCTTCTCTGCATCATTCTTTTAACTGCTTAGGACCAAAACTCATATCTTTATTGCAAACAAAGAAGGAGGAGCCGTTGAGACTACAAAATGACTGCAGAAGAAAACCCTTTTGTATCTGACACCTCTTCTCTGCAGAACCAGCTTATAGGTTCTTTTTCTTTCTGGTTTTTTGTTCATCAATCCTTCTGAGTAATTTGTTTGATGTTGAGGTTGTTCTGTTTTCTTTATTTCCTCTTTGCAGAAAAAGAGAAAGAGCTTTTGGCTGCTAAAGCTGAAATTGAGGCTTTGAGAACAAATGAAGGGCACAAAGACAGAGCCTTTAAGGAGGTAACATGATGATCATCAACTCTGTTCGTGATTGTCCTAGCTACAAAATCTAAAAGTCAATCTTACCTAGCAGTTTTCTTGATCAATGTTTTCCATGTATAAAAATCTTTTATTCGAGCGTCTTGAGCTCTGTTGATGCTACTTGGTTTTGTTTCAGCTTAGAGAAAACGTGAGGAAGTTGGAGGAGCAACTTGGAGCCACCGAGAATCTTGTTGACCAAAAGGTGAGGTTTTGCTCAAATACTATAGAGTATAGACCATCTTTGTGAAGGACTCATGTTAAAACATTAGATATGATTTGACTAAGTTAAGCTTGTGACATGATTGTAGGAGGTGGAGATGAAGAAGCTGGAAGAAGAGAAGGAAGATGCATTGGCGGCACAGGACGCTGCAGAAGAAGCACTAAGGAGGGTTTACACTCACCAACAGGATGATGACTCTCTTCCCCTTGAATCCATCATAGCTCCTCTTGAAGCTCAGATCAAGTTTCACAAGCATGAGGTTCTTGAGACTGTTTGGATTTCAAACTTCTTTCTTGTACCAGTGTGAAAAGCGGGATATGCTTGTGTTTACATGCTACTGTTTGACAGATTTCAGCACTTCAAGAGGACAAGAAAGCGTTGGAACGTCTGACAAAATCAAAAGAATCGGCACTTCTTGAAGCAGAGAGAATCTTGAGAAGTGCCCTTGAACGTGCTTTAATCGTTGAAGAGGTCCAGAACCACAACTTTGAACTTCGACGACAGATTGAGATATGCCAGGATGAGAACAAGTTTCTTGAGAAAATCAACCGCCAGAAAGTGTTGGAGATTGAGAAGCTCTCCCAAAGCATTGTAGAATTGGAGGAAGCAATCTTGGCAGGAGGAACAGCCGCCAATGCAGTTAGAGACTATCGCCGCCAAATCTCACAGCTCAATGCAAGTGTCTTGTTATTGCATTCTCACATTTGTTTTTAAGAAACTCACATGATTTTTTCAACATTTACAGGAAGAGAAGAGAACCTTGGAGAGAGAGCTGGCCAGAGTTAAAGTATCAGCAAGTAGAGTGGCCCTTGCCGTTGCTAACGAGTGGAAAGATGAGAACGATAGAGTCATGCCCGTAAAGCAATGGCTTGAAGAAAGAAGGATTCTCCATGTACTTACTGCTTTTCAATTACACAGTGACTGGCTTATATGGGAAGTATGAGTGTTGAAACTTTGTGTCTGTGTGCAGGGAGAAATGCAGAAATTGAAAGATAAACTAGCTGTTTCCGAGAGAACAGCTAAGGCAGAATCTCAGCTAAAGGTGATTGTTATATTGTTAATATTTTTTTTGTAAAAAGTGTAGTTTCTAATGCAAGTAAACATTATAGGAGAGGTTGAAGCTGAGACTGAAAACCATAGAAGATGGTTTAAAGGGCCCAAACACGTTTAAAGTCTTTCCAACTACAAAGACTGAAAAACCTGGCAAGATTTTAGGATTCTTGACGAGTGGTGGTGGATCAAAGAAAAGGTCTACTTCAGGCTCAATTACTGGCAGAATCCATGCCCTGAATCAGCCGATTCACATAGTTGCAGAAAGTGATGAAAAGGAGAATTCAAAGATTACAGCAAACGGATTGACTGATCAGCACGAAGAAGATGGCAAAAGGAAAGCAGAGGAAGATGGAAATGTAGAGTCTGAAGATATGGTTTCAGGGTTTTTATATGACAGGCTTCAGAAGGAAGTAATTGCTTTAAGGAAGATTTGTGAGAGTAAAGAGGGTACTATTAATGCCAAAAATGAAGAAATCAAGGTAAATTCATCATCTTCTTGTTGTTGTTTTCACTCTTCAACTATATGAAACCTTACTTAAGATAAGATAACTCTGTTTTCAGATGTTGATGAAGAAAGTGGATGCTCTAACGAAAGCCATTGAAGTTGAGACAAAGAAGGCAAAGAGGGAAGCCGCAGCGAGAGAAAAGGAAAATGCATTGGCAGTGTTGAATGAAGAGTCAAAACAATGTAGAAAGGCAAAACTACCAAGAAGGTTTGGTCATCATTTCCTTTATTGCTTGTCCTATCTTTTGAGAAAAAAAGACAAGTAAAACATAGTTGATTCTTATGTCTGTGCTATGTTGTGCAGCCGCGTACCCAATCCACGTTGCCAGTAGAGGAAGAAGAAGCTTATGGGATTGAAGATACTATATAATATGGTCTAATATTAGGTTGTTCTGTACATATTGAGTGTTGGATTATAAGAAAGTGAAAACTAAAGCTCAAGAGATGTGTGTGTTATGTATATTGGATTGCAAAACATGTTTTTAGATGATAAACAAAACTCCTCTCTCTTCTCCTACCAATTAGTTGAATGTTAGCAATTATCTTGAGAAGCTATAAGCAAATCAGATTCTGCTAAACACAAAAAAACATACATAATCTCTCAAACTCATACATAATAAAATATGTTGGTCTTGCCTTATAATCAGTAAAGGATCATATGTTCTCTGTAGTAGCAAGAAGATCTGAGCTTGAAGCAAAAATAAAATTTTATATATACAAGAAGAGCATGAAAAACAAGATTTACAAAGACTATCTCTCTTTCTCACAAGAAGTGAGAAGGAACCATATACAAATAAAGTCATGACTGATCTTTCCTAGCAAGATTAATTTACATTCTGTTTTTACATGGTGCTCTCTTGTAAGGTGATGTTGCCGGCTGTATAGACACGGGAGCCGTTGGAAGAGGAGAGAAGTTGAATACCTCTATGAGTCTTGGAAGCGCATCGATACGGTTTAGGAACAGAGAGTGTTTTGATGATACAAGCCTTGTCCAGGTCAGGAATCGCGTGGAGGTGAGAAGGAAGATCGATGACGAATTGCCCCAACTCATTTGTCACAGCTTTGATCCATTTAGATCTTCTCCTATATCCAGTATGGCACTTGATGCCAACGGTAGCACCTACAAGATGATGATTATCCGTTAGAAATCTCGTAGTATATAAGGAACATGGACCAATCCACTTATTACTAATTAATTACGTACCATGAATAGGAGAGGAAGAGGAAGAGAGAAGAAAGGCGGTGAGAAGAACAGAGGAGAGTTTTTCTTCGCCGTAGCCAGCCATCTCTACCATCTCATCTCTGCTCCATCTATCCCTAACTGCTTCCCCAAACGTTACCATTAATACCAAAGTCATGCTCATGAACAAGAACCTCATCTTTAATCTTCAAGGTCCTATATATGTGAAGAACTACCAATTGGCTTAGAAATGGAACAAGCAAGGATGTGTTATATATATACACAAATAAAATGAATGGATTGGTTGTATAAGATTAAGAATATGAGATCCTTATTTTGCTTTTTTATAAGTAATCTTCCTTAATTTGACTTTTATCTTCTTTGGTCAAATCATATGACTCCTTAATTATATATCTCCTTGCTTATATATTAATCGTAGCAATTACTTGTTTGCCTAATCTTTCTTTCTTCTTCTTCTTTGCTTTTTTTTTTTTTTTTTTTTAAATTAATAAATTAGATCAATCTTTGGTCAAATATCAGTACGGTATGCGACGTTTCTTCATTAGAAATGTCTTTATTTTTTTAATATTATCTTTCAAAGTCTAACCTAAATTTAAAGGGATGGGTCACAATTGACAAATAATCAAGCCTGCCCCAACTGTTTTTCTTTTCTTCTAGACATTTGTCTTTTGGACAAAGACAATACTATTTTTTTCTCTTTTTTTTGGGAGGGTTCTTGCCTGGGTTGGTTATCAATAATCTCTCCAAGGATAAATACAAAAATGTTTATTTGAATGATGTGTCTATGATGACCTATCAATATTATAACTTAATTCAATTTTTATTGCATTTTCCCAACAACACAGAAAGATCAACAATTTCCACATAATATTCAAGACATTAGTTTACAAATAAATTAAAGTGTTATCTTTAAATTTTAGATATTAGACTTTTATCATTTATAGTCAATACATATTAAGATATTTCATTGTCAGTATATAATTAGTTTTTTTTTTTAATAAAGGATTCTGTGTTGTTGACGTATCAAGCTAATATACAAAGTTTTCTTTAGTTGCATCACTTTACAATAAATAATTTATTACAAAAGATATATATTAACCAACAACTGTTGATAAAATAATAAAAGGGAAAAAATATTCATATCATCAACACAATTAACACATATAAAATACATTTAATAGTTTTTAATCAAATTTTAGTTTATTTTTTTTAGTTTCAGCTGCATAACTATAAATTTGATTAAACATATAAAAAGTCTGTTTCAATATTCTAAATTATTTTTAATATACTAGAAAACATAAAAAATTTGTATTACTTACATATTTACGTAAAACAATATTGATATATACCATATGAACATATATTCCAACTAAGACTTATACTTCATAATCATTTATCATGTGGTCTGGATTTGCACCGAATTTGGTAAAAAAATTACTCTCTTTCAAGCTAAACATTTTGTCTCCCTAAAAAATTTAAAATTCATTGTATCTATTCATTTAATAACAATAAATTACATTCTAAATAAACTAAACCAGATAATGATGCACATGAATTATTTTGAAACAATATAGATTTACAAACCCATCAGAATATACGAAATAGTCACTATTTGCAGTATGATTTTGTATTTTTGAATGATCGCATTGCTACTCTAGCAGCATTTCTACCGAGATTAGCTTTCCATGAATATTGATTAGTTTGTTTCAATATTCGAAATCATCTCCAACAAATCTAACAACATTTTCTTTCGCCATCTATATTTTACTAATTCTCCAACTCACATAAAACTAATGGTACAAGACTTTTTTGTAATTCCGCAGAATTCATATCATTCACAAAAACTATTGCTTAATGTCAGAACGTGAAAAAACAAATGATATTTTAGTTTATCGCGTATGTCTTAAAATTATACTTAAACAAGCCTTCATCCCTGGGCAAAAGGCCCAAGACGTTGTCGAGCGCTGTGGCCTCCTGACAAAGGCAAATGATGAATTACGTGGAAGTTATAGATCTGCATTACTTCGGTGCGAGTAAAGAATCGATTGTTTGAAGACCGGAGAGATCTCGTCGTCGATATTCAACTCTTGCAGATTTATAAAATCCGCCATAGATTCTGGCGTTCCGGCGAGAAGAAATAACAAACTTCTTGGATTTACGCGAAACCTAACTATCTTAAATTTTACCCGTGTATTATAACATTAGAAAATGACTCAAGCGTTACGTAAGTTTAGTAATATATTATATTTTTATAGAGGTCAAATTTTTATAATCATAACAGTTGAAGATAATTCTAAATGTTGAAAGTTTGACTATATCTATGTTGTATCTCATTTGAAAAATGTAGATTTGATAATTTTTGAGAATTTGTTTTTTTTTTTAATTGCATAATCTAATTTTTAAATGCACTTAAAATTTATATGAAACTATTATAGTTTATTTTTTTTTGTTTTTCAAAACACTTACACATCCAACACAAAAATAAGGTGACTTCATCTTCATGCATAATAGTGTCATTGTTATTTTAGACCACTTTTAGCTTACCACTTTTTGTTATTTTGAGATGTTAATCTTGTGATGCAACCTTAACATCATCTTATCAAATAAAAACGTAATATATTTTTAAAAAAATTAAAAAAATTTGATTTAAATGATGAACTCTCAAATGTGTTGCTCTTTTTGTTAACAACTTGCAAATAAGTTTATGTATATTTTGTTATACAACTCATGAATAATAAAACCATTGTTATTATTATTTTTTAGAAGCTAGATTATAACGTTTTTGAATTCTCATGATTTGTTTCTATAGTTTCACAAAAAAGTGTGACTCTTTCAATATCATTGTCTTAAATTAAAAACTTTAATTTGGGTTTAGTAAATTTTTCATAAGTGAACAGTTAATTAAAAAAAAACTCTTTGTAGTATATTTCTCTTACAAATTAATGTTTTACTTTAAATTTTATTTTTCTCTTTAAAATTTTAGAAACACAGTAACATAATTGTTTTTTACTCTATCATGCATTTAAATTTTACTTCCATACTAAAACTCATTAACACACTCAAAATTTTGAAGTATGATCATTTTTAATTGTGTTTATGTTACAAGTTGAATTATATTATTATTACTAATAAAATTTTCATGGTATTACTTTTACTATTTTAAAATGTCAATTATTTTTAATCATTTTTATTTAATAAAATTTTGTTAATTATAATTAATCTCAATATAAATAAATATAAATTAAATGAACATTAATTGTAATTAGATTTTAATGTAAAAAAATAAAAATATTGATTAATGACATGGTTTTGTTTAATTGGATGTTTAACATGATGATGTGAACACTTTAAGAGGAGAGAAAATTTTCACATTATATATATAGATAGATTTATCTTTGGCCAAAAAAAAAAAAACTATAAACACTCTAATAATAAGTTTGATTTCTTAAATTAGTTTTCTAAACTCAAAAGTGTTACAGAGTAAAAAAAGAAAACCCACGTGGAATAGCAAGGGGTTTAGTTGAACGAACCCAACATACATATCCATTTCTTCTCAATCAAGTCTCAACCATTCCACAATTACCACTCCATTCTCCTTCTCCTCTCTCATATGTTCGGGGTAAAATTGTCACCAAGATTTAGACAAACATTCAGCGTCATGTATTAACTTATTAGACAAATCATTTAGCGTCATGTATTAACTTATTAGCTAGACAAATCTTTTATCTTTTTTTTTTTGAATGTTGACAAATCTTTTATCTTTATGTATAACTTTAGTTAATTAGAAGAATTATATCAGGCTAAGTAGTTATTTTGCTTTTTGTTTTCATACCAAGTGAGGACTTGGACCATGAGAATGTGTGCTGTTTACATAGTACGTACCTTGTTTAACAATCTCAGATAATTGATGGCCAATGATGATGAGCCTGAATACTCGATCCACCACTTTCAGCTTCTGGTTTGCACAACTTACTGTATATATAAAGGTTCATATCCATGTAAAATATGTCTATTAACGCTCAATATGACCATCTAACACTTGGTTAACATTATGTTTATTGTAATAACTAATAATTAAGAGCCGGTTATATAGTTTGCCAACGTCAGTTATGTTGTATAGAAAAAGATACGTATCGAACGACCCTCATAGCTAGGGTAAGTTAATTCGAACGATGCAATGACCACCGATTTTTCAAATATGGAGAAAGCCCTCTTGGATTCTCTCTTAATAACTTTTTGTTATATATATGTTAAGAAAATGATCTAATTACTTTAATGTATACAGATATTCTTATTTTAGGATTCAAGATTTTGATGTTTTGAGTTCAACAAATTAAAAGAAAGAAAAAGAAAAAAGATTATCAATCAAAAATTGAAAATAGAATAGGAAGAGTGGGTTGTCTAAAAATGGAAGAATAGGATAAAGGAAGACCTTAGAGTGACAAAAGACATGAGCGCAAAACATGGCGACCCTCTTGTTCATTATTTGGAACACAAAGATCCTAAGGATCAACATCAAACTCTCTCTATCTCTCTCTCTTTGCTTCATTGCGTAAAATTTTGTGTTGAGAGGATTGATGGCGAAGATCAGAACGGATGCTCCGGTGATGCCTCCGGAGACTCCTCCTAGGAGCAGTGAGGTGGGAGAGATTGACACGCGCGCTCCCTTCCAATCCGTTAGAGACGCCGTCAGTTTATTCCGTCAAGTTAGCTTTTCCAAGAAGCAACCACCGCGTCTCTCCTCCTCCTCTTCTCAGTCTCAGGTATACATACATTCCTCTTTGGCTCTTTCTCTCATTTTACAAATACATGATTCCGCAATCTAAATATCTTTATTTCTTCGTTAAGGACACAACGGATGTGTCCGATAAGGAGATGCAACTTCTATTGGCCGAACAAGAAATGGATAGAGTCAAGCTGTGTCTTGATGGCTCTGTCGCAGCTAAAGCACAAGCTCTTTCTGATCTCGACTCTGCTCAACGAAAGGCCGCTGATTTAAGGCTTAAACTAGAATCCATCAAACATTCCAGGAAATGTGCTATCTCTACCAAACATACTATGAATCAACGTTTAGAACAACTTCAATCTGAAAACCAAGAAACAGAGAGCGCAAGAGAGGATTACATTTTAATTACCGCGGAGCTGTTCATGGCAAAAAACGAGCTCGCGGAATTGAAACAACAGTTTAACCTCTCCGTGGAAGAAAGGCTAGCTGAACTTCAAAGGGCAGAGGAAGCAGAGTGTGCGTCTATGGTTAACGCCAACAAGATCAAAGACATGTCACATGAGATAGCGGAAATGCGTGATGCTGCTGAGCGGCTGAATTCTGATGCTGCGAAGAAAAAAGAGGAAGAGGAAACGATAAAGGAAGAGAGTATTGCCGCGAGAGAAACTTACGTGTCTAAGAAACAAGAAGCTAAGCAAAGGCTGGGGGATCTGAAGCAAGATTGTGACCCTGAGCTAAGGAAAGATATCGAGGAGCTAGCGGAGATATGTGCTGAAAACGAGAGGTTACAGGAAGAGATTAAACTAGCTTGTGAACTCAAAGAGGCTAAGAGTGCGATGCAAGAAATTTATGATGAAGAAAGTTCATACAAAAGCTTGGTGGGCTCACTCACTGTGGAATTGGATGGAGTGCAGAGAGAGAACAGAGAATTGAAGGGAAAAGAGAAGGAGAGACAAGAAGTTGAAGAAGGAGAATGGGTAGAAACGAGTCGGAAAGTGGACGAAATCATGAGTGAAGCAGAGAAAACAAGAAAAGAAGCGGAAGAGATGAGGATGCACGTGGATGAACTCAGGAGAGAAGCAGCAGCAACACATATGGTAATGGGTGAAGCAGTGAAACAGCTCGAGATGGTTGGAAGAGCGGTGGAGAAAGCGAAAACCGCAGAGAAAAGAGCTGTGGAAGACATGAAAGTTCTTACTGAGAAGAAAGAGAGTCTAACACATGATGAGCCTGATAAGAAGATTAGAATATCATTGAAAGAGTACGAAGAGTTGAGAGGAAAGCATGAAGAGTCAGAGAGAATGGTTCAGTTTAAAGCGAAAACGGTTGCTGCTCAACTGGAAGAGATCAATGAGAGCAGAATAGAAGGGGAGAGAAAGTTGGAGGAAAAGATTAAAGAGATGGAGGAGCTAAAAGCGGCGATTGATGGTGCGTTGAGAAAAGCAGAGATTGCAGAGGAAGCACACAGTATTGTCGATGCTGAACTAAGAAAATGGAAACCACAAGACTTGTAGTTGTGATAAATATGCTTTAGGTTGTTTAGGGAACTACTAGAATGTCCATACCAATATATCTTTATTGAGAGATTCATGATTATTTCATATTTCTCATGTCAACAGTAAATACATGAACTGTATTAACATGGAACAGAGTCTAAAAAAAAAGATTTAAGGGTATCTTTGCTTTAGTCTTGTTTGGATGTGAAATTGGACAAAGTACTATACTAGAGTTGTGTTTTTTTTTTTTTTAAGCTAAAGCCAAATTCTTTATTAAGATGATAAATAGCAAAACACCAAACAATAATTGACTATCAGTAAGTAAATGAGAGAAACAAGATGCAAGAAACAAATAAAGTAGTAGACTAGTAGTATAGTAAAAGGGGCTAATTATCTCTTGCTTACTCTTTGTCCTGCTGGTTGATTTAGAGTTGCACTAAGCTTGGAGCATAAGAAGAGCACACAAGTGGGCAACAATACACGTATGGATTATATAACTTGTCAGGTTTTCCGAGATCGGGAGCTTCCCGAGTCGCGGATTTGAAGTATGCATCTTGTCCAATGATGTAAGCTGTCTGGTAGCGGTGGTTTTGATTTTCTTCTCTTTGTTTAAACCAGTCTAAATCAACCACAGCAACTTTCTTCACTTCGTCAAAAAAACATCTCCCTGCTTCTTCATCGAACTGAAATCCAGTGAGTGGTTTCATATCCACTGTCAAATACATGCTCCACGATACCACAGTGGGCTCGATCTTAATGGTAACCCAAATATCCAATATCTCACATGACTCCAACTGCTGATATAATACCACAAGCTGATCATCTCTAAGACAAGATAGAGCCACAGTTTCCAAAACATAAGAGTGAAATGGCAGAGGAAGACGTGGTCCAAAAACCTCTCTGTTGTAAAATCAAAACAGAGTAAAAATTCTTTAGTCTCTGTTAAATGTACTTCTTCTTCTCCTTCCACTATTATCTTCTCTTCAGCAAAAAAGTAAGCGTTTCCATTCAAAGACAGGCTGCGTTGATGATACTGCATATCTTAGTCGGGAGTGACATCAAGAACCCTCCAAGAATCAGAGCTAAAGTCGTAGATTTCGTAACCAAAAAGGTGCTCTCGGTCAATGTAGTAATCATCCAAAATCCTCAAGATTTTGTGGTTATGTAGATACCTCGATTTGAACAAGTTAATCAATTTGCTTTATAGATGGATCAACCCAATCTTCTTCCTTGGAGATCAAACTTCATTGAACAAACCCTAGAATCCATCATCATGAATCCCATAAACTGCTTCCTTGCTTCTGCTGCTTAAAAAAAATCCCTTCTTTGGATAAAGCGTTCCACTTTTTGAAAGTACACCGCACCGAAATCAAAGATGTCATCGGAACCCTAGTGAGAATCTCCCCTACCAATTCTGGTGAAAGATCAGAGATTGTCGTCATCATTTGAAGCTCCGCAATACAAATTAGGATTTTAGAGTTGTTCAAAAAAAGGTTTTCCCATTCACGCAGGTTACTTGGCATACTGTACATTCTTCTTTGTGGCCCATTTAAATGGGCTTTTGGTGGCCCATTTAAAGAAAGTCACGTGACGCGATATAAGCATGATCCGAGGAACACACTTAAACAATCAGGTTCTACATTTGCTTTGCACACCTTCCTTGATCCTATCAATGGCGGATCTGAAATCAACCTTCCTCGACGTTTACTCTATTCTCAAGTCTGATCTGCTTCAAGATCCTTCCTTTGAATTCACCCACGAGTCTCGTCAATGGCTTGAACGGGTACTCCTTTGATTCACTTCCATTTTCAATTTAACTCAAATCCTTTGTCTCTGCTGATTGGAACCTGTTTTTGCAGATGCTTGACTACAATGTACGCGGCGGTGAGAGGAGCTTCACTCTGACATTACATCCAAACTTAATCAGCTCATATTAAACACTTGTGTGTTCTGTTTTGCAGGGAAGCTTAATCGTGGTCTCTCTGTGGTGGATAGCTACAAGCTGTTGAAGCAAGGCCAAGACTTGACGGAGAAAGAGACTTTCCTTTCGTGTGCTCTTGGTTGGTGCATTGAATGGGTAATTCCTCTTTCACTCTCTCTTCGTCTTTCTCTTCTTATCTTTCATCTCAATGCTCATTTTGTATTTGCTCGCATTGTAGCTTCAAGCTTATTTTCTTGTGCTTGATGACATCATGGACAACTCCGTCACACGCCGTGGCCAGCCTTGTTGGTTTAGAAAGCCAAAGGTTGGTATGATTGCCATTAACGATGGGATTCTACTTCGCAATCACATCCACAGGATTCTCAAAAAGCACTTCAGGGAAATGCCTTACTATGTTGACCTCGTTGATTTGTTTAACGAGGTTTATCCTTTTAATCCTTCTCTTAATATTCCGATTTACAGTTATCACCAGCTTGTTCAATGTTCCTTTACATTGTTCTAGGTAGAGTTTCAAACAGCTTGTGGCCAGATGATTGATTTAATTACCACCTTTGATGGAGAAAAAGATCTGTCCAAGTACTCCTTGCAAATGTGAGAGATATAATCTCTTCTTAATGGATGATGCAGTGAAATAGCATTACATGTTCTGACTGATGATTATAGTTTACTAAAACGTGCAGCCATCGGCGTATTGTCCAGTACAAAACAGCTTATTACTCATTTTATCTTCCTGTGAGTATTCTGAATTCTCTCTTTTAATCCCTCTCCCTCTCTATAGAGTCACACGTAGGTTCAGAGGCTGCAACATAAAGCTTTCGTAAGCTAGATACATTTTGTTTTACGGAGAAAATTGGGATGTGGTGCAATGATCTGTTCACAATGCTAGTTGTTTCCGTTGATACATTTTATGACTAATAAACATATTAAGTCTGTTGTGAAAAGAAGTCCTCAATTTATTCTTGTATACAGGTTGCTTGTGCATTGCTTATGGCGGGAGAAAATTTGGAAAACCATACTGATGTGAAGAATGTTCTTGTTGACATGGGAATTTACTTTCAAGTACAGGTAGTTAGATACTAATACATGAGAGTTCATATAATGGGATCATTTCAGGATCCACAAAGCAATATTAGCAAGTTGATATCTTTTTCTTTTTTTTTCCATAGGATGATTATCTGGATTGTTTTGCTGATCCCGAGACACTTGGCAAGGTGAAAGTTTATGCCATCACATTGGCTTTTCAAAGCTCATCTTATTGTATTTTGGTACTTATCTTACGGTGCATGTGTTGTATGATGCAGATAGGGACAGACATAGAAGATTTCAAATGCTCCTGGTTGGTGGTTAAGGCATTGGAACGCTGCAATGAAGAACAAACTAAGATATTATACGTGAGAATCAGTTTCTTTCTCGTCCGCACAAGCATCATTTTCTGCATAAGATTTGTATCCTGTTTGAACAGGAATAACGTGTTTGGCAGACTTAACAAATTTTCACTGTATCAGGAGAACTATGGTAAAGCCGAACCATCAAACGTTGCTAAGGTGAAAGCTCTCTACAAAGAGCTTGATCTCGAGGTTTGGCACTAAGCATTTACTCAGACCTTTCGTTAGTCAGGCCAAGTAGAAAAAGAGAACATAATTATTGGTTATGAAAGTAGAGAACATGAGAGATGTGATATAATATGTAACATAATTTGCGTTTGATCTTGATTTTTCCATAGGGAGCGTTCATGGAATATGAGAAGGAAAGCTATGAGAAGCTGACAAAGTTGATCGAAGCTCACCAGAGTAAAGCAATTCAAGCAGTGCTAAAATCTTTCTTGGCTAAGATCTACAAGAGGCAGAAGTAGAGACATACTCTGGCCTCTCTCCGTTTAATTCTTCTGACATTTATGTATTGTTTCATGACCTCTTTCGCTCTTTGATCTTTTTGTTCCCTTCCAAAAATTTGAATTTGAGATTCTTGTTGATGCTTTATAGTATAAAGACTAATAAAATGTTTCTTTAAATTTTTCAATAACAATTGTGCAATCTGTGATAAGTGGATACTTGTTAATGTGGCAAAATTTTTGTGTCACATAAGGGTGTAGCAGAAATTTGGAAGGACAGGAAGTGTAACAGATAGACTCCATGAAGCACTAAAGAAGTTAAAATAGATAGAGACGAGAAGATTAGTGAAAGTGAATCTATAGTGATGATCCCAATCTGTTTGACAGCCGATTTGAGTCTCACCTTAGACACTACATTGACAACAAAGGTACTATAGTTGAAGCTCTGATTTCCTAAAATAGACTCCAAGATGATATTACAGAGATGATACTGGTTCTGCTTCTCAGCATATATGCTCAAGAAAAGTGATTTTAAATACAATAAAGTACATCAGACCTATATTTATGTAATTTCTCCATCCTATATCTACTCGCTCAAAAAATGTAACACTGATTATTTATATTGTGAGAGTCCAGAATCTCCAGATCAATACTCCAATGCAAATGTGGTAGATAGACCACCAGGCCATTGGCTCAGCACTTGACGATAAGCCTTTATCAGTAACGCCCACAAGAAATCGACAATCCCCAACTGAAGGATCTAGGAAGGTGACCATGCCCAGTCCATCAAAGTCGCAGCTCTTTTCATGTTGCATTTGCATCTGATAGTAACTGTTGAAAGTGTAAGAGATATTATCCTTTTCACCCAGCTGGCTGCACGAGCCCCCGTCATTGAGTGTTGTGCAATCTGCTTCACTGCAAGCAAGCCTGAGGTGGTCTCCAACTTGGGTCATGTCTTTTGATGGGTGAGCCACACACCACCTAGAAGGAAGGTACTGCACATTTTTCGCATTCTTGAGTCCTCTGTTGCCTAGTCCTAAATTGAGACGATACTTGGCCTGTCCATCAAAAGAGAAGATTCCCCAATGCCTCTCAAAGTTACCAGGCAGTGTGCTTTTCGCTCCTTCGTCAAGCAAACCGAAAAGATAAACATCCGCAGGAGGGGAGCCAGGCCTGAGCGGTGTTCCTTTGTTGCTCAACACATGGCTAATGAGCCCTTGATTAAAAACCCGGGCTGCCGTGAGGTTAGCACCAACTGCTCCATCTGTAGGCCAACCAATCTCACCAATAACTATAGGCATTTGACCATATCCAAGCTTGGTGAGAGCAGCAACAAGAGTGTCAAAGTTCCCATCAAATGCATTATAGTAAGTGTTAGGCCCATCCGGAACCGGATGACTACTTCCCTCAAAAAAAGCATAGTCTTGCGGAAAATCCGAGTTTCCATAGAGACTAAGGAAAGGATAAATATTAACCACAAAAGGAGAGCCATTGGAGTTGAGAAACGAAACCAACTGAGTCATAATCTGTGTAAGCTCAGGCCGGAACATCCCCTGGGAAGGAACATTAGACTCATACGCATCTGCGTTGCAAGGAACCACCAACTTCACATAGCTAGCTAGATTTGCTTTAACCAAAGATTGTTGCAGGTTAACCATAGCTGGGACTACATAGTTCTGAAACTGCCCACCATAACCCGTCAGAAACGGCTCATTCCCTACTGCAACATACCTATTCAACAGAGAAATTGGTAAATCCTCTACTTAATCATAGTTTAAAGACACAGATACTCAGAGAGAAAATGTACCTAATATCAGCACCGTTTTTGCCGATGAAGCGAGAGAGATTTTGCTGGACAAACAAATCAGAATCGAAAGTTGAGAGCATCTCGTTAGGAATGCCGACCATTACTTGGATTCCAGTACCCATTAGAGCTCTAAGCGCATCTGGATTCGAATCGAAGAGCTTAACTTTGGTGATCTTGTTTGCCTTGAGTAGATCCACTACTGTGGAAGGTCTCATCTTGTGAAACGACAACGTTCCCCAGTTTACACCGATTGCTGACTCAACCTCATGGGTAACGAGAAGAAGGAAGAAGATAAAGAGAGCTACACCTACACCGCTTCCCATTTTTTTCACTGAGCTCTCTCTCGGTGCTCGACAAAGATAGCAATTTTTTCAAAAGGTTACAGCTTTATTTTCTTGTAGAGACTGTGTGTCGTTTTTTTGTTTAAATAACGTCACGAAGTGCGGTATCTAAATAGGAAAACGACAGAGAGATTGAAATTGGCGACAATACAGGTTGATGCATCGCTGGATTTGCTGGAAAACAAACCGTCATTTCTCCGTCTTTATAGAGAAAAAAAGATTCTCTTCTCGTCATCGTCATCGTCATCGTCTTCATCGGGATAAAGAAAGGGATTCATTTTTTCGCCTGAACCTGCGGATTTTCTTTCGATTCTTCAACTTCAATGTCTTATGCTTATCTCTTCAAGTATATCATCATCGGAGATACTGGTAAAACTTCCTCTGCTTCTTTTTTTTCTTCAATAATTGAGATGATCAGGACCTATATATGTTTCGTTACTAAAATTGAATTGATCTGAATCTATGGTGGATTTAGGGATTCGAGAGGCTTTGTGATTGATTGTGTGTATTGATTCTGATTTCAGGAGTAGGGAAATCATGTCTTCTGCTTCAGTTCACGGACAAGAGGTTTCAGCCGGTGCATGACCTTACCATTGGTGTTGAATTTGGGGCTAGGATGATCACCATCGACAACAAACCTATCAAGCTTCAGATCTGGGATACGGTCTCTTTCTCCTTACTTCTTCAATTTTCATGATTAATCTCTATCTCGTTTTCATGAAATACCTGGATTGGTTTGTATACTGTTGTTTTCTTTGACCACCTATTTGGCTGGCTATTTTGAAGTTTCATAGCCTATTCATAACGATTTCATGTCTTTTTCCCCCACAATTCATGGGATTATAGTCAGCGGCTTAGACTTTAGTGAAATTTTGAAACTCCTGTCCTTTGTCTTGGCTAATTTTTCTCTGTGATATGGCATGGCAGGCTGGTCAAGAATCCTTTAGGTCTATTACAAGGTCATACTATAGAGGAGCTGCAGGGGCTTTACTTGTCTATGATATCACAAGGTAAATCACTTACTTCTTTCTTTTTGTTTTCGACTTGATCATGAAAGCGATTTCATTTTCTTGTGTTGTATAGTAACTAGAAGTTGTGCCTAATCTTGATATAATGACTTCAGTTGTATTTTTCAAAGTTGTTCACTGAAGACACTCACAATATCGATCTCGGGTTTTGCAGGAGGGAGACATTTAACCATCTAGCTAGCTGGCTAGAAGATGCAAGGCAGCATGCAAATGCAAATATGACGATAATGCTCATTGGGAATAAGTGTGATCTTGCTCACAGAAGGGCTGTGAGCACAGAGGAAGGAGAGCAGTTTGCAAAGGAGCACGGTCTTATATTCATGGAGGCCTCTGCCAAGACTGCTCAGAATGTTGAGGAGGTAAACCCCCATGCATTCCAATGTGGTTTCTTAGGCTTAAACGTAGATCTCTAGAGTGTACTTTTAACTCGCATGTTTTCTCTAGTGCCCCTTAACTTAGAATACCATTAGATGCCCCTTAAATTAGAATACCATCAGATTTAGGCGGTGGGAGACAGAATAACATTCGGAGAAGGGAGAGAGGAACTAGTTGATTATGATCAAAGTTGTTATATTTGCCAATTACCCAATACTTATCATGATTTCGACTGCTGTTGTGTTTTGTAAATTTTTGCTAGGCATTCATTAAGACAGCCGCAACAATATACAAGAAGATTCAAGATGGTGTGTTTGATGTGTCAAATGAGTCATATGGAATAAAAGTTGGATATGGAGGAATTCCAGGACCATCAGGTGGAAGAGATGGATCTACCTCGCAAGGAGGAGGGTGCTGCGGCTGAGATGGGAAAGGTGTCTATATCATCATGTAAAAATGATAACATCAAAAATGTCTCTGCTTCTTTCTATAGTTGTAAATCGTTTTGGAATTCGATTTGGTGACTGTGTTGTGATGGGTTTTGGAACGGTTTGACAATACACGTGTATCTCTATTCATATATCTAAAATTAAGATGTGTTTCGCGTATATAAGGATATGATAGAGGTAGGAATGTAGGCATTTGCATGGTACTGGAAAGGATATGATTCATATGATGAAGGTACTGGAAAGGATATGATTCATATGATGAAGGTAAGTGCAGTGTTCACCAAGAAATTGGTAACGGCTGCATGTGGTTCCATTAACCGACTCAGAGAAGATGAACGATGCCGTCCATGGTTTACTGATGTCTTCCGCGGTTTACTCGCTTAATGATGCAATGCCGAAGTCTTTTGCTAAAGGCCTCCAACCTTCCCGCTTTTTCGTGTCTTTGCAATTGTTTCACCTCATTTCTTAATTTCCTTCCTCGTCTTTAGTAGAAGAGTCTATTGGCTTTTGTTCCCCATGTGGTCTTTCCTTCCAATAAACATCATACGCCTACCAAATATTGAAACGCCAGCAAGTTTGCAATGGGCGACAATACAAGTTGATGCTGCGCTGGATTCGCTGGAAAAACAACCGTCATTGAGTGTGACTCAGAACAAACGACAATGAAATTGAAGAAGGGGCGAAAACGAGCTCAAACAGACTAGCAGAGCAATCATATGATCTTGGACCAGAAAGACATGCAAATTGAGAAAAGGAGCAAAAAGCCAAAGTCACAAACAAAAGAAACTGTTTTGAGTGTTTTCTTTCTATCCGGCTTTTTCATTTGTTCCATTTTATAGGGACTGCCAAGCTATTCGGAGGCATGAGGCAAAGCAAAACACATTTTTATATAGATTTTTTTACTATATTTTGCCAATCATAATAAATAAAAAAAATCATTTTTTAGATCTTTATCTTTTTTTTTTTGACGTGATTCTACAACGGACAATTCCTTCCGACCCTTATTAGATCCACGACAGACGACACTTCCTTCTCCATGCTCTTGACGGACACCTTCAATGATCCACGACCTGACGACACTTCTCTCTCTGCGTAGAATCTTGGCGAACGACTATAATTGTACTTCGCTGGAGATCTCCTGCACACTTGCCTCCTTTAATCTGCAAATTTATTAATAAATCGCAATATCTGGGACTCGAACCCCAGACCTCTTGATGTAGAAGCATTAATTAACCCTTAGTCAACCAATGAGCCAATGGGGCTTCCACATTTTAGATCTTTATCTATTTTATGATTAAAATTATAAAACACTTTAAAGTGTAATAAATAATTTTGATAAATTTGTTAATTAGCTAACTACAAAAAAATAAAGGATAATAAGCTAAATTTCTATATCATTGGTACTTTACTTTTTATGTTAAAAAATCTAAATATATATTAAAATTTATGAAAATATGGGAGCCTTATTTAAAACGAAGAAAGCATATGGCTTTGCAAGAAGAAAAGGGCACGTATCATCCTTCAGAACAGACTCACTAATTTGCAATCATTGTATAATCATCCTAATGGTGGGACACCAAATCTCTAAGCGACACAATCTAGAAGTTTTCAAGGATCTTTATTAATATAGACACCTAAGCTATTCTCATATGTATGATTCAAAAACGTTAAAATTAAAGACATTTTTCTGATTCTTGACCTTACCCGTCTTTATAGAACAAAGGGATTCTCTTCTCGTCTTCATCGGGAGAAGAAAGGATTTCAAATTTTCCACTTCAATGTCTTATGCTTATAGATTTAAGTATATCCTCATCGGTGATACTGGTACTGCTTTTTTCTTTTTCTTTTTCAATCCTTATCATATTAATCTATTTCATATCAAACCTTTCTTGGTGGACAAGAAACATTCAGGGCTCGAGGGACTTTGTGATGTTGATTGAGTTTTGAATCTGGTTTCAGGAGTAGGGAAATCATGCCTTCTGCTTAAGTTCACCGACAAGAGGTTTCAAGCGGTGCATGATCTCACCATTGGTGTTGAATTTGGGTCCAAGACGATCACTATCGACAACATACCCATCAAACTCCAGATCTGGGATACGGTCTCTTTCAACTTACTTCTTGACTTTTTACACGTCCAAAATCTATCTTATTTTCTTGAAATACCCTGGTTTGGTTGATTTTATATACTCTGATTTTCTTTGACCACCGACTTGACTAAAACTTCATTAAAATTGATCATGTCTTTATTTTCCACAATTCATGGGATTATAGTCAGCAGCCTAGTTTGATCCTCCTATCATTTGTATTGGCTAATCTTTCTCTGTGATTTGTGGCATGGCAGGCTGGTCAAGAAGCATTTAGGTCTGTTACAAGGTCTTACTATAGAGGGCGTGCCGGGACACTGCTTGTCTATGATATCACAAGGTAAAAGCACTTGCTTCTTTCCTTTTTTTGTTATCAAGAGTTGACTTGATCGTAAAAGCAATTTCATTTTCTTGTGTTGAGCAAGATCTTGACTTAAGCTGTCTTTGTTGACATTATATAATTATTTTTTCCGATAAGGGAATAGAACTAGATTTGTATATGTTATAAATGTCATCGTCTCAGTGAAGACACTCACAATATTGTTGATCTCCGTTTTTGCAGGAGGGAGACATTTAACCATCTAGCCAGCTGGCTAGAAGAGGCAAGGCGGCATGCAAGTGAAAATATGACGACAATGCTCATTGGGAATAAGTGTGATCTTGAAGAGAAAAGGGCAGTGAGTACAGAAGAAGGAGAGCAGTTTGCAAGGGAGCATGGTCTTATATTCATGGAGGCCTCTGCCAAGACTGCTCACAATGTCGAGGAGGTAAAAGCCCCCATGCTTTCATTCAAATGTTTAGGCTTAAACGGAGATCTCTAGTCTCTACACCGCACTTTTAACCCGCATGCTTTATCTAGTGTCCCGTAGTTACTTGCATATCCACCAGTTCAGCTATGATGCTAAGAGAAGGATATTAAGTTGGTTGCAAAGTTAACATAGAATACCAAAATTTGATTCAGGCAGTTGGGGACATCATAAAATGTGAATAAGTAGATTTTTGGAGTTATTTCTTTATTAAATGTGAAGAGAGAAGAGCTTGTATATATGCTTCTTACTTGTTCAACTCCTATATACTAATAGAAAGTATAAATCATTATGTCGATGTGTTTTTGTTTTTGAATTCTTGGCTAGGCATTCATCGAGACAGCCGCAACAATATACAAAAGGATTAAAGATGGTGTGGTTGATGAGGCAAATGAGCCTGGAATAACTCCAGGGCCATTTGATGGATATGATGCCATCTCCTCGAAGCAAAGAAGAGGGTGCTGCGGCTGAGATGGGAAAAATGTCTTTTTAAAAATGTGTTTGCTTCTTTATATTGTTGTAATTCGTTTTGGAGTTCGATTTAGTGACTGTGTTATGGTGAAGTTAAGAACAGATTGACAAAACAGGTTTTTGTCTATTCACATATCAAATTAAGATGTGTTTTGCGTATCTAAGAAATGTAGCCCATTTGCATGGCATTTGAAACAGTAGTAAGGATATGATTGAGGTTAAAAGTGTGATTCGATTTGCCAAGTCGAAGGAGAAGTGTACATAATGAAATGCAGAGATATACAACAATTAGAGCAATTTGTTGAACTTTCTTCAAGGTGAACGGTGTCTTCTATGGTTTACTCGCTTTAGGATGCAATGCCGCAGTCTTTTGCTAAAAGCCTCCAATCTTTCCAATTTTTCGTGTCTAGGCTTCTTTGCATCTGTTTCACCTCCGTTGTTAATTTTCTTCTCCTTACTATCTTCTTCTTCTTCTCTACTAGAATCTCTTGGCTTTTGTTCCGTGTTTAGATCAGCAGTTTTCTCGACCTGGAAGGTAATATATCAGAAACGAAACCCCATCTCACCAAATATCAAAATGTTTCATAAAACAGATTCGAATAACATCAACCTGATCACCCTCGCCAGCGGTCAAACTTTCATCTTCTTCAGTGCCTCCTAGTGAAGAGCATCTGCCCCAGCTTTCCCTGTTAGAGCTTGTAAATGAACAGCCTTCTTCAAACTGATCAACAGGCTTCCCCTGCCAAATAACAATCAAAATACATACTGTGACCAAGGCTCGTAAGGCAACACTCGAGGAGGGTCTTTAACAGAAGCTTCAAAAATGGTGTGTGGAAACATAGTTAGAGCTCCTACTACTTCACTATTTATTATGGTTTTCGCACATGCTCCACTTACCTCAAAGTTTTCAGGGTCGTCCATGTTGTGATCATTATCTTCCACAAGCACGGCATCCTGTTTCATTAATGATAGATTATCAAAAGGGATAGACCAAGCAACAGAAAGGAAATTCATGCAAGAAAGAGAACAGGTATACTGTATCTATCATGGGCATGGCTTCTGAAAGGAGCTCATTCGTCGGCTTTGTGGTTAGAGGGGCAGGAGGTGCAGATGAAGAACTTGCAACATCGATACATGCCGAACGAAGACCAGATATGATCTCATAAAGAAAACTCTGGCAGTACAAGGTAACCAAGCAGTTAGATTCTTGTGCATGATCTTTCACCGTGCTAACTGTGATGGAGACTAATTTATAATTTTTGTTGTGTGAGATGAACACCATGAGTTCTCAACCATCATATACATCGAGCCATCTCTTTAGTGACTCTAGCAGTATGTCTAGGCAATGTCTTTATTCTCTTTAGTACTCAAATGCAGAAAATATAACAGACAGCAACACAGGACTGGAATTTAGGGTTGCTCCATCATGGAGTGCAAATTACCTCATCCAAACCAGTAGCGCTATTGACATCTCCCAAACTGTAATAACTTTCAAGTTTAGATGAGCAAGCTGAAGAAATTGGAGGCGGGCGAAGAACATTGTAGAAGAATATTAACACTGAATCATAATAGGACTGTGGCCGCGAAGAGTTGTGATCACCATCAAACTTGATGATATTTTTGTCTCCCTGCAGAGTTACCAGAAGATTGGTACATAAAAATGAAAAAGGGTTGATATGCCTGGACAAACAAAAAGGGTACATAATTATGTAAGTACCGCATAGCACTTGAGAATGAGGTCAGAGTGATGAGGTTGGATGAATTTGTCTCCGCTTGCATGCCCAAATAAAGCTGGAATAAAAGTCTTGGGTGAAACCTGGGGGGGAAATCGAAAACTTCACTAAAATGGTAACATACTACCTTACTTGGAGCATGACAAGAAAAAATAGGGAGAGGTGCTTATACAACACCTTAACACAATTGAGATCCATAATATTAAACTTCGCCTTTTTCTGAATTATACGCCGCATGTACTGCACAGCCACTTTAACCTAATTGAAAAAGGAGACAAAAGTTTCACTGCAAGCATAAGAAAATGTCTACAATAATGCTACCACAGATTGGAATGGATAAAGAAACTATTTTGGACTCTTGTAGCCATGTGAATATATGAGCCTTATTCCTAAATTTTCCATTTTTATTAGCAGGTTCAATCCAATAGCTATGTGTAGCAATTGTTACTACACAAACAGAAAAACAATCAACTTGATCCTTGTACAGCCGAAGTGATAAATTAATTTCATGCTTCATGTCTTATAAACTCAGTGTCCAGTTTCAGGTGTATAATGCTATGAATAATACCAGCTGGGGTTAAAGAGAGCAGGAGAACATACTGTGAATTTCGGTAGTCGGATTTTGTAGACATCCACTAGTTCCATCATCAGATCAAATAAGTTTGAAAATGCACTGTCTAAGACCATTCCAGCAATTGAAGGATCTTCTGCTCCATAAAGAAGGCTGCACATTTTATTCCCCGCTTCATTAAATGGAGAGAACAAGACGAGGAATGTGGAGAGTTGACACACTTTTCAGATCATAGACCTTGAGAAAGCTGGTGAATCTATAGTCAACACAACTACTACTACTACTTTAAGTGTGACTGAGAAGTAGCTCAAGAATTAACCTGGTAACTGCACCCATAGATCGTCCCCAAAGTCCAATACGGGATACTTGATTGCTGTTTCTCAGGTAAGATACCACAGTCTTGAGATCATCCTTCTAGCTTAAGTTTAACAAGAAAAATTTAGATAATATTTGAAGAGACGAGAAGCTTGTGAAAGTAAGAAAAGGAAACACACCTCATGCCAGCCAAGGCTTACATAATCACCCTCAGATAAGCCTGACCCCGAGAAGTCAAGGGTGAAAACAGTAATGTTAGATGGGAGAAGAATCATAACTGCCTCATTTGCATCTGCCCTACATCCACTGGTCAGATTCCAAAACAGACGAATTAAGTTCTTACTTATTCAACTAGTCATAAACAAGATCGTAGTTCCTAAAAGAGATGTGCAAGTCTTTATGTACCTATTGCCATGACAGTATATAACGCAGGGGAGAGGAGTATCCTCCCGAGAAGATGAGGGAATGTAGTGACTGCAACGCAAGGTGTGACCCCTCGAATTTGTAAGCTACCAGAGTACAAAAAAATGAGACCTATAAGGTTAACCGCAAGAGCAACCACAATTTGAAGAAAATACTAAATCATTAGGTGCCCATACTTGCCTCCAAGTCTTGTCTTTTACACTTTGTGCCACCGAGGCTAAACTCCTTCTCCCACAAATACTGATCAGGATCATACTCAGCCCTGTCAAAAAAACCCCAACAGCTATCAATTGAATGCATAAAGGTTGAGACTTGAAAGAGCAAAAGAAGATGGAGAAGTACCTAGGAGGTCGAATTACAAAGTTGATGAACTGATCAATCATCTTGATTCCAAGTACCAATGAACTCATGAGCTAGTAGTAGTAGTAGTAGTAGTACTTTTCTGAATCCTGAACCATGTTTCTACAGACATTGCTTAGTCTTCAGCAACAAAATCCCTAACAAATTACAAGTGAGACAACAAAAAGCATCATGCTTTCGAGAGTCCCATAACCCATATAACCTCTGAGAAATGCGCAGATCCCAAAGACAAAAGAGAGAGAGAGAAGAAGAAATCTCAATCTCCCAGCTTTTGCAGAAAAGCAAATAAGGCCACCCAAAATTATACCTACTACGAGCAAGCAGCAGCAGAAAAAAAAAAGAAAGAAAGAAGGAAGAAAGCTTTTAGTATTAAAGAAATGACAGATGCCCAGATCTTGAAAATGAGTCAACTAGAAAACCGAGTCTGATGAGAAGAAGAGGAAAATACTATTCTCAAAGCCACGACTTTTGAGGATGAAAATAAAAAGGTAGAATCAGATTTTCAGATCTCGAGGTGGTAGATACTCGAGAAAACAAGAATCAATTTTTATATTTCCCTTTTGAAGATTCGAACGCTGGTCCTTGTGGTCATTGCGCCATCAAGAAGTCTCGAACTTTTTTTGGTTCATCTTTGAGTTTGCTGTTCCTTTCTTCTCCAGCTCACTAGGTGGCCTGATAGTGATAGACTGACCTGTAAAGCTTAAAAATATCTAGAAACATAGACTTTTAAGGGTAAAATGTTTAAAACAAATCTAAAATTAAATTAAATATAATGGTTAACAACAAAAACATACAATTTTTTGTTTGACATCCAATGATCATCTAAGTGCAAAAAGTTAATTTTATTCTAATTAAACAATACGATTTGATTTAGTTGATATTATTTCATTCTATATATTTACAACATTAGTATTTAAACTATTTTAAAAGTCTTCTTATTATAGCTACTTCGTATAATTCGTCTCTTCAATTAAACTGGACCACCCAATTTTTAAAAAATCGGCGTAGACGGTGACTAGGCGCCCGCTTAGGCGCTTATGAACTTCAATACGCTCCGATTTTAATTAATCGGTGAACCAAATCGGTTTACCGGTTTAAGCATTCATAATCGATATTAATCGGTCAAATTGGCCGGTTTAATGCAAAATTTTTTTTCATATAAGATCGTTTTGAATAAGTAAAAATAAAAGAAAATAAATACTTAATTACTAAACATGTAAATTATGAATTAACTATTCTCATTGTTTTTAGTTTCTAAGACTAGTCTATTTTAGTTTTCATATAAATTATGTGTGAATATATATAAAATTCGAATATGTACATTTTTAACATTTCATATTTTATAACCAATATTGTTATAAAATCATGAAAAATATTTTAAAATAAGTAAATAATGTGCTAGTGCCTAGGCCTCGGTTGATCGATCTAGGCACTAGACTCCTATCGAATGCCTAGCTACCGTCCAACGATTTTTTGAATAATGCGACTATCTATTCATATTTAATTTCGGTTGGCTAAAAATATAAAAGAATGAATGATTAATTTTATATTCTTAGAATTTTTATTTGTATATGTTGAACTAGAAATTATATATTTTAGAAAGTTCAGTTTGTTAGATTTATCTAAATTAGGTTGCGTAAATCCAATTTATCCAATTGGTTTATATGGTATAAGAATTTCTCCAGCGATTAAATTATTTTTGAAACTTGGTTTGATTTCAATTAAATTTCGGTTTAGTTCAGTTACCAACCACTAATTTAATTTATGTCGACAATTGATATTACAGCAGCACTGCACCGTCATCAACAGCAGATATTTTATATTCCTTTAACAGAGCCCCGTAACTCTCCCCAAGTCATTGAGTCATGACTATTTCACAATTCCAACCGCCTCTTGCGTGTTCTTGAGGAAACGATCCTCTTGCTTCTCCTTCGATTCCGCTTCTACTCCGATCGAATTCCAACTCTGACAATTTCATTCTCTTCTCACGATTACTTGATTTTGCACTTGTTTTTTCTCTTTTACTGTTAAGAGTTTTGATTTGCAGAGTTCGAAGATGTTGGAAGATCAGGTAGCGTATTTGTTACAAAGGTACTTGGGGAACTATGTGAGGGGATTGAGTAAGGAAGCTCTTAAGATCAGTGTTTGGCAAGGTTAGATTGTTTCTATTTTCTCGCTGAATTTTTGTAATGCCTGGATTTGAGTTTCAAGTTCGAATGTTGTGATATTCAGTAGCGATTTTGAGTTATAAACGAATGTGAGAACTCGTCAGGTTTTGTGTGCTGTAGTTGACTGCGCTCTATTGAATTGGGTTCTGTTCGAGTTATATTCGTGTAGCTATTAAACGGAGAAGTGTATTTTTTCCTGGCATCTGCTAGGTGGTTTAGTTGATCGGAGCTCTTCAATTTCTAGTGTGACATATTACATGATTAAAATGATGTAGAATGCCGCTTGCTTGCAGGCTTTATAGCTTTGTTAATGGTTTATTTTGGTTTGTGCTGGTTGTTCACTTTATAATTGCTTAGTTACTTCTCACAGTTGCTACTCAGAACAGATGACTGAGTAAAAGAAGGATTTATTATATCTCTTGGTTTTAGTTTTTTTCATTTGCTAATATAGCTCTTGGTTCTACTTGATTTCGCAGGAGATGTAGAGCTGAAAAATATGCAGCTTAAACCAGAAGCCCTTAATGCTTTGAAATTACCTGTCAGGGTTAAAGCTGGATTTCTTGGATCAGTCAAACTCAAGGTGTGTTGTGTGTTTTGTTTATCTATCCCATCTAACCTAAACAATATATACTTGAGTGCGTTAGTTATCTTTTCTTTTTTCTACTCCATTTGCTCACGAATAGTATTTCACTTGTTTTAGTGGTCTCTATCAGTCATCTTACTCAATAGTCAATATCATACAATATTTATTGTTTTTAACATTAATTTTTCTGGGCCTAAGTCTCTTCACTGAATTCACCTTCCAATAGTTTTATACACTCACTTAGACCCATTTATTGATTTTTTTCCAAATCATCATTTTAGGTACCATGGACCAGACTTGGACAGGAACCTGTAGTTGTTTATCTTGACCGAATTTTTGTATTAGCCGAACCTGCTACTGATGTTGAAGGGCGTAGTGAGGATTCTATCCAGGAAGCAAAAAGAAATCTAATACGGGTGAGATATGTCGCTCATATTATGACCATATTCCATTTCTCTTATTTGAGTTATTGAATCAAATTTCTGTTTGTGGTAAACAGGAAATGGAAACGAAACTAGTTGAGAGAGCTCGTCGACTACAGACAGAAATGGTGTGGCTAGTGCTACTCACTCGTAGTAGATAACGTAGGGAAAAATATTGTACTAAACTAACCATATTTTCTTATTCTCTTCAAAGAACAAATCATGGATGGGATCAGTGATCAACACTATCGTTGGAAACTTGAAGCTGTCAATTTCAAATATTCACATAAGATATGAGGATCTAGAGAGGTAACTAGATTATAACAGAAGCTTTGTTCTTGATTGTCTACGCATTTGTATGATTAACAGCCTATGTTATAAGTGCAGCAATCCCGGCCACCCGTTCTCAGCTGGTGTTACACTAGAGAAACTCTCAGCTGTAACCATTGATGAGAGTGGAAAAGAAACTTTTATTACTGGCGGGACTCTGGACTCCATCCAAAAGGTATAGATTTGTTCATCAATATCTGAATGGCACAAGCTTTTCTGGTCATATGCCTCAGTTTCCTAGTTTTGTTTCTCTTATGAGGGTTTTATGTTAAGATCTCTTGCACTTCTTCTTGCTTGTAGGTAGTAGCTTGGTAGTTTATGATTTTAATCTAGTTCAATAAGTTAAGTTTATGTGGCTATAGTAAGAAGCACGGGAAAATTGAATTGGGCTGCTCTCTGGATTTACTGCATTGGGAAAGGAATACCCATGCCAAGAAACAAAAGCAAGGGTACTTTACATTTATGTTTCTTGCTATAATTGTTTGCTTTTGCCTTTTTTTGCAGTCTGTTGAACTTGATCGGCTTGCATTCTATCTTGATTCTGACATGTCTCCGTGGCATATTGACAAACCATGGGAGGTTCTAACTCCTTTTGAGTGGGATCAGGTATTGACAAGGAAAATCATGTATATTTAGTGGAACCAGAATTTTCCATTGTCTCTTACCCAACATCTAATTTTCGGTGCATGCAAATATCTAGATTTTTAGATTTGGCACAAAGGATGGTAAGCCAGCTGACTGCCTCACGAGGAAGCATTTCTATATTCTGCAACCTGTCTCAGGGAATGCGAAGTACTCTAAGTCTCAACCAAATGAATCTTCAAATACTGCTCAACCTTTGCAGAAGGCATATGTAAACTTAGACGATGTGACACTTTGTTTATCAAAGGTAAAACAAATCATTTAAGGTTTCTACTCTTTTTCTATTTGGCTGTTCCCGGTGGTCTTGATTATGTGTCTTTTTTTTTGTACTCAGGGAGGATACAGGGATGTCATGAAACTTGCTGATAATTTTGCTGCATTTAATCAGCGTTTGAAATATGCACATTACCGTCCATCTGTTCCAGTTAAAATCGACGCAAAATCGTGGTGGCAATATGCTTACAGAGTTGTTTCAGAACAAATTAAGATAGCAAGGTATCTAAATGTAAACCTTTATCTATGTTTTTTTTATTGATGCCGGCTTTTTGCGTAATTTGCATCGGTTGTGGAAACATCTTCTTTGCAGTTCCTTACATTAGGTTTTGTTTACATTTTCTGACATTGTTACCTTTATGACAGCGGGAGAATGTCATGGGAGCACGTTTTAAAGTACACTAGTCTACGCAAGAGATACATCACACAGTATGCTTCGTTACTGAAATCTGATATCAGTAGGATAGTTGTTGATGATGATGAAGAAATCGAGGCCCTTGATCGGGAACTTGATACCGATGTTATTTTGCAATGGAGGTAAGCTGTAAAGCTTAAATAATAGTAATTTTTAGTTGCATCCTAGAATATCAGTTAGTTTTTTCAAAGGTTTGGTCTTGTGTCGTTCTATGAAATTTCATGAGGACTGTTCTTTTTTTTCCTTTCTCTGTTTGCTTCCATGACATTTCTCTGTTTTACTTCCATATGTCATCATAGTACATGAGTTCTGCTCCATATAATGTAAAATAAGAATAAATATTTTAATCATTTTCAATTTTGACTAAGTTCCTTGAGTTTCTTTAAAGGATGTTGGCGCACAAGTTTGTTGAGAGGTCGGTACAGGCAGAAAATTACTCGAAGAAGCAACAGGCTAAAAGTTCATGGTGGCCATTCGGAGGGTGAATGCTCCTCTGGTTCTTTCCAGTTCACAACTCTTTTTCCCAAAATTTCTTCTCAATTATCGTGTATGTATGCCTTCAGGAAGAGTGAAGTGTCCGAAGGTGAAGGAGAATCTATTCAATTCACAGATGAAGATTGGGAACGGTTAAATAAAGTCATAGGGTACAAAGAAGGTGATGAGCAATCAATTATCAACAATGCAAAACCTGATGCTCTCCACACTTTCTTGGAGGTACAGATGAAGCGTAGTGCTTCAAAACTTTATGATGGGGAGAAAGAATGTCTTGCGGAGTTATCATGTGAAGGTCTTAATTGCTCCGTTAAGCTTTTCCCAGAGACGAAGATAGCTGACATTAAATTAGGGAGATATCGCTTGTCATCGCCAAGTGGTCTGCTTGCTGAGGTTTGTTACGTGGATTTCATTTTGTTTTGCTGGCTGTAAAACATTATCAGTGGTATCTTAAAATCTTACAAATGTCTCTCTTCCTGCAGAGTGCACCTGCCTCTCACTCTGTACTTGCTGTCTTCTGTTATAAGCCCTTTGATGCTAAAGTTGACTGGAGTCTTGTTGCAAAAGCTTCTCCATGTTACATGACTGTACGTGACCTCTCTCTGAGGCAAATTTGTATAGGTAGTTCTGTTATTTATATATATGTGGCTGATTGTGTTGCCATCTGCAGTATCTAAAGGATTCCATTGATGGAATTGTCAACTTCTTCGAAAGCAGTACTGCTGTGAGCCAGACAATAGCTTTGGAGACTGCCGCTGCTGTACAGGTGTGTCCTTTATGTGCTATGGTGTACAAAGTTGGCTAACACAAGTTCATATTAGCGTTATATAGCCTGTTAACTATTGGTAATCATCGTGATGAATTTAGGATCTTAGCAAGCAAATTCTGTTTGTTGTCAATATTGTACTAGACACCTGAGTAATTCTGTTGGAACTACAGAATTTTTCATGCGACTTTTTTTATACTGGAAATCAAAGCTTACACTGTTGACATGATACTTCATATCTGTGATGGAAATGGCAAAACTATTTATAGAGCCTGCTCCTTGCACGTGAGCTACAATGGTGCCTGGCAGCTTATTAAAAAACTGTTGGAATTATATCTCTGAACCTTCCTTATATTCAACTGCCCAAGGAGAACCACTTTAATCATTATAAGCCACATACTTATTTTCTCAGTCAACTATTGATGAAGTTAGACGCACTGCTCAAGAAGGAATGAATAGAGCATTGAAAGATCATTCAAGGTCTGTTTGTACTCCCATATGCTCTTTGGTCAAATTTATGTCATGTTTGTTACAGTAAATGACGTTGTACAAAACAACCAGGTTTCTGCTCGACTTAGATATTGCAGCACCCAAAATCACAATTCCAACAGAATTTCGTCCTGATAACCATCGTTCTACAAAGCTTCTTCTAGACCTGGGTAATTTGGTCATCCGTTCCCAGGTAAAGTATAAAAGTGTCAGTTGTCTTAACAATATAATTCCTATATTCAAATGCAGGATCTCAAATTTCTATGTATTTAAATTTTGCAGGACGACTATAAGCACGAACTGACAGAGGAATTGGATATGTATCTGCAGTTTGATTTAGTTTTGAGTGATGTGTCCGCTTTACTTGTTGATGGTGATTACTCCTGGAAACAATTATCCTCAAAAAGATCTTCTAGTTCTGGCAGGGAAAGCAGTGTAACTTTCTTGCCAGTTATTGATAAGTGTGGGGTACTCTTAAAACTTCAACAGGTAAACTCTAAACATCCGGCAATTATATTTTTGGTAAAAGAATTATGTTTCAGACTATAGATTTGTAGCAACATTGTTACTTGTTCTGCTGCTTAGATTCGTCGACCAAACCCATCGTACCCATCAACCAGACTTGCTGTGCGGCTACCATCATTAGGCTTTCACTTCTCCCCGGCTCGATACCATAGGTTGATGCAAGTTGTGCAGATCTTTCAAACTAAGGATGATGAGAGCTCTCAAATTCTACGTCCATGGGAAGAAGCTGATTTTGAGGGGTGGTTGTCTATTCTTAGCTGGAAGGTCAGTTCCTTTTTGCATACCAGAATCGATTTCCTGGTTGCAAACTCTTTGTCTACTTGGACACTAGTTATTTATTCCAGTGTCAATTCCATGAATAGGGAAGAGAAGCTACGTGGCAGCGGCGGTACTTATGCTTAGTTGGTCCATTTATCTACGTGCTCGAAAGTCCTGGCTCAAAATCTTATAAGAAGTATACCAGGTCTGATTTCCAACTCTTGCAATTTGGCTATTGGTAGTAGGCTCTAAAGATTAGGTGATTGGATAAAATGAATGGCCTGTACAAACTCGATAAAGACCAGCTCATTTATATGCAAATGTTTGCGTCTGTTTACAATTATCTTACATCTTGAAATATAAATACGAAAATCAACATGTGGGAAGAGTATGGCAAGATTTCCTTTTTGTGCTCAATGTTTGATGTTATCGGAGGCATTTGAAAATTAAACCAATGTTATGCTCTTAGTTGTCTTTATTGAACGGGCTTATCTAGCTCTCCATGTCTAACTGAAATCCACTAAAAGTGTTATTGAGCTACGTTCATAACTTTAGTGTAAGAACTCATTACCCAAAATTGTATGCTATTTCACTAAGCACTTAAAGTGTCTATTTGTTTTGATATATTTGCCTAATACCATCTGTTCGTTTTTTTGTTTGTCATATTCCTTCTTTTCTAATGATTTTTTCTTAATCTCTTGTAGCTTACGCGGGAAGCATATATACAAAGTTCCCGTAGAGCTTGCGGGAGGAGTAGAGCATGTCTTGTCCATTCGTAATGCTTCTCGGATCAGTGATAAGGTTTACATCTCTTTTAGTTGAATCATTAAATGCGGGGAAATTTTGGTCCTGCTTTTATGTTTTCATTGTGTGTTTTCGTCAATGAAGGGTCTAAGATCTCATTCTGATGATTGTAATTTTCAATGAAAATTTAGCTCTGCAGCTTTTAATTTATATCATGTCTCTAGGTTATGGAGGATGTAAATGCACTCATATTGATGTTTGACTCTGAAGACTCCAGAAAAACATGGCATAGCCGTTTGCAGGGCGCTGTCTATCGGGCCTCGGTAAATTTAATTTTGGTTAACAGAAGATATTGAACTTTATGTCCATTTATCAATAGGGTGTCTACTGTGAGACAGTTCCATTGACGGTTTGCTATTTAGTTGATTAAAGTTATAAAGTTTACTTAAAATATACAGGGTTCTGCTCCCATAGCCGGTCTTTCTGATACTTCATCTGACAGTGAGGAGTCAGAAACAGAACAGAAAGATGTTTTTGATTTGTCTAACTTGGAGAGTGTATATGTAACCGGTGTGCTTGATGAACTCAAAATATGTTTCAGTTATGGTCATCAGGTAAATTCAAACTAGAAATTCCATTTCTAGTTGTTAGCTGGGGCATTCTTTGACTGAGTATATGTTTATATAGGATGATGCTTCTTTCATGGCGGTGCTTCTTGCCAGAGAGAGTAAATTGTTCGAGTTTAGGGCCTTAGGTGGGAAGGTAAGATGGTATGCTTCTTAATTATCTTTTTGTTATTTCTTATTCCTTTTGCTGAGAGTATGTTTGTCTTTGTCGAACCAGGTTGAAGTTTCGATGAGAGGGAGTGATATGTTTATTGGGACTGTACTAAAATCTTTGGAAATAGAAGATTTGGTGAGCCATTCTGGTTTAAACGAATCTTGTTATTTGGCAAGATCTTTTATTCAGTCTTCAGAAATGCTTCCATCCTTTGAAGATGCTGAGAGCAGGAGCCCTGAACGCATTGATCCTACTTCTAGTGAAGGGGAGGAAAAGTTTTATGAAGCACCAGAAATCTTGGTTGATTCCATTGACTATACATCTCTCAGGACCCCTAGTTTTAGTCGCATTGATGGATTGCTTCCTGTTGACAACAAGAATATCACTAAGCCAAGCAATGAGACAACTGAGTCACTGGATAGTTTCGTGAAGGCTCAAATAGTCATATACCATCAGACGTCACCTCAATATAAAAACATTGATAACCAGGTTGATAGTTTTCTACTTTTGCATCTTCGAATCCGGAGATCTTAGTTTTTCATTGTTATAAAGTGAAGCTGCCTTACTAAATCACTCATCTTTTGGCTGCGTTTGTAGGTTATGGTAACTTTAGCTACATTATCATTTTTCTGTCGAAGGCCAACAATTCTTGCTATTTTGGAGTTTGTAAATGCTATCAATGTTGAGGATCCAAGCTGTGAATCTTTTGAGGACAACTCTCCTGTAGCTGGAGAGCATACTTCCCCAAGAAGAGATGGATTTGAAGATTCTAGGGATGCAGCTGTCAAGGGTTTGTTAGGGAAGGGGAAATCCAGAATCATTTTCAACTTGGCATTGAACATGGCTCGGGCGCAGATATTCCTAATGAATGAGAATGGAACTAAGTTTGCTACATTGTCACAAGACAATCTGCTGACAGATATTAAGGTGTGATTATGCTCTTTTTGAATTGCATTCCAAACTTTATTTCATCTCTTTTTCTTCAGTATAGTGAATTTTCGTAAGGTAAGTGGGCATTTTCTGTGCTGATTCCCATTTGTTTGAAGGTCTTTCCGAACTCGTTCAGTATTACGGCAAGTCTTGGAAATTTACGAATCAGTGATGACAGCCTCCCAGACGACCATATGTACTTTTGGATCTGTGATATGCGAGACCCTGGAGGAACTTCTTTTGTTGAGGTATTGGTTGCTTGTTTCTTTTCACTTTTCTCTTCGTGGAATGAGAAGGGATTGGGTAGATGAGATTTATTTTTTTCCATCTTGATTTACCTTTTTTTTTGTCTTGCTAGTTGGCTTTCACATCATTCAGTATCATTGATGAAGATCATGAAGGTTTCGACTACTGCCTTTCTGGGCAGCTTTCTGAAGTGCGCATTGTTTATCTAAATCGCTTTATTCAAGAGGTAGTTCATTCTCTCTGCATAGATACGAGCAACTTTTTGTCTTGCTTCCTACAATCAGTTTCCACCATGTAGGTTGCTGAATACTTTATGGGACTGGTGCCAAGTGATTCAAAAGGGGTTGTCAAGATGAAGGATCAAATTACGGACTCAGAGAAGTGGTTTACGACTAGCGAAATTGAAGGATCTCCTGCTCTTAAGTTGGATCTATCTCTTAAGAAGCCCATAATTGTTATGCCTCGGCACACTGATAGCCCTGAGTAAGTTCATGCTTGGATTTTGAATTTTCCTTCCCCACTATTTTATCTCCATTACACATTTTTGTTTTAAAAATTACTGGTCCTGTGAATTCTCTAGGCTTATCCGAGTGGTTGATTTTTCTTTCTCCACTTTTTGGATATTTTCTTTTTTTGCAGTTACCTGAAGCTAGATATTGTGCATATAACTGTGGACAATACCTTTCAGTGGTTTGCTGGAGACAAAAATGAGCTGAATGCAGTTCACGTGGAAACTATGAAAATAATGGTGAGGACTCTCGTTGTTTCGCTGTTAGGAGGAGCATGATTTATTCTGGTTGATATCGCTTTAATCTTTACAACTTTTTTGTGCAGTTTTTTTTTCTGATGACCCTCTCCTAATATTTTTTGTTCTTTGACCCAAAAAACATCAACTTAGGTCATGGATATCAACCTTAATGTTGGTTCTGGAGCTGAAATAGGTGAAAGCATAATTCAAGATGTGAAGGGGGTTTCTGTAACCATTAACCGATCTCTGCGAGACTTGTTACATCAGATACCGAGCATTGAAGTTTCTATTGGGGTAAAGGATAATGTTTTATATCCAGTCTGTAGCGTAATGCTTACTTACTCATGCTTTTTCGAAATTTCTGATTTATCAGATAGACGAACTAAGAGCAGCCCTCTCAAATAGGGAATACCAGATCTTGACAGAGTGTGCACAGTCTAATATTTCTGAGCTTCCACATACTGTGCCACCATTGAGTGGTGACGTTGTGACATCTTCAAGAAACTTACATGAAACTCTTACTTCTGAGGATACTAATGCTGCTCAAACAGAGAAAACTGATGCTTGGATTTCAATGAAGGTTTCTGTTGTCATCAATCTGGTGGAGTTGTGTTTGTATGCTGGGACAGCAAGAGATGCACCGTTGGCTGCTGTACAGGTCCGCTTCCATGTACCATGTTCATTTCATTTGTCATATTTATCTAGGAGTATTTAGTATTATTTTGTCCTTTGGAGCTGCCATAGCTGATACATTTAAGAGGGATAGAAGTAAACACCAACTAGCGAGGAGTTGGGGCATATGTATTTGTTAAGTTCTTTCTTGAAGAGAGCCGAGGGTAGAGGATCACTTTGCATAGATATTTCATGCGGAATTGTCTCACTCTGGAACTGGTTCCCCCAAAAGATTTCAGAATTGTCGATTCCGCTATATTGACATGGAATTATTCCAATCAGTCTTTTGTGAAATTTCTTTCGAGTTCCGGGTATCAGCCATGTGATTGTTCTTATGGGACCCTACATCTTCTCTATTTCTTTGGTTCCATTTTCTCTTCTCATGGTCTATTTTTTCCTAGGGATTTTACGTCAAAGGGATTTTATAGCAGTAACAACCTCATGGCACATAGTTAACATCTGGACAAATTTTTTCGTGTATGCTTATAGATCTCTGGCGGTTGGCTTCTCTACAAATCCAATACACACGATGAGGGTTTCCTTACTGCAACATTGAAGGGATTCAGTGTTATTGACAACCGTGAAGGAACTGAAAAAGAATTCCGACTGGCTGTAGGAAGACCTGCAGATTTAGATTTTGGAGATTCACATTCTGTGACTGATGAAGATCAGGGTTTAACTCAGTCACATGTAACCACGGGGAGTGGTATTGGACCCTTTCCTTCGATGCTCACTCTTGATGCGCAATTTGGTCAGTTGTCAACTTTTGTTTCCCTTTCTATTCGAAGGCCACAGCTGCTTGTAGCTTTGGATTTTCTACTGGCCGTAGTAGAGTTTTTGTCCCTACTATAGGCAGTGTGCTATCAAGTGAAGAAGATAAAATCCTTAACATGGTCGACGCAATTGTCATGGATAAGTCTATCTACAAGCAACAAACTGCTGAAGCGTTTCTTTCTCCTCTTGGTCCTTTGATCGCTGAAGATGAGAAATTTGATAACTTTGTTTATGATGGTAATGGTGGAACGTTATATCTGAGAGATAGAAATGGAGGCATCCTTTCTTCACCTAGTACAGAGCCTATTATATATGTAGGAAGTGGGAAAAGGTTGCAATTCAGGAATGTAGTCTTTAAGGTATAGAAGTTCTATATTAAATTTTATTACTCAGTGTTAGATCTGAAATTTATTTCTGTTGTCCTTTTAGTTTGTCTCACTTTTTTCATATTGATACAGAATGGCCAAGTTTTGGATTCATGTATCTCTTTGGGAGCATGCAGCAGCTATTCTGTTTCTAGAGAGGATGGGGTTGAGTTGGAAGTATATCATAAAGCCCCACAACAAGACTTTGAGAGGAAGGAAGATCCGGTTTCTCAATCTCCCAGCACCACAACAGAGAGGTCCACGGAAATGATCATTGAGTTCCAGGTTCTTATAGTGGCCAACTTTCTTCTTTGTATGTGCATAACTAGCCAAGAAAAGTTCCACTGTAATGTTTGAAGCTCGTTTCTACTGCTGCAGGCTATTGGCCCAGAACTTACTTTCTACAATACATCCAAAGACGTAGTGAAAACCCCATTACTCTCCAACAAACTTTTGCATGCTCAGTTGGATGCTTTTTGGCAGGTCGGTGGTTTCTCTGCGATTTGGAACTGAAATTTAAGCATGATAGTTGCATAAAAATTGATAAGCCTTGCACAGCTGTTGTTCATATTTATATGTCATTCCTTTTGTCTTTTTTTCTGGTACAGGGTTGTCATAAAGAATGATAAAATTGAAATGAGTGCTCATACGTTGGGTCTAACCATGGAAAGTAATGGAGTGAAAATTCTGGAACCTTTCGACACCTCTGTTAAGTATTCAAGTGTTTCTGGGAAGACTAACATACGTCTTTCAGTTTCAAACATATTTATGAACTTTTCATTCAGCATCTTGAGATTGTTCATAGCCGTTGAAGAAGACATTTTATCATTTCTAAGGATGACATCCAGAAAAAATGACTGTCGTCTGCTCAGAGTTTGATAAAATTGGGACCATCAGAAGTATGTCGAGTTATTGTTGAAATTTATCAGTTCATATCATTTTTGTTACCTGGTACTTAGTACTTCTACTGCATGCAGATCCCTACACAGATCAGATATATGCATTCTGGAGACCCAATCCACCCCCTGGTTTTGCGAGTCTCGGCGACTATTTGACACCATTGTTAGTCTACTCTTCTAGAATATACTGTTTAACTGGTAACGCAAGAGCCTTTGCAAGTTAATTAATTGGTATATTAAATGGCAGGGACAAGCCACCAACTAAAGGGGTTCTTGTTGTCAACACCAATTTGATGAGAGTTAAGAGGCCTTTATCATTCAAACTGATTTGGTCACCTTTAGCTTCCGGGGGATTAGGTGGTTCTTCGACTGGTGACAAAGATGAAAGAGAGAGTTCATGTTCCATTTGGTTCCCTGAAGCACCAAAGGGTTATGTGGCATTAAGCTGTGTGGCATCAAGTGGAAGTACACCGCCTTCACTGGCCTCTGCCTTCTGCATCCTAGCTTCTTCTGTTTCCCCTTGTTCTCTGAGAGATTGTATAGCTATCAGCTCCACAGATATGTACGCTGCTCTGAACCTCTCACTTTTACTTTAACGAGTAGCTCACTTTCTATACACATGGACACAATGCATGCACAAACTGAAGTATATGGGGATGTATGTTCCCTTGTGTAGACATGTGCAAACATGCTTACTGTCTTTTTTTCCTATTTTTAGAAACATTAAGAAGTTTAGCGTAAGTTGTTTTTCCTTGTGTCTATGTGACTTATATGCGGAAGTCTCAAATGAAAACTGGATTTTATAACTCTACCTCTTTTAGGTTTCTATTTGTTTTTCTTTCTTACCCAATACATAAGCTCTTAGTTGGTAGCAGATGCAAAATTTGTTTGTTCATTTGGTTTTTCATATTCTGGTAAATATCCATAAATGATTCCATTGTAGTACGTCTGCAGTGTACGTCTATGCTGGTCAGTTCAGTTTGACCCTATTTTCCTCCATTGATGGTTGACATTTTTTTATGTTTGCTTTTTTGTTTACAATGCAGTTCTCAATCAAGTTTAGCTTTTTGGCGCGTGGATAATTCTGTTGGCAGTTTCTTACCTGCAGATCCCTCTACTCTCAACTTATTAGGAAGACCATATGAGCTACGTCATATATTATTTGGATCCACTGGAGTCTTGCCAAAAGAATCCAGCTACGTGGATGTTCGTACTACTCCTGATAATAATATTCAGCCCACACGGCCACAGCCACAGCCACTGACTTCTGTTAACTCTGGTCATCGATTTGAAGCTGTTGCCACCTTTGAGTTGATATGGTGGAATAGGGGCTCAGGCTCACAAAAAAAAAGTTTCAATATGGCGACCAATCGTTTCTGAAGGGATGGCTATTTTGGAGATATTGCTGTTAGTGGGTAAGTCATAATCTGATGTACTATGTCGTTTAGTGCATCCCATTGTACTTGCAAATTGGATGTTAATTTCTTCTGGGGTGAATTTGTAGGTATGAACTCCAAACTCTTGTGTGGTTTTCATGATACTAGCGATCAAGAGATCCTCAAAGCCGCTGTTGATTCCAACTTGTTGGACGTGTCAAGAAACACAGGGGAGTAGAAAGTATATCTTTCTGGATGCCTCAAGCTCCACCGGGTTTTGTTTCTTTGGGTTGCGTTGCATGTAAAGGCTCACCGAAACCATATGATTTCACCAAATTAAGATGCGCTCGTAGCGATATGGTAGCTGGTGATCATTTTGCGGAAGAAAGTTTGTGGGATACCTCTGATGTCTGGCAGAGGGTAGAACCATTTAGTATATGGAGCATAGGGAATGAGTTGAAGACCTTTATTGTACGTAGTGGTTTGAAAAAACCACCAAGGAGATTTGCTTTAATGCTAGCAGACCAGGGTTTGCCTGGGGAACTGATAACATGGTCATTCATGCAGAAATTGAGACTTTTTCTGCTGCACTATTTGATGACTATGGGGGACTGGTAAGAAAACCAAATAAATGTGTGTGGCATATTTATCTGTGTGAAAATAATGGTGTATCTATGTACTTTGCAGATGGTTCCATTGGTTAACATATCTTTGAACAATATAAGTTTTGGATTACTTGGCAAAACCGATTACACAAATTCAACCATCAACTTCTCCTTAGCGGCCAGGTCATATAATGATAAGTATGAAGCATGGGAGCCTCTCATTGAGCCTGCAGACGGATTCTTAAGGTTTTTTCTTTCTATTTGCAGTGCCATTTTAAGTCTCAATAGTGTTGAAATGTTTATGTCTAAACACTTTGTGGGAGCGGGTGATTGCTTTTTTTATTCTGTTTGTTATATAGTCCAACAAATCTGATTTATATTCTATATAATGGCTATGTTCCATCATGATGCAGGTACCAGTTCAACCCTAGATCCTTTGGCGCGGTTTCTCAGTTACGCTTGACATCTACAAAGGACTTGAATGTGAATGTCTCAGTTTCAAATGCCAATACAATTATCCAAGCGTATTCTAGTTGGAACAGCCTTAGCATATCCATGGATACCATAAAGAGAGAGTGAGAACTTTTCTTTTGGTCCTTCTGTGCCACTCCTTGGTGAAGCAGAGGCTTATTTAGCTTTACCTTCTCTTTTGAAGAAGTCACGTCGTCTTTCTCTCTTGATTTACACTTGCTTTTTTTACAGGGAGCACTTCCTCTAGTTGACAATGGAAAATCTGTCATTGAAGTGCATCAGAAGAAAAACTATTTCATAATTCCACAAAACAAACTTGGGCAGGATATATATATTAGAGCCACCGAAATCAAAGGATTTAAGGATATTGTAAAGATGCCATCTGGGGACGTGAGACCTGTAAAAGTTCCCGTCTTGACCAATATGTTGGATTCTCACCTCAGAGGAGAATTATGCAGAAATCCTAGAATCATGGTTACAGTTATTGTGATGGATGCACAGGTACCTTTCTGCTTAAAACAAAGGTTACATTCGTTGTGGTGCCTTTATTTGTTATATATTTCTACCTCCCAGGCGCTCATGCATCTTCTTTTCGTCTTCTTTTACTTCTCTATGCTGATAAAGAAATGAAATGAGTTTAATGTGCTTTCAGTTTCTTTTATCCTTTATGGGTTACGCCTCTAGTGACTTTTTTTTTACTGGGTTTATTAGTTATATGATCTACACAGAAATTTTGGAGAAGGTGTTATCTGGAGTAACCTGGTTTTCTTACAGTTGTTTATTTTCATATGTTTATAGCTTCCAAGAACTTGTGGATTGTCTTCGCATCAATACACAGCAGTCATACGCCTGTCTCCCAATCAGACCTCCCCAGTTGAATCAGTGCTTCGTCAACAAAGTGCACGTACTTGTGGAAGTGTTTCAAATATGTTGTCCTCTGAGCTGGAAGTGGTTGACTGGAATGAAATATTTTTTTTCAGAATTGACTCCCTGGTATTCTCTCTCCTCCATGATATCTAACATCCTTTTGTTGACCTACAACTAATTTGTATCCCCTGAATACTGCTGGATTATTTTATTTTTTTCAAATGGCTATGTTCCTCTTCTCTGTGGATTTTCTTGTCCATCGCCATTTTAATTGTATTCTCTACTATTAATCTCATAGATTGATTGATCACACAACTTCAAATATCCAAGAAAATCAGAAACAGTTTTAATTGTAGTGCTTATAGCTTGGAAAAATTTTAGTTAGTAAGCTTGGTGCATGTACCTTCGTACAACTTTAGAATAAAATGTATTATGAGTATTTTTTCTGGGTATTAGTTTTGTCTTCAAGATCAAGGTTGCTTGCAATGGCTTTTTGATATTTTTATTGTTCTTTCATTTTCCCAGGATGACTTTATCTTGGAATTAATAGTGACAGACGTCGGAAAAAGGTTTGTTTCCTTAGTTCTTGTAGCTTAAATATCACGTGCTAATCTATCCGAGTTAAAGGGTTTCTTTCATTTGTGGTATATAAATCGATGTTGTTTTCACGATTTAGGTGCCCCAGTTGGGAATTTTCAGCTCCTCTAAAACAGATAGCAGAATATATGGACAACTTATACCAGCACAATTATGCTAATGACCTTGTCTGGTTGGACTTGTCTACAACTGAAACCATGGTAAAACTTTTGAACTTAGCATGCTATTCCTGTCAGGATGTAGCCATTGTTGTGAAGAAAATGATATTAATGATGTGTTATCAATACATGCATGTAAAGGATTTTTTCGACTTTCTGGGTTCACAGATTGCGAAGGTAAAATGAAATGATTTTCTAAAGTTGGTGATGAATTGCCTTCCTGTTTTCCTGCAGAGCATGAACCAAGGGGATCAAAGAAAGAACTGTGGAAAAATAAGGTGCGCTGTACTGTTGCCAGCTATATCGAAAGTGGACCAAAGCAAATCCTTCAGGGAAAAAAAATCTGGATTTCTTCAAGTAAGTCCTAGCATTGAGGGTCTTGGACGACAGTTAGGCTGAATTATGCTGCTCCTGCTGCTTGCTGGAGGTTGGGAAATGATGTGGTTGCAAGTGAAGTTAGTATGCAGGATGGAAACAGATACGTAAATGTCAGGTCTTTAGTTTCGGTGGAGAACAATACTGACTTCCTACTTGACCTCTGCCTGCAGTCAAAAGTGAATTCAATTCCAGATATTCCAATCGGGTTGCTGAAACCTGGTGATACATTACCGGTTCCCTTATCAGGATTGACACAGTCGGCATCTTATGTTCTGAAACTGAAATGTGTATTTCCTGATGGGTCCGATGAATATTCTGTGAGTTCTGTGGTTTCGAGGCCTGGGGGACCAGAGGTTTCTTGTGAATCAGAGTCTGAAATATGTATATCGGCTCTTACTGAATCCGAGCACTTGTTATTTTGTTACTCAGATAAACAGTACTTTCTTCCGGAGATAATCAAAAGTTGTGGTTCTGTTTGAAGACCCAAGCAACAGAAATTGCAAAGGATATACGTTCGGACCCTATTCAAGACTGGACCCTTGTGGTTCAAATCACCGTTTTCTATAGCAAATTGTCTTCCATTTGGAAGCTGAGTACTCAGTGCTAGAGGCGCAAGCCAGTGGTCATTTTATTTGTCGCTGTAGAGGGTCTTTAGTTCTGGGGAAACTGTCAAGGTGTATAGTGTTGATATAAGGAACCCTGTATACTTTCTTTGCTACCACAAAGAGGATGGCTACCAATGCATGTAAGTTAGGAAATTAAACCTAGATTCACATCACCTAGGCACCCCAAAATTTCCGTTCTGTAGCTTCTATTTTCCCTTGGATATTTAGTAGGTTTATTGAATTTGGCAGGAAGCTGTCCTTATATCTCACCCCAATGGTGTCCCTGCGAAGACAATTGGACTAAGAAGTTCTGCCACTGAAGGTCTTGTTCTTTCTGCTGAGATTTTACAATTGTATAATTTTTCTAGTCTATTTGGTCTCATACAGTTGAATTTATGCAAGCAGGATTGCTCAAGTAATACTGGAGCAAAACTATGATGAACAGCAGATAGTTTTGTCGAAGATGATCAGAGTCTACGCTCCGTTCTGGTTTTCGATTGCGAGGTGTCCCTCGCTTACACTCAGGCTTTTAGATCTGTCAGGGAAGAAGCAAACAAGAAAAGTTGGTCTTCCCTTTCGAAGTAAAAAAATGACGAAGTAGTCCTAGAGGAGGTAACTGAAGAAGAAATATATGAAGGTCATACAATTGCTTCTACTTTGAATTTCAAACTTCTGGGCCTGTCAGTGTCTATATCTCAGCTTGGCAATCAGCAACATGGTCCTGCCAAAGATCTTTCTGCTCTTGGTGACATGGTCAGTTATATATTATTGAATTTGTTTGATAGACTAGTTTTCTCAAATATTGAGCTTCGCTAACCTTTGACTTTATTTTAATAGGATGGATCTTTGGATGTGGATGCGTATGATCCCGATGGAAATTGCATGCGGCTATTTTTATCTACAAAACCTTGCACTTACCAGTCGGTTCCTACAAAGGTAACAAGCACTTTGTCTTCTACATCTTCTTTGTTATTACGTACTGACTCAAATTTATTTTCAGATCATATCTGTTCGACCATTCATGACTTTCACCAACAGGATCGGTGAAGACATGTATATTAAACTGAACAGTGCAGATGAACCAAAAGTACTCCATGCTTATGATTCGAGGGTCTCCTTTGTTTTCCAACCAAGTGGGAGAGATGAACTCCAGGTGAGCTGTCTAATGTTGCAGAATCTTCACCACTTTCTATTTCCTCATATATTTGCTTTAGCCACTTAGTTGCAAAAGGGAGAGACAAAAAAACAAAACAATGGTTAAAAATGTTGTTTAAGGTATCCACTGGAAGCATGTAGCATACTAGCATGATATATGCTCAGTCAAACCAGTGAGACTTCTAGGAGCAGTAGATTAGAGTTTCAATGCAAGATGTTTAGTATTGTTAGATGGTTTAACATATGCATACTTCCCTTGCCTACCACATATGTTTACATTGTGAGAGGTTAGAGCATCTCTCTTTTTACATTAATGACGTGTTATCTTCTTATTACATTGCCTAATTTCAGGTCCGGTTAAGAGACACAGAGTGGTCATTTCCGTTCAAGTTACTCGAGAGGACACAATTGTACTTGTATTAAAGAGTCAAAATGGTGCACAGAGATATGTGAAAGCAGAGATACGGGGATTTGAAGAAGGGTCACGTTTTATAGTTGTATTTCGACTAGGACCAAGCAACGGTCCTATGAGGTATCTTCTTTACAAGCGACAGATTTCCATGCTTGTGAAACAATCACTAATTTCCTTATCTTCTTTTTTTTGTGAAAACTTTTCAAACCAGGGTTGAAAATAGATCAACTGTCAAAAGCATCAGTGTTCGGCAATCTGGTTTTGGTGAAGATTCGTGGGTTTTTTTGGAACCTCTTTCAACAGCAAATTTTGCTTGGGAAGATCCTTATGGTCAGAAATTCTTGGATGCTAAGGTTGAAAGTGATCACCGCTCTGGGGTTTTCAAAGTAGACATGGAAAAAGGTGTTGTGGATTCTGAATTGTGTAGGGAGTTAGAAGTGAACTTTGATGTTCAAGAAATTGGTAACATCAAGATTGCTAGATTCACCGATGATGATAGTAATTCACAGAGTCCTAATGAAATCATATCTTTGACATCGGTTGGAAATCATGGATATTCTACTCCTCAGACACCTACAGAACACAAGACCACCACTCTGGAGTTTATAATTGAAATGGGACTAGTGGGGATCTCTCTTGTAGATCACATGCCTAAAGAGTTATCATATTTTTACCTTGAAAGAGTATTTGTATCTTACTCCACTGGGTATGATGAGGGAAGAACTAGCAGGTAACTCAAATATTGCAGTATTTTTTTCTTTTCATGTCTGTTTCATGTATAACTGGAATGATGGAACCAAATAATCAATATACTTTTTAATGATTTCCAGGTTCAAAATCATTCTGGGTCATTTACAGATTGATAACCAGCTACCTCTAACTTTAATGCCAGTACTATTGGCACCAGATAACACTGGAGATAGTCGTCAACCAGTGCTTAAGATGACAATTACAATGTGTAACGAAGAAACTGATGGCATTCAAGTGTATCCATATGTGTATGTACGGGTATGTATTCTATTCAGGTTTATCTGCAGGGTACTCAAACATAAATTTGAGATACTATGTGAAGCACATGATGTATTTTCTATTCAATTGACAGGTAACTGATAATACCTGGCGACTAAACATTCACGAGCCTATCATATGGGCTTCAGCTGACTTCTACAATAAGCTTCAGATGGACCGTCTCCCCAAAAGTTCTAGTGTCGCGCAAGTTGATCCTGAGATACATATAAAGTATTCTTATCTTCTATTGAATTTTACCATCTCAGGGACGAAGTCCATATTATTTGGCCGTTTTGGTATGCAAGTCGAGCAATTTCCAAACTTTATTGAGGTATGTTTTTGTTTGTGATTTTCAGCCTCATTGATGTGTCGGAGGTAAGGCTAAAGGTCTCACTAGAAACAGCGCCAGCTCAGAGGCCTCATGGAATTCTTGGTGTTTGGAGCCCCATTTTGTCCGCTGTTGGAAATGCTTTCAAAATTCAGGTGGTTGATTTTTTTTTGAAGTTACTCCCACTTATGAAAATGGAATAGTGATTACATCTTCCTAGATAAACTAATTGTTGGGATACCTGGTTACATTTCATGGGAGTCTACTTTATGTGAGAACTGACTACTGAGAAGTTAGAACTAGTTGTAATTATGAATTGTTGAGCATGAGCTTGTTTAAGCCATACTCTTTCTTGACTCCCAGCACGAGATAAGTAGCTCAGAAGATTTTACCACATTCTAAAGAGAAGCTTTTTTCCTTGGATTGTCATGCAACAGCTTGTAGCTAGAAAGCATTTCAATTGCCTGACACCACAGGCTAATTCATCATTTTGCTATAGTTGGAATTAAATACTGACAAATGGAGAATGAAATGTTGCTAATGTTTTAAAATCATATGTACATTTAGGTTCATCTAAGGAGAGTAATGCACAGAGATCGGTTTATACGGAAAAGTTCAATAGTTCCAGCCATCGGGAATCGCATATGGAGAGATCTGATCCACAATCCCTTACATTTGATTTTCTCAGTAGATGTTTTGGGTATGACTAGCTCAACGTTGGCTTCTCTTAGCAAAGGGTTTGCCGAGCTTTCAACTGATGGTCAATTCATGCAACTACGGGCCAAACAGGTACCTTTCTTGCTATATTATTGAATTGATCACTTTGGCAGTTTGCTTAAAAGAGGTCTGAATGTGAATCAGGTTTGGTCGAGGCGGATCACCGGTGTAGGTGATGCAATTGTTCAAGGAACAGAAGCCCTAGCACAAGGTGTTGCCTTTGGGGTATCAGGAGTTGTTACGAAGCCTGTAGAGAGCGCCCGACAAAATGGTATTCTAGGGTTTGCCCATGGGGTAGGACGTGCGTTCCTAGGATTTATCGTACAACCAGTGAGTGGTGCATTAGATTTTTTCTCATTGACTGTTGATGGAATTGGAGCAAGTTGTACCAGATGTTTGGAGGTTTTGAGCAACAGGACCGCCTTGGAGAGAATTAGAAATCCTCGTGCTGTTCATGCTGATGGTATACTCAGGGAATATGATGAGAAGGAAGCTATAGGCCAGGTACTGGCTCAGTTTATTTTTCTTGTCTACTAGTGAGACTGGAAATTGAGAAATTTTGGATGCTTAAATCCACGAAAAAATCAAAACTTCATAATTACAAGTCGGCTATCCTATTTTTTAATATTTCAATCTGATAGTTTTACATTCTAAGTCTCCTTATACGATATGGTGTAAGTTATACTGAAATATTACCAGAAAGTTACGAAGTTACATTCTTCTAGTTAAGCTTGCCACTCATGCTCAAAACTCCAAACTGGTTCTGATTTCTGTTGGTTATCTCGTCTTGCAGATGCTCCTTCACCTAGCAGAAGCAAGTCGACACTTTGGCTGTACAGAAATATTCAGGGAACCCTCAAAATTCGCTTTGACTGATTGCTATGAAGAGCATTTCCTTGTTCCATACAAACGCATTGTCATGGTGACCAACAAGAGAGTTGTGTTATTACAGGTTAAACCAACTAGAATACGATTTTACTTGCAGGTTTTCCATTAGTCTCTCAATATTGTTTTTATTAACCGAATGTTTGCTTCCATTTAGTGCTCTGATCTGGATAAGATGGATAAGAAACCCAGCAAAATCATGTGGGATGTGCCTG